ATGGGCAGTCAAAACGTTTGCGCAAACCGCCACAATGGCTTAAAGATTATGAAACTTAGTCAATAGGCTCATATAAATCACTTATAATACTATATATAATTTTATATTGATTGAACCATTATTGCATATGCTATTAATTAATATAGTGCCTGGGTGCTGGTGGTGGATGGCGCGTGCATACCTAGGCCCGTGCACACGGGGGTCATGACTTCTAATGCCAGGCAACGGGGACGAAAAAGATGTCGATACGTGTTAGCTTATTTCTGTTTCACGCCATGCTGCTGAAACAGATCAAAAGCTCGACTTTATTCTTGACGAAGTCTCGAGCCATAGACGGTGGCTGGTCAAAGAATTCGCATGCACTAGATCGAGGCCCGCTATTGTTCCGATGCTGTGGTCCATCGCACCCGGCATTTTACAAAGGATGATAACGATTCGATGCATGCGGTCTTGGAATTAAACCACAGTAGTGAATGGGGAAAGTAGCAAGAGCTTAAGCTGAGTACCTCCTTGGAGCGAAGAGCCGAAGCGAATCCACATCAGCGATCAGGTCACCCAAGCGTCAGGGCTTGTGGAAGGCATCAGCTGTGACTCCCGCTTTCGCAGGACGCGCCCAACCCATATACGAACGAGTCTTCTTCTGCTTCTTCCAAACCTGCATATGCAGACGCTTCAAAACCTTGCTTTGGTCTCGACATCGTCCACTCGCGAAGCTGAAGGCAACTTGACTTGAAAATTAGCTTGCATTCTGTCCTGTGACATTAGGTTGCTCTTGCATGAGTGGACTGGTTGACCGCGTTCGGCCATGATCAGCTATGCATTCGAACCCAACATGGGCTGCTAAGCAAGGCCGATGGACGGCCTTCAGCTTGGAGAATTCAACGGAAGGGCCGGATCGCTCCATCGACTACAGTATCTATTCTCGGAGGTTTCATCGGGATTTGATTGGCTAAAGATTGAATATAAAGCGCCAGACGACAGCTACGGCATCACGCTCTACAAAGGAAAACATTTAATGGGCATATCTAGAGGGAGAGAGAATAACCTAATCAGTAAGAGCATAATCTAACGTTACTCGTCACAAGGTTGGGGATTGCACGTAGCTATCTCGACCTCGACTAGCTGAAACGAAAAATTCGTCGACCACGGGCTCTTCTCCGTTCTAAGGGACTTGAGATCCGGGGAAAATACCACGGCACATTCAAGCCGACCGAGCGTGAGTGAGTTGCATTGAAGCTGATTTTCCTACGCGGTAAAGATTTGAGAGGTCGGAACGATTGGCCCAAGTAAACGCTTTCTCCCTCAGCGATGACTACCACCGAGCTCATTAGGTGACTCTGACCTGCAAAATTGCTGCCATCACGATAGTTCATCTCTGTGTTCGACTCTTATTGGTACACATCACATGCTCAGCTATTCATCCTTGGGTCCTCTGCACTGCTTGTTCGAAGTGGAAGAACATCCCTGAGCTCTGACCCCACGCTCAGCATCGGCTGCACACACCCACCAACCGAGTCAAATTAATACTTCGAAGGAGAAAGTCTAGCCTGCATCACCCACTCTAGTAGCCGAGATCACGAGAAAAGTAAAATCGACTTTGTCCGCCTTCTCTTATTGAAGTTTCCTTGTACTATGGCAAACAGCCACATGCAATGTATAGACTGTGCGTCACCTTATAACACCTACCATGCATGTGCGGAGAATTTGTGTCAGAGAAACCTTCAGAAAGGTTTGATCGCTTGATCAGACTCGGGGCACTCGATCAAAGCCCCTCCTTTGCAAGCATATCTGCAGCTAGCATCAACGATAAGTGAACCCTGAAGTTGAAAGCAGACACGTACCGGCAATGCTGAGGTAAAAGGCTACAGCGTTGAAGCTGCATCAGTTTGTGAGCAACGAGCTCTTGAAAGGAGGTGATAATACACGACAAACATACCTATGTGTTGTTCCAGTCAAGCGCCAGAACAACCATTTTAGTCTGTTTGTCCAATTGATCAAATCAATGTGGGAGACACCGACCAGCGTGCCCTTGTATTCGCCCCATTGACTACTTGGAACGCTGAAAGAAGCGGTCAGTGCTTGCAAGGATGTCGGAACGTGACGACACAAACCTAACCAAGCCATCATTTGGGGCATTCTCAAGCTGCTTGATAATTTTGAATGAGGGCCGAAAGACAGACCAATATACGGGCTCTAACGAGGCGCCGTAGGAGTAGTACTTGACACCTGGTAAATCTGGCGTCTTGGGGTTGAAAATTTTCTCCATATCTGCGCATGCGGTGGTCAGTTATTTGTTGGCAGCAGCACAGTCCCCCCCTACATCGAAACTGTAAATTAGGAATTGAATCAGGCGAGCTCGTCGTCAAACCTCGCCATGCTGGGGCAGAATTTTTCTAAAGTATTTTGTACTCACAATTACGTGTTAACTGAGAGAACGCGTCAGTTTCCAATCCAATATATTCGAGCACTTTGTAGGCCCTGGCAACGTTGATTGCTAGATTTGCACCATATCAGCCTTTATGTGATACGTTCCGAAGAAAGACTCACGGCCTAGTGTTTCGAAAAGATAGTCTGCAAAAGCCGATCCTCGGTGAGGTGTCGCAATAGTCGTGAGTGACAGGACTTCTACGTTAGGAGGCTTAAGCTGAGAAATCATATAGCGCGCATCTAGCCCGCCCATGCTGTGTCTGTCCAACGCCATCAATATCCAGAATTTTGCTAGCCACGAAGATACCACGTACGCAATAATATTGACGCTCTTTCCTCCTGCTTTCTCCCTGATGGTTTTCGCAAGTTTCTCTGCTCTCTTCTCAATGCATCCTGAAGGGGGGACAGTTGCAGTAATAACCTCAACTCCGGCCTGTGACAATGCTTCTCTGATGCCTCGCCAATACTGAATGCCCGGCAGACTTTTGCCAACCAGATGCATTTCGTCAAAGCCGAGCAACCCATGGGCTAGAATGATGGGATGTTTAGGAACATCATAGTGAACTTTCAGAACTGCAAATTCATTGTCAATCACATTCCCTAGCTCTTTCAGCCTCGGATCTGCTGCTCGAAATGGTCGCGATGTTGAGAAAGTTGATCTGCCGATGTTGCATACTTGCGGAATGAAGCAGCGGCGCGTTGCCGCGGGCAACATGACGATGTATGACACCATCAGAAACCGATGTACGCGATTTCCGGGGTCGAGAAATGCTTCTCAATCAATTGGGACTGTATTTTGGCGCGTGTCCGTCTCCATGAGGAGCAACGAACGCGTGTCGTCACCAAGTTGTCACGGGTGGCCCGAAACCCACGTGCCAGCCATCTGAAAATCGTTGTCCATATCAAGGTCACCAAAAGTCATTCCTAAGTATGGGTATGAGTTCCTGTTACATATATAGGGCCTGAGGACTTTTTTTTGAAAAGTATGTACTACGAAAAAATTTGCAAATTGATTCCAGGTTTCTATACACGACGTTTGCCCAAACTGAGCGTATCTATGTTTTCTACGCTCAGGATCCATGGGAAGTCAATTATCCTAACCTAACAGCCCAGCTCGATTTTTCACTCGGACCCCGAGTCTATTCTGCCTATGACTTTGCCGGTGGTACAGGCTTCACGTTCGTGACTGCATTAAGAAGGTCTTCGACCACTTTGGGGCCTCTTTCCTTGCCAATCTTCTTGATCTCTTCAATCTTCTTTGTTGTCTCTTTGTTCGCATCATCCTCCATCTTCTTATTCCCGCTTGAATGCTATTAAAGTCGAAGATTAGCACCTCGCTCTCCATGAAATTAGATTACCAAGACCAAATGTACTACACACCTCCTGCTCAAACATTTTGAACTCCTTCTCTTTAGTCGACCTATATTCCTCTATCTCTTTCTGTGCTTCTGAGCGCGCATCCTTCACTCTCTTGGTGCGGTCTACATAGGTTAGATCACATGGTCGTGAGTGCATGGACTTGGTATCGAAAACGTACATTCTCTTGCTGTGAAAACGAATCAGCGCACGGCGTACGTAGGGAGATTTTGATGTTACAAACCTTTTTGAACGATCATCTGCGCCTCCCTTTCCGCCTACCACAATCATGAGTCTTTCGGTGGCTAGTATGCACTCGGGTGCGGGCATTCACTTACATCCAACAGGGTTTGAATACCAGCAGAGTTTTGCGCAGACTATCCTTGTCAGCAATTCTATTGGGACTATGCGTCTGAGAAAGCCATACCATCCTGAATATCTTATGGAATGTCTGATCTGCTGCCTCGTTTTGTCGTTATCTCGAGTTGCTAGGTGCCTGTCTGCAAGAGGTGCATGCTCTCCAGCGCAACGCAGAGGTCCGAGCTCAAGCTACGAGAGACCCATCAAACCACGTGATTCAGCCTAATTCCGCAGATAAGATTATTGTCAACGATCTAAGGATTTACCCACCGATCTTGCGCGCAAACGATTACTCGGGAACCCGGATTTTGTTCAAGAATCGCGTGTCGAAACTTGAGATCTTAGTCGAATACCAAACGAGATAGATGACATTTTGCATGACGACGTGAAGTGGGCCAACTAGCACTGATATTTGGGTATGCTGATGAAGAGATTAATCTCTCAGCCTATCTAATTGCATTCGGTTCGCTTTGCCCAACCAATCCTGATCTCGTGGCTCATTCTTCAATCCTCTACATGAAGTGCCGCAGCCCCTGCCAAATGTGTGAAGCAGTCTAAAATAGGTCGAACGCTGTCAACTGAATGGGATGGTTGCTTGTCCTTCTTTTTTTCGTCACTTTGCCGCTCATGCTAAGAATAGTGGTATCGTAGAGCGCCGACTAGGCACTCGTGCATGACGAGCACATTTACAAGTCGGCATCATCCTCATCTGGCAAAGGCATCTGGGCAGCATCGGCCATCTCTTTCTGGTATTGCTCGAGGACGGCTTGATCGACCTGCACCTCTGGTGGAGCGAGAGCTGGGGCTGCGACGAACTCAAGGGACTGGTTGCCGACCAACTTTCTCGCAAGCCAGCTAGGGAGAATGTTAACACATGCAATTGTACTAAAACAAGATGTGAGAACTCACAGGAAAGGCTTCTCGAAGTTATAATTGGATTTTGCAGAAATATCATAATACTGCAAATTCTTCTTGCGATGGAAAGTAATAGTCTTAGCCTTGACTTTTCGCTCTTTCACATCAACCTTGTTGCCGCAAAGAACAATAGGGATATTTTCGCAGACGCGGACGAGATCGCCTTTGTCGTTGATTAGATTAACTGTACATGATGCAGAGAGAAGTGAGAGATCTTACGGTGCCAGTTGGGGACGTTCTTGTACGTGATGCGCGAAGTCACGTCAAACATGATGATACCGCATTGGCCGTTGATGTAGTAGCCATCACGGAGGCCACCGAACTTTTCCTGACCGGCCGTATCCCAGACATCAAACTGGATCTGACCAAGGTTCTGTCATCGGGTAAGTATGGGACCTCTATGTCATCGGCATCATACTCCTGCCTACCGTTGTGAAACCAAGTGGGTGAACCTCAACGCCAAGGGTAGCAATGTACTTCTTCTCAAATTCGCCAGTTAGGTGGCGCTTGACGAATGTTGTCTGATGTGCTGTCAGTACCTATGACGCAAACGTAAGTGCGGTCAGAGTCCTCACCTTGCCAGTACCGCCATCACCAACAAGAACAAGTTTGAAAGTCGGAACTTGTGACTGAGCTTCAGCCATGGTGGTTGTAGTAGGGCGTGGCGCGTGTGTTGTGGTGAAAGTGGGATGGAGTTGTTGGACGAAGAGTCTGTTTACCGACAAATGATTAGCGCCCCGCCAACTCAACATGCGACAAATATCTGGCTAAATAGCGGCACAACTCACGGAATCAAATCGAGCTTGCAAAGTGCGCAAACTTCGAGTGAGAGATTTGCGAAAAAGTTTTGTTGTTGAGGAGGGGGCAAACAAGACGAAATGATCTGCCTGTAAGGATTTTTGTCACCTCAAGCTGCTTCTTAGTAGCCTGACACGATTGAGTTACCTCAGGCAGAAATTTAAAACACGTGATTTTCGTTGAAAGTGACGATGAACCCAGTAAGTTACTCAAAAATGTTTTTGAATCTAGTGGACAAAGACCGCTGGATATCTTAGTCTATACCTTCCTAAGTTTTAGGCACATGCTCTGTTTACACGTAGATCATACATTTCTTATAAAGCAGAGACTTTCGCTATTGAATCTTAAGCAGTTTGAAGATTAACGACAACAATATCAAAGTAATTAAGATGCTCCTTCATCTTACCAAATGTATTTAACATAATTTAGGATCCAGGGAGACACGAAATATGGCGTTGTGAGAAATATATCAATAGAGGTAGGGAATGAAAAGAACTGATAAATATTAGTCCACGGGCCTAACTCCCTACATAATTCCAACGCATTAGAAACTCATTCATAATGCTCCGAGTTCAATGCATGGAGTAGAGGACAACAATGTAGGTTAAGTCAAGGCAAGTAGGTCATTAAAGCCAAATTCCAACTAGATGCGCCCCTTGCTCATATATGAATGGATTTCTTGTTCCCTGTCCTTGACGATGCTCATCTAAGATGGCTAGTTGCCTCCTGGACATGATGGGCGAACCAGAGCTTTCCGTGGAGCTAGCATCTTCCACTCTCTTCCTCGATCAATGCGCTTCCCAAACAGTACATACCACCTCCACTGCACAGACCTTGCAGTCACAGACGAACGAGCTGGCAACAAGCTTTTTTGTTTGCAAAAAACATTGTATGATCAGCTTACAAGGGCACAAGATGGCAGCCAAGCATGCCTCTGCCGCCCCAATTCGATCGCGGAGTCAATGTTAATTGAAGGATTTGTGTGCCGCGTAGGATTGTAACAGGTATTGGCTTCTATCGCTAAATTAGCCACTGGTAAATCAGGTGGTGATGAGCATCGTACGCCCTCGCTCTGGGAAACAATCTGCGCAACTTTTGCCAACTTATCATGATTCAACCACGTGGCGGAACCAAATCGCGCCACTTTGTCCTCAGGTTGCAAGCCAGCATCTGCGGCTGGGCTGTTCACCACGACTGAATTGACCTTGGCAAACGGCGTGTCTGCTCGTGTCTCGGTCTGTCTTGGTGAATCTGACGTTAACGGTGGCTGCGGTTCTATGTTTGACTGTGATCCTATCTGCGCAAAACGTGCATGGATTGCCGTCTCAAGACGTGACATTATAGATCTATAATCGTTTTTGAGGTGTATGATACGAGCTCTAGTCGTTCTGACTAGGTACATCAGTTTGAGAAGCGCAACGTCGTAGGATAAGTGGCATACTTTGCGGTACATCTATGTCGTCTCGAGGGTAGCCATCAAAAGTCGTTAGGCTGGTATTCATGTTGACTCCGTGCTGGTGAATTGTGAGGCTAGGTACGAGCAACGGAGAATATCATGGCGCATACAGAATCTAGCACCGCACTTAAGGCCTTTAACTCCTTCTCCAACCTGTCCTTCTCGGCCATCAATTCGTTCAGAGTCATATCATCTTTCGAAACGCCGTTCGCGTAGCCGTTGGATAACGGGCCTGAAGCCACAGATGGTGTATGTATGTCCTCCATGGGTATGCCCATTTAGAGAATGATATTCCTTTTGAAGCGGGCAGAACGCGGGGCAGAAGATTGACCTTTGAACTCTGCAGGACCCCAGAAGAGGCCTCCGCGCGGTCTGTGCACTGGGCGTCATTGTTGCAGCGATTGCGCTTCGCGTTCCAATGGTAACAGTTGCCCATTGAACATTTGAAAATACAATTTCAGAAGTCAGCCTGCCAGCCCCTAAATGTTTCTAGTGAATCGAGAACCGCATGTACGCCTTTCTTGTTGTCCTCTATGGTCGCACGGCAGGGCGCTGCAGGCCTTGCTACCGGAGATCGTGCTCGGTGTCGTTCTTATTTTCAGAGCGATCAGACAAGTGCGTCAGGACGGTTGAGCGTTGCAATCACCCTGTCCACATGTATAGCGCCTCCTTCTTCGTATTGTTCTTCGGTTCTTTGTTTCCCTGGGCGATTATTTTTGTTTGGCTCTTTCCCTGCATGCGGTTTCGCCGTTGTGTGTATTTCAAATCTCAGCCCCGTCACCGATTGTTTCCCTACTGTCATGTCCCTATCTCATATTGCAGTCGAAGAGACTCGACCTAGAAGATCCGTTCACAAATCCGAGCGTTATGGCTTATGTCCTATCGCTTCCCACCAGAAGTCCATGGGAGCAAGCGTTTCTTGAGCCACCTTGCCTGAGATCTCGAGTTTCTATACTGAGCCAGATCTCCACGGAAACCATCCAACATTCTCCACAACGAAGGCAGTCTCTGAGCTGGCCACTCACAGATGATTCCACAAGACTAGCTTCGAGTACAGTGCTAAATTATATTTACAACTTCAATCTCTCGCCCAAACGGCCCCGCACAGGCAGCACCTTGTCAACGCTGAGAGATTTGACCTTCTCGGGGGTGGAAAATAGGGAAAATAACAATAACAGCTCTCGAGATTCTATTGATAAGCCAGTAGATGAATTTCAGAAGTCCACAACTCCTTTGCCCTCTCCAGAAGGGGCAACGTGCGAAAAAGAACGCGATTTGGCTTCTGAACCTTTTCAGTACACTCTCTCCGGTTCTCACGAGCAGCCCGTCATCCAATCTCCTTTCAAGCGATGGCTAAGCACACTCCGAAGGAGGCATAGTCTTGGAACATTCATGCCTGATCGCGATCCTTGGCTGGATCGAACAAGCACCTCACGCCTCGGGCACCACAAAGCTAGCTCATTCAGCTCATCAATTGGCTTTCTGACTGCTGTTAAATCGGCAAACTTGACTTTGGCAGGAACAAGCATCGCGCCGACGTCGAAACATGGCAGAAAACCCCACGTGAACAGTGACAACACAAGTATCAGCTGTCATGGTCCCCGAGCATCAGTGGAAAGCAATACAGGATCTATTGAGCCCACTCTTGATGGGCAGGCATGGTTTCGCTCAATCCAGAGACGGAACATCGTTGATGAAATTCTAAGTTCTGAAGAAAGCTACATTTCTGACATGAAAGCCATGATTCACGTACTTAAACCACTTTAACACCTCATCAGTCAACTAACGTATGACAGATCTACTTCACTCTTCTTGCTTCTGCACCGCCTGTGTCACTTCGACGGAAAGAGATGATCCAGAAATCGTTGAGTCAGATTATTCAGCTTCACGAAGATCTCTTGGGGGAATTGCAACGAGTAGTTCCAAGTCGAGCCGAATCAACACAACGACTTACCCTACAGCACCAGACAGATGAGTCGCGCCATACGAGATGGCACAGCTTTGACAATGGGCAAAAGTCTGGACAAATTCCCGAATTTCGTCACCGGTTTCAACGCTCAGTCGACTTGAGCAGGTCTCCTTCCCCAATTGCACGCTCAATGGTTATGACTACGAACACAGTTCATGATGTTGCCAAGGTCTTTGATCGCTTTGTAAAGTATTCAGTGTCTCTGCATTGCAACTATACTGATAGCTCCAAGGCGAGGCGATTTCTTGCCTACGAAGCGTATGTAGCCCATCATGGAATTATTCAGGAAGAGGCAAACATCACGTCGAAGTTCATTCCCTCATGGACGGCATATGAGAGAGGTGTGGAAGCCTTGAATGTTTCAACTACATCCATAGAACACAAGGATGCGTGTAGCAGGAAAGGCTTGACGTTATCAGATCTGGGTATCAAGGTGCTTTGCAGCAATTGTCTGGTTTTATGCCACATGCTGATTCGCGCATGTTAGCCCATTCAACGAATTTGCAAGTATCCGCTATTCTTTGCGGAGCTTTGCAAGCACACGCCAGCTTGCGACGATCCAATTGTCCATGCAGAGCTCGAGAAGGTATTATCTCGACTCCAAGAAACTGCTGAAGAAATAAACTATGCAATGGACAACCCTCAAATGCGACATCTTACCGAAAGTAGCTGGCTTCTTCAGGACCGTCTGGTCTTCCGGGAAGGAGTACAGCTCTCCAATTTCTCAAAATAATCTAGTATTAACGAGCTCAGATGTTGCCCACAGGCCCTTCTACCATACGCCGGCTCGGCCATGCCATTCTCTGCGGCGCACTTCATGTAGCATTCGAGACAGCGGACAAAGTGAGAGGATGCTACTCAATATGTGTCCTCTACCGCTCTTCTTTAGTTCTTGCGACTGTTGGTAGCAACTGCGGCGTCTACCAGATCGAAGCGATCGTGCCTCTCCTGAATGCCTCTTTGGAAGCACCAGATAGTGGGCGGGGTATGTCTTTGAAGGCCGCCGTAGATCCAGCTGTTAATCAAAATCAGGCCTTCAGTGTTACACTGCTCCATACACGTGGAAACTGATCTTCCTCTACGAACAGAAATACTACGAGCTTCTCATGAGTGCATGTTCGGAGCAGGAAGAAAAGGTGTGGATCAATCACCTTACGCTGCGTATCGCTGCAGAGTCTCGAGATGCGGCAGAAGGCCGGCATAGTGATAATCATGCGCATATTGCGATGAACATCAAGCCATTGAGTGCCGCGCTTGAGCAGCATGGAGACATGATTCGCAATAAATCGATCCGACGAGCCGCGACTCTCGGTCCCAGGCTAAGCATTCATCAAGTCATTATCAAGAATACATATGCACGAACTCCTGGGCGAGGAAGCGAAGACGGATCCATTCGAGTGTCAAGATCAAAGTCTCACATGTCTTCGACTCACATGTTTACACTAGCACCGAGACGATCAGAACGAGTACGCTTGGAAGGTATACTTGCAGACGTGTGGTCTCGGGACAGCTTGCCTTACCCTGGGATGGCCACGCGGCGGCCAGAGAACGGGATTCGGGCGTCTGCAAATTCAGTCATGCGAAAGTTGAGCATGGCGAGCATCGCAAGCAATTTCTCCTCGAAGAGATCAGGCAGCTTCGGTAACTCTTCGACCCAGCGACCGGAAAGCGGCAGGACGCCATCCCCGCGAGCATTCTATAGTATGACTTCAAAGGGCAGGAGACTCAAGAAACGTTGCTCAAGAGCTGCCGTCGTTGACTTCCACACCGCGCCAGCAGCCTTTTTACCAGAAGACTTCGAGCTCAAGAGGCCAACCCTCGCGGTTCGCAGTCAGAATTTTGTGAGGCGTGCCATGACTATGGAGACATGTAAGACCGCTTCGCATCTTCATTTCCCACAGAGTGGACAGGAAAATAAACAACCAGCGTCAATTTTCGTCTCCACGGACTTCAATTCTCCAACTCTTACACCACTACAGAGCAGTGAGTCAGGGTGCTTGAGTGACATTCGACCAGCTACCACGAAGCAAGGCCACCCAGGGACGAGCTTACCACTGAAACCTTCAGCGATCGTCACCAAAGCGCCGATTAAGGTCAAGAGTCGTCTCTTTAAGCTGCTTAGAGTCCACAACAAAAATTCATGATACATTCGCTCTTGCACGACTTGGATAACATTCGTTTATATTGGAGATAATAGGAAAGTATTTTTTTTATTCAAAAGAAAGGCTCGTGCGATGTGGTGATATGAACTTCGGACGAGTCTTTTGCATTGTAGCGCGCTGTCAAATTTGCAGGATGTGAACGGTGTGACGCATGCTGCAAGGTACCCGTGCATTAGAGTAGCTTTTAATAGAGGCATCGCTTGAACCGTCGATCATCAGGAACCCAAAGAACACGGTCAAGTATCCCAACTATGCTGATCTCATTATTCGATGATGAAAGACAGTATCGTGCACCTGGTTCGGAAGGTTCCATGGAAAACACCGTCAAGGTGAAGGTGGGGTGGCATGACGTCACAAAACGTAGCTCTTTCCCCTCCCCCTCAGCCCAAGCTTCATGCCACATACATAAAGCTCACGAGACCCAGACGACTCGCAATTCTCTTCGTTCATTGCAATTGCACCTGAAAACGTTTTGAGACTTGCACATACTTCTCTATTATCCACTGGACTCCGTACACACGCGCTCCACCTTTTTCTCTCATCTACAAGCACCGATAACGCTACTCTTGAACAACACGCCAGCTAGAAAAGAAAAGAGCAAATTAAAAAGAAAATGAGAGCAGACGGCCAGATCACCAAGGTCCACTACAAGGGCGCGGACGAGGATTTCGTTGTCATCCTTGAGAGTGCCGAGGCGCTCAAGAGATGGAAGCAAGACAAGACGGTGCCGCTCGTCGACGTGGTTAACAGCTTCGACATCTTCGTCACAGACAAGTAAGTTTTGAGAGAAGAAAAAGAAGAAGAAGAAGAAGAAGAAAATGAAGAGCCTGCGAACGCAGCAAGAGCCCCTCCCCTTCTCACTGTCCCGCCGATCCCTATCCCTATTTCTCGTTCCCTCTTTATAAAGGCCACGACATGAAGACAAACACTGGGGCTAACGTGTTCGACCACGCCGGGGCAGACACGGCAACCAGGGCGTGCTCAGTCGTGCATCCAAGCAGCAGCTGGAGAACGAGTTTGGAACGAAGAACGCGGACGACGCCGTCGTCGCCGTGCTGGAGAAGGGCACCGTGCAGGAGACGAGGTCGCACGAGAGGCAGGGCGGCCGTAACGAGATGAACGGGCCGGGCATCGCCTTGGCTGGCGGCAATGTCCACAACTAGACATGGAACGAGCAAACAACAAAAACCAAGGGCGGGCGTCCCTGCTCTCTCTTTCTCCCTCCCGTTAAGCCCCTCTCCACTCTTCCCCAGTCCTCTCCATATTCCTACGCGTAGTTTTTCAAACGTGGGAGAGGGGGAGGGGAGGGGAGGGAGGTTTACCAGCGTAGGAGGAAAGGGGGGGGGGGGGGGGCGGTGGAGCAACTCCCTTTGATGCAGAACAAACAACAAGAAGCATATAAAAGGCTGCTGCTGAACTTAGCGGCGTCTGCCGATAGAAGAACCCTTCCAAAGCGTGGGTCCTGTGATGGATAAAATTTATTACACCATGGGCGCGCGTGGGAAAGCTTTTTTGTCTTGCCACCGATTCCACCCCGTAAGCTGAGAAAACTTTGCATGTCATGAAAGCATGAAGGAGTAAAGGGAGAATTTTTTTTTCAACCTTGGATGTATAAAAAAATTGAAAAAAAGGTTTTTTTTTTTAAACACGGATAAAGAAACAAACTCAAAGGAGAGCCCACGCATGAATGTATGAATGATTAAATAGGTTTGATGATATTTGTTAAACCCTAATTGGGAATTTCAAATCATGTTTCCAAAGCCCAATCCATCTTCAGAGCCAACTATTTTGACGATGATGATGATGATAACGAGGATGGTGTTGGTGTTGGTGGTTATACGTGATGTATTCAAATGGTTGTTGGTCCGATTCTGTCTCCGAATTGAGATCTTTTGTCTTTGAATCCAAGAAATGAAATGGAGAAAAAAGAGTGGAAAAAAAAAATAGACACACGAGTCTGTACGTCTGGCCTCAGCTTGCTTCCCACACAACACAGCTTCTTTCGCTCCTCCACCGCTTACAAAAAAGTTTGATGGATCGGATATCACATGCTTCGTCCCATTTATCATCAAAAGTAAAGGTCGTACACATCGTCGTCGTCATCGTCGTCATCGTACAAACAGAACCAAAGCCTTTCCTACCCCGTAAAAATGCAGATCTCAACACGTAAGGATGGCCGTGAAGACGACAGCGGCTTCTCTGCCCAACTTTAAAATTTGTACCTTTCTTCTTTCTCCTTGGGACGCTCCTCATCTTTTCTTCTTCGAAAACCCGATCCGATCAAAGACACTCTTCTCCCTCTCCTTTTTGCCCTCTGTGGAGCCAGAGTAGCCTTCTGTGACGCCAATCTCCGCACCGACGGCAGCTGCGGCGTTCTTGTACTGCATGCGGGGCAGAGCTGTTGTGCCCTCCTCCCCGTCACTGCCCTCTTGGGCGCTCACGATGCTGCCTTGTCGGGAGTCGCGACGGCTGTTGGGGTAAGAGTTGCTCTGACTTGAACCAGGCGGGTACGTGAGATTCGATTGCACGGCGAGTCGGCCGAAGGGACCTCGGCCGGAAAATGCATCTTCCATGCCGTCCATAGAGGTCGGACTCTGCACCGCACTTCCCGCTCGTATGGCTTCGGCACGTTGAGCGGCGAGATCGATGACTAAACGTCGCTGACGCTCGTCTGTGGGGATAGCCCAGTCTCTTCGTGGCAATCTCTCCACGCTCGAGCCACCGTTGCTGCGCAGAGGCCTGCCCGTCCAGTCTTTGGGCTCGCCCGGTTCCATCTCTTCTGCTCGCTGCTGGACGACGGCATGCCTCTTGTTCGGATTGCGCGTCGGGCGGCCGTTGCTCGTCGACGAGCGGACAAGGCCATCACCTTCGGTTCTCCAGGTGCGCTCACGATCGTTGGCCCAGCTTGACAGAGCTATGGCTTCAGCGTCACGAGAATCCTCGGCGACGTCGCCAAGCCAGCTGCGGTCCTCACCCGAGGAGGATGAGTGATTGTGGCTTTCGCGTATTAGGTTGCCGGAAGCCGAAGGCGAGATACCGTGGGCTGGAGTACGCGTGCCTTCACGCAAGGGAGCATCACGCGTCACGGGGAGGTGGATCGACGCGTTTCTGTCCTTTGTTCTAGACGTGTCCGTGCTGGAGAGAGAGCCGGCGCTGAACGGGTAGATGGCGCGGGAAGACGATTTGGCGTGCGAGCCGAATGGTTGGTCGTCATGTGCGCTACGTGGCGGCGTCGCGGAATCGTATTGAAGGTCATCCCGACCGTCGCTTCCAGGCTGTGGGCTGGCGGTGCTCGAAATCGCCGAGGACTGCGAGTTGTGTCGTCGGCCCGTCGTAGACTTCGCTCGGACGATGACGTCCTCGTTCATGGGCATCTCGAATGCGCGATCCCGGTTCCGGGCCGCCTCGATGGGAGATTCGGGGTTGCTCCTGGTCGTGCTAGCGGAGGAACTGCCGACGCGGCTATGCAAGCTTCGGGCCTGGGCGCGCTGCGTGTTGGCCGTCTCTAGGCCTTCGACAAGCTCCTCCCACCTGAAGCTGAGCGTGCTGCTAGGTCTCTCGGCACGCTCGGCCTTGGCAAGGCATTCTTCGGTTCGGTTTCTTAAATTTATGCATATATTATGGAACTTTAACAAGTCGCCATCCTCTTCTCCGATATGGGATTGCTGATTTGCATGGTCCAGCCACAGGGTCACAAGAGCGGCAAAGTTCTTTGCGTGGTCGATCAGGTAAGGAAGGCTTGGGAAGCCCTCCCGGCTCGTTGGTGGAAGACGTGTAAGTATCGCCAGTGGTGTGCTGTACGGTGGTGGTATGGGTGAAGTTGAGGCGTTGTTGATGGCACTGATTGAACAGACGTTATCCAAGAAGGCTTTGAATTCGCTGCGATGCGAGGTTAAAAACGTGTTCATGGGCTCCATCCATTGCTCCTTCTGGCCAAAAGTAGCCATGTTGGCCAGTGTCTGTATCGATTTTGCGATCAAAGTGAATGTACGTCTTGCATTCGGTTTAGGATGATCTGGAATGACTTGTGTTAACTGTAGTTCCAAATCATCACTCCAAGTGAGTGTAAAAAGGTGGAAAGGAAAGGGAGAGAGAGAGAGAGAGAGAGAGAGAGAGAGAGAGAGGAAAGGAGGAGGGGGGAAAGGAATTCAAATACAGAATCACTTCCTCCTCTTCCTTTCTTTTTCCTACTCTTTTCTCAGCCAAGAAGGAGTAGGTCTCACTCCATGAAAAGTTTCAAAACCAAAAGCAAAGAGCAAATGTATGCATGTACATATAAACTCACCTTTCAACAAACCAAAAAGTTTCGGGTTCAAAATCGCTGGACAGAAGAAGCGCAAGAACAAAAACCCAGAGACGCTGCTGTATCTGACGCTTTTCAAAAAATCACCGTAGCGCTCCTCCGCGCAGGCGCGGATGTGTCTGAAGATGGATCTCAGATCCGAGGGGCACTTCGTAGCGGATTGGTAGATGCATTTCCAACACTCGGCCGTCCAGCCGATCAGCTTCCTCCAGTTGCGGTCGAGATCGTTGAGGTTGCCGACCTTGGCGGGGTCGACCTCGCAGTTGGGATCTTTGTCGGCAATCTCCTTCAGCTTGTCGCCTAGGGTGTCGTCCAGCCACTCCTTGCCCAGACGCTTCATGTGGAAGTCCAGAGACTTGGTGAGCAGAGTGTTGCCTCGGAACAGTAGGTTCGCCTCGAGCGTGGCCGACTTGCCCATGTCTCGGACCATGAGCTCGCGATCAATCTGCGGGCCGAACTGGGTGCCTTCTCCTGAGTCGTTGGATCCCGTGCGGCGCGCGAAACGATGTCGCAAGGCTGGCGTGCTGCGTGTGATGCCGTCAATCTCCTCCTCAATGAGACTGGAGATCCACTCGCTGGCCTTGCCGGACACCTGAAAGATGTTCAGCAAGCATTCGCTGATGCGTTTCAGCTCTCCAGGCACCATCTGGGCAATCTGCAACGTCAGGCCGTTGGAGAAGTTGTGCAAGATCTCCGACATGGGCTGGTAGTCGCGCGCCATGAGAATGACACTCTCCTCGACCGTGATGTTGATGAGCATCTCGCCGGTGCTCTGTCCGAAGTGGTCGGTCAGCGTCCACCACTTCTCGACCGACTTACCCGGCTCGAGGTCGTCGAGGTACAGGTCAACCTTGCCGACATGAGCGTCGAACGAGATGCCGGTCTGACCGCCGATGCTGTCGGTCGCGTTGAGCGCGTCGTGGATCCGTCTCATCTCCTTCTGCAAGCTGCGCTCGTTGTGGGGCGTGCTCGGCGGACGCTTCTTCAACACGACGGACGCGACCGACAGCACGGCGGGCAGGTCCAGGAACTCGAACTCTTCTCGCCACAGCGGGCCCTGCTGCGCCGTCTTGACCATCGTCTTGGCCCTCGTCTCGCCGTCGAGAAGCACCTCGGCATAGTAGCCTCCGACGGGCTCCTTGTCCGCGTTCTTGCCGGACCGAGGGCGGTCCTGGGGCTCGTGAGCGTGTGGGCTGGACGGCGCCGTGACCCTCGCGTCGACGATACGGACGGTCAGCGTTCGCTCCATGCGGAACATGTCCTTGGTTCCGGTCGGTTGCACGGTCGAGATGGAATGCCGTCGGTTCGGCGTCTCCTCGTCCACCGTCTGCTTCGGGCCGTACAGCTGGGGAATCGTGAAGGCTCGCAGCAGCACGAGCCAGACCTCGTACAGGATGCGCGACTCGAGACTGACGTAGATGGCCCGCAGGTTGGTCTGCGGGATCTGCGAGGTGGCGTACTGGGGGTAAATGGCTATACAGTAGTCGTTGTCCAGGACAGAGGGGTCCAGCCGCTGCACGGCGCACCGGCACAGCTGCGAGAGCTGCACGCATGAGACCAGCGTCTGGTCCTGCTCCGAGAACAGCTTGAGCTCGCCGTTCTCGCGCAGCGTGCACGAGACGCGGCGCCAGCGTCGCGAGCCGAAGCTCTGCATGCGCGACGTCGCCTGGGGCTTGCCCTTGTCGTCGGTGCCCTTGGACTTGGGCGTGCCCGTGTAGCTGTACGACACGTTGGTGTCCCAGAAGATCATCTTGCCGACCTTGATGACGGGCGCCTCCCTGTGCTGCAGCGAAACCTCCGAGTGGCGTCTCGTGTCCATCAGCGGACGCGAGCCCGGCGGGGCGTCGGCCGTCTTGGTCATGCGGTTCTGCATGCCCTTGGGCCGGATGGGCTGCCAGCACAGGAGCGCGGCGAACCACGAGTCGAACTCGTCCTGCGAGTGCGGGCGCAAGTGGACCTTCAGCTTCGAATTCTGGGGCCACACGTCAAGATAGGGCAGGTGCGACTCGGCGTCCCACGCAGGTTTGATGTTGCAGCCGCGCAGGTCGGGGATGAGCGTCTTGTAGAACGTCTCTCCGCTCTTGGGCTCGTACACAAGGCTGCCGGATTCATCGTTGATGCTGCAGTACGACAGCGACCAGGGCACCGTCTCGACCCTGCGAAAGGCGAGCGGGCCCTCCATCCTGCCTCGCGTCGACTTCATCAGCTGGAGCATCTTGCGCGTATCCGTGGGCGGCACGCGGCTCATCGCCGCGGTCGAGGTCGAGCTTGCATTCGCGGCTGTCGGGGTGGTCGAGAGCTGTTGCAAATCCTCGCCGCCCGAGATGGGCAACGAGTCGTTGTCCCTGCTCTGACTCTTGATGAGCTTTCCGCGGGACTGATCGCCGCCACGGAGTGGCAGGTTGAAGGCCAGGCTGGCGGGTACGATGGCAGGATGGCCGATGGAATGGACGGCGTCCTCGGTGGTCTCTCTGAAGCCGGTCGAGCTGACGGAGTGGACGGAGCCCATGCGGTGCTGGCGGGATCTGCCGTACGAGCCGGAGGCGACGGGAGACTGGTCGCGCGGCGAGCGCTCGTCGAGCGTCCGCGTGCGAGGTCGAGAAGGGTGCTCGCGCATCGAGGCTGGGTGCGCCCGCTCGGTGTTGGAGCCAGCGCGGAACCTGCTCGACAGCGAGTGCGAGGAGGAGGAGCCATTGCCGGCCTGCGGCGAGCCGGGCTGCCTGTCTGGTATGAAGCGCTCGAAGTCGTTGGTCGTGGTGATGGGCTGCCCCTCGGGTATGGTGTCTTCCGGTGTGACGGTGCGGATGGTGTTCGCCATGCCGGATCTGGCGGCGTAGGCCATGTCTTCACGGCTGGTCGACCTGTAAGGCGAGAATTCGGGCTCTGGCTGACCAAAGTTCTTCCTCCTGCTGCCGGACGACGACGAGGGGAGCGGTGGAGGGTCCATTCTGACACTATCTGCGAGCGCGGCGGACCGGGAAGCAGCCCTCGCAGCAGCACTGAGCGTGATGGACTGAAGCCACTGCTTCTCGACCTCGAGAAGCGTACGCTCCTCCAGCTTCTCCGCTGTCAAGGCCGGTCAGGTAGTGGCCGTGATGGGTGCAGCTGGACGGTCGTCTCTATCGGCGTTGTCGTGAAGTTTGTGATGGACCCGCATCTGAGCGTACGCAGGATCGACCAATGGTGCGCCGGCGGGAATTTTCTAGGAGAGAGAGAGGGAGGGGAGGGGGGTGGGAGGGAGGAGAGGTGGCTTGATCAAACTCGGCGGGGAAGCTATCGACGGGATGTAAATTACAGGAGGTCGAAAAATGGCAGCAGCAAAGCCGAAAGATGTTTGTGCGAGGATATATTTTGAGGTGCGGATTGGAGTGAGTGGAAGTGTGGGGGGGGGGGAGGAGGGTTGCTGGTTTCTGGAAGGCGGACGCAGGTGTCAGTGGAGGATCACGAAGGGGAGGGGGATGGGAGCAGAAGCAGAAGTGGTAAGAGGCGAGCAAATTGGAGAGCGAGAGGAGGTCAAGTTTCGCGGTGGTGTCGGCGAGACAGCGGAAGGGATGCGCGAGTGTGGGGTGGCAGGAGAGAGAGCGCGAGTGGGTGAGCGGGAGGTTGAGTGTGTGCGTGAGTTCTGGTGCCAAAGGCGAGTCTGGCGGGTCGCGCACTTGATCGGGCCTCGCTTGGGCCTAGCGCCTCTTGAGTGGAGCGACCACACACACTCGCGCCCGCTGGCCGGCGACCACGGCGCTGGCCGCTGGACGCTGGACGCTGGCCGCTGGCCGCTGGCCGCGGGAACGTTGGACTCGGCACGCCTCTCTCTCTCCCTCGCTCCTCTGCTCTGCGCAGCTCAATGCTCTGCAGCACGCACGATGCACAGCGCACGACGCAGACCGAGCCAATGTCGAACTTGGCCAAAGGCGTAAACAGGCCACACGACGTGACTGCGACCGTGCAGCCAATGATGGAAGCCAGAGGCCTTTGCATGCCAGGTACGAAACCGTAGCCGAACACAAAGGGCGAATGAGCGGAGGGCCCGGCCCAGGTCTCGCGGCGAAAAGGCTCAGCACACGACCTGGAACGCAGAAGGGCAAAGGAGAGGATCATGAAAAAAAAAAAGAAAAAGGAAAAAGAAAATAAAGAAAACATTCCGGTGAAAAAGAAGACGGACAAAGGACAACTCTTTTCCCCGCAGCAGCCAAAAGGAAGCGTGACGAGAGAACAATTGCACATGGGCTCGTTGTTCTGCCTACTCTTTCTTTGTTTCCCCCCCCCTCTCTCTCTCTCTCTACTCTCTCCTTTGCGTTCGTTGTTTCTTTTCTCTCCTCGCTTCGCTCCTCTCGTGGCGAAAGCGTCGCTGTCCTTTGCGCCCGGCTCGTCTACGCTCCTCGGGCCTGCTTCCCGCCGTGACACCAGAAACCGCAGGCAAGAGGGCGAGCGCCAAAGCCCCCCAAAAAAAATGCCCTGCGCCAGGAGCCGCGAGCCGCCAGCCAGAGCCAACGCGGAACCAAGAGAAAAAAAAAGAAAACAAGAAAAAAGAGTCACTCAAGCGGAGCTCCGAACCAGATCCAAAAAAAAATAAGGGCGTTCAACGAAAAGGAAACGTCTAGCAGGGGAGGGGAGGGGAGGGCAAGGGCGGACAGCAGCTGGTCGCACAACGCTCAAGGAAAAAGCCATCGTTCGGGAACAAAAAGGCAGTGCCCGGACGCGGTGGGCTTTTGGCGCTAAAGGCTCGTTAGCAGCCGTTGAGGAACAGAAAGCTGTGAACAGCACGGCGCCAGAGCGGTACCGTCCATGCCCGCAAGAAGAATGGAGCGACGTCGCGGGCACAGGAGCGGTCGTGGTGGTCAGGCCGGCGTCTCTTCGTTCCAAGCGCACGCGCACACGCATCACGCAACCGCGCCCGGTGCACGCCCACCGCACTCACGAGACGCAAAAAGGTTTTGACTTTAGTTGTGCCTGCGCCCTGATACAGGCACAGGCACAGGCACAGGCACAGGCACAGGCACAGACACCGGCTCCAGGGCACACGAACCGGCAGCAGCACCAGCACCAGCACCAGCACCAGCACCAGCACCAGCACCAGGAACTGGCACCGGCACCCGCATCGGACTCTGGCATTATTCGACACGCTTGACATGGACGCCCGACCGGCATGGCCACGGCCACCGGCGTCGGCACCAGCTCGGACGCTGTCGTCTGGCACCCGTCTCATCACTCCATCACTCCATCACTCCTCTCGTCCGATCCAGCCGATCCATCCGCACACAATCGCTCGCAAAACACTCCTCCGCGGTACGGAAAAACGGGCACGATGTGAAAGCCTGACGAACGGGCGCAACGTCCACTAGCGCTGCTTGCACACTGCGCTCCCACCATGCCTCCGTCTTTGGCTGCCTTTACCTGCTGCCCGCTTCCTCCTCCGCATCCTCCTTCCTTTTTCATTCTTCGTCTTCTCTCCTACAGCTTCTTCTTTCTCCCATCATGCCCGTGCTCGTATCCTCTTTTGCCTGACAACATGTAACCCGCCCAATGGCTCTATGCTCTTCACCCCGTCTTGCGCAACCCTCGCTCTCTGGACTCCCTCCCGGATCTGTCTTGATGATCAGGAAAAGTGGTCTTGTTTATGTCCTTCCAGTTTGGTGGTTCACCATATTTTCTTTCTTTCGCCGTCCGCTTGCCTTGAATCTCTTTTTTTCTTTTCTTTTCTTTTTTCTTTCCTTGTTTTTCTTTTCTTTTTTTTGAAAAAAAAGAAAAAAAATCTTTCTTCTTTCTTCTCCTCTCCGTCCTCTGCTTCTTCGTCGTCTTTAACATGTTCATTTGCCTTGACCTTTCCCCTCTTCCGCTGCACACGCCCTACCCGTGGCTTTTCACGCCACTTGTCCCTCGCTGGACGGATGGTCCCAAGACTGTATCGCCCTTCCCTCGTCCCCCCCCCTCCAAATTCCAAATTTTTACTACAGGGAGCACTTGCGAGCGGGCCATGCCAGTAGCGACCACGAGCGAGCGCTAGTGCAGTCATCTTTGGCGCTTTTGAGTTCTCCGCCAAACACCAAGCCACAGTAACAGTGGTAACCTTAGCTGTAGTTGCAGAATGCCAACCCCGTCAATCCATCGCCGAGCCGGTTCCCCTTGTCGCTGATTCCTTCCATCTCTGACCCTCGTCCATTCGCCAACTGCGCCCGTGTTCCGCGCGCATCCAGTCTCGCTTCATCTTGAGCCAAGATAGCCAGTTTTGCGCCTCTGAGCCAGCTGGACAGGCCCCCGGCCTTTCAGCTGGGCCCGCATGCTGGTTCGATGATGCAGAAGGGGGAGGGGGTAGGGGCCCGTGGTTGCGTTCCTCGCGTATCGCCTTCCCCGGCCGCCCGCGAAAGAGAGATGCTCGTATAACATCGCATCCTCTCGTTGCACCTGGCACCGACGCACCACCGTTACGACTGCTACTGCTGCTGATGCTGCGACTCTCGTTAAAGAAATACCCGTCCTCGTCCTTCCCGGCTCGTCAAATCTCGAGCCGACCAGTCGTGCCCGTTCGCCGGCATGTTCCAAGACCGTTGCGCCCCAGCCGGATTGCTACCGCAACCGTTCTGCTCGTTTCCATGCCTCGTCGATGCTAACGGCACCAAGTCAACAATGGCTGCACTGAAGCATAATACAGTTGACTATACATCTCGTAACCCTTGCCCTGCGCCGTTCTAACCCCCTCATCCCTTTTCCCTGCGAACATCACTCAAGGAAATTTCCCCTCCACTCTCTCTTTCAAAGTCATCCATGCTATCTCCCTAACGCTACCTTGACCAAATTTGTCAGTCTCTGTCACTTTGCTACCATGAGGCGAGAATCGCAAGTGGCCGTGCGTCTGATGGATCTTCTGTTCGGGCCTGGTCCCTACAAAATCTTCGTGCTGGAAACATCCACAGGAGCTGCAGCCATCGTAGGACAAGTGCAACCAGCATCGAACCCTGAGCGCTTCGCTCTCGACGATGACAATCACAGTCCGCGGTCGTGTGTGCTTTTCACGGATCCTGCTCATCACCCATTATGATGGACATGCACAAAAACCAGCGGAGGACTTGTGTTTTTTTATCCCTGTCCATCTACGTTCACTTCGCCTGCATCTGTACGTGACCCTGGCTTGATTGACGTCTGTACCTTTCAAAGCGGCGAGCATCAAAAATCCTCACGACTCCACTTCGCACAGCCAAAACAGCACGTTCACTTGTAGAACGATTCATCGCAGCCTGCCACTTGGCTGCTGCTGAGCAGTCGACCAATGCGGCACTTGCTTTTGCTCAATCGACGATGCTTCGCTTTCGTATGACTATCCCTACTGTTGCATCGTGAATCCCTATACGTGCTTAACGCACCCCCAACAGGACGACAAGTTGTCGAAAACAGAAGCGAGACATCGGCCCAGAGATGGGACCCCGGTGTCAATCTCTTGAATATCGTAAATGAACCGAGCTCATCGGACAATTTTTCACGGCTGATGTCCATTCACCTAGGGGCTGACCGGGTCTCGACACAGCAGCGGCATTAGTAGCAATGGCAAACAGTTTATGCGTGGTCGCAAGTCTCAAATCTACCTAGCGGCGATACGCAGACAGACTGCACATCGTCCAAGTAGATTGAATCGACGACCGCTTCTTATCTCCCAAGGCACCGTGGAGAGGCTAAATTGATCCTGCCCCGTAGTGGACTGTTCCAATTCCACCGTCTTGCAATGTGACAGGCTTCCGAGTAGGGAGACCGCTGGCCGGGATCCAGTATAGGAGGAGATGGCTCGAAGTGCAGGGATTTAACTACCAATGTGGAAATTTTGCCGTCGACTTTAACAAGCTAATAGGTGCTGTTGGTGAGGGGCCTGTCCAGGTCGCAATGCTCAAGAAGTTCTGAGCTTCTTGCTTAGATTATTGTCCGGAACAGAAGAAAGAGGACGTTGTTCATGCCGTTCTCGTCTCGGATTCATCAAATGGCCCCCGTTGACACGTGCCACGCTCTCAGCCAAGATCCACAATGATGCCTTTTCCACTGAATTTTCATTTCCTTTGTCAACAGGAACAGGGAGAAAGGGTAACCATGGAAGACATTGCACTCAAAATGTTCGAAGGGTTCCCATCTGACTCAGGTCCATTTTGTTGTACCAACTCCGTCCCTTCTTCGCTTTCTCCCCTAGTTCGTGGACAGCCGCCAAACGCGAAAGACTTTTAAGGGCGTGCTTGACACGCAAGCAAAGGTCCGACCCGACATGTTGGTAGGACCTTGCACTCCTCTCCCGCATCCTTATCGGTTATCGCTGAAGGAACCCGATCCTCGACCGCGTTTCGCAGCGCAGGATCCGAGATGCCTTTCGGCAGCTTGTCGAGATTGAGTGTGGGGAGGCCAAGACAAAGCAAGGAACCTGCGGCAGCCTAAATCCTTCATATGGTGGTGTACGGCACATATGCGAGCCTTTTGGGTGGGCGATCATGACGCTTCGTCCCATATTGTCCCGTTATCGAAACTCCCTTTACTTTCTCACATAAAGCCGTTCTAAGGGAGGGCCATGTCAAACTGCCCTCCTTGCTTCCCCGAACTGAAGTAGTGTTAAGATGACGAGTCACCACGGCGATCCTTTCTGATATGGAATCTTCCAACGTAGAAATGCAGGCAAGCAGTGGGCAGGAGCGCTGCAAATGCTGACCCAATAATGACAAGGACCTGGCCACACCCTAAGTTCAGGCCCTGGTCAAAGTTACTGATCGGAACCGCGAAGAGCCTAAGTTCACTGTTTACGACGATATCTCCTAAAGAGGTGTCCGCCGACCACGCAAGCCAGAGAAGCTGTGACTTCTATGTTTGCAACGGAGCATTAGCACAGAAATCGGTAGACTCAGTCCGAAGGAAGGCTTTCAAACAAGGCCTCGAAGTCTCTTAATGCCCTCAATGGCACCTGGCGGCCGGTTTGACGGGACGTATGTTTTCATCAACCAGACCATTTCTAAGCATCACGCACAGTCTGACGACCTACCGCGCAGCACGTGTCATTCGAAGAAAGAGTCAAAAGAGCTTGGAGCCTGCGTGCCTTGCCCGTGCAAGCCTAGTTCATAACGTCGACAATTGAAAGATGTCCCCAAGATCAATACGCCCATGCTTAGTGATTCAGTCTTTTGCTCAGCACGCTTGCCCGAACGGCATGTCTAGATTGAGCAGGCTGTGTTCATCCTATATCCCGGGAAGAATCATCGATCCAGGTACTGTTGCAGTAGAACAGATAGCAAGAAATGCCTGCGATCAACGGAGCTTAGTTCGGAACATGTATCTAAACCGGAAGCTGAGGTGGACAGAGGCGGGCCGCAAATCGCTTCAATAAAGCTAATACGCCTGATACTCATACATTGACTTTGGCGTCCATGACCACTTTCATAGGATAGACGTTGTAGGCAACTGCGTCCGGAGGTCAAGTACAAATCCTGCATTTGAAGTTGCTCAAGGCATAATCCAAGCTTTAACGCAGTTTCGGCCCAAGGCTGAACAACATCCGGTAGTGAAAAATTTTATATCGTAAGTCAAATGGCATGTCCGCAATTAAGACTTGCTTGTCTCGCGGAGTGAAACCTCCCGTCATAGTCATCGTCTCCATGTTGGCCACTTGACAGTTTGCTGTCACGTAGTTACTCATTTTGTCCGTGTGGAAATGCCATCAGAGCAGCTGAGATGTTGTTACAAGGGGCAGAAATACGCTGAAAGCCGCCTCGTGATGCTTGTCATTTGCCGTGCTCCGGAAAATACCACAAGGCGCTGCAGACTGTTGTGGTCAGTAAATGCACCAATCCCTGCGGCGTAACATGTATAACATCCAACACGTTTTCAAGTCTCTGATTGTGTCACTTCAGCCAGCAAAGCATCTGACTTCGACCGCTCGTCGCCGTCAAGCAAGCGGTACGCCTGTAAGGAGCAGACAAGCCACGCACACAGAATATGCACAAGTTTTAAGCAAAGACGTCAAAAACAGCGACAAGATAATCAAAAAGGCGGGGAATGATGAACCGAAACAGGTTGTCTTTGATTCTCATTGCAGGCGAAGGTACAAATACCCGTTGTCCTCCACGCTAGATATCAAGATTCCAAATCTCTTACATCAATAAAGAGAATGATTCCATAGAGAAAGGATAAAAAGGCCGAAAGAGGAGCGTCTTAAAGCTCCTGGGGCCCAAATAGGAGGGGCGCTCTTCCACACGCCCCTCAGTGTAGTCCGACGTTGTTCGTCAAGTTCGTGTCCACGCGGATGAAGTGTAAGGAAGTGAACCAAGAAAGTAGAGGAAGAAAACGAAGAAACGCTCTGCGCTTTGCGCGTTCGTTCGGTGAACCCGACAGCCCTCACCTCCCTCCTTTGGCAATCATGTGCAGAATATATGCATTAGATGCGGCCCCGCTGTATCAATAACCAATGTTTTGGCCGTGCAGGACTTGAGTCTTGGGCTCCCCAGCCTTCCCAAGGCCATCCCTGATAGGATAACCTTGTGATCACAAGACAAAGCAGCAACGGAGTTTTGCACTCTTTATCGGTAGTAAAAGGAAAATCATAAATCTCTTCCTCTGAGGCAGATCTACTTGGCGCTGCTGGTGGGAGCAACGACACTCGGGGGTAACGCTATCGAGTTCCTCTCAATGGGACTCACCGGACTCCTGGCGATACTTAGGTCGCCACTGCCCGTCTTCCGCAACGCCTGCCGCATTGTTTCCACCGTGAGCTCTCCACGCTCGAGAGGCGGCGAATGCGTGCCGCCTAGACTCATGGGACTGCCTGGGAAGCCGCCCACGGCAGGCTGCTTACCGGGGATTTCCATACCCTTTACTGAGGGGGCACCAGACGTAGGCGGAGACATTCCCGACTCGCCAGGACCGTGAGAGGAGGCCGGCGAGCGGACGGGAGACGGAGATCGATTGCTCGTCGACGACACAATAGACATGTGCAGATCCTTGGGCATACTGGACAGGCCGCTCTCGAGCGCGTGCTCGCCCTGGACCACATCCGCAAACGAAATGAAGCTCAGTCTCCGTACGTCTGACGCATCAAGCGCACCGTAATGGCTCACCGGCTCCTCCGTGCTCGTCTCCATTGTAGCTGACGGGCCCAGCGTCGGGACTTCGGAAGCATGCCCCAGCGAGAGGAGCGAGAACGTGCCGCTCGGATCCTGGTATTGCGCAATGGTGGAAGCGGCGGGCTGGTGTGCGGAATGCATGACAATCTCGACCTCGTCCGGGTTGAGCTTGTCGTCGGTGATGGCGTGCGAGGACGCCTCAAGGATCGGCGGAATGTAGTCTTCCGTCTGGATGTGGTGCGGAATGGCTGCCTGCAGGTCTTCCGGCAAGGGCGCCTCCTGCACGTTGCGCTCGAAGATGAGGCTTGACGCTGGTGAATGCAGTCGCGGCGAGGACGAACGCACGTACCGCGACGGGCTCACCGCAGACACGTGTGACTGCGGTGACGCGGGGAACTGCACCGGGTTCGATGGCGGGGTCATATGTGGTTGCTGCGGGCCAGGCGAGAGTGAACGTGATACAGGCTTTGCAGACGTGCTAGTGGAGGGCGACTGTGTGTTTGCTGCGAGTGGGGGAGAGGAGGTGGGTGCCGCATCTGAGGAGGATGGCGAAGTCGCTGCCGCCTCGCCGCTCTTCGTGGTCGTATGCTTGCCGTCCTTCTTTTTCAGCAACCCGAATAGCTTCTTCTTCTCCTTAGTCTTGCCCTCATTGCCAGACATGGCGTGCTGGGCGAGCTCCTGAGAAGACTCGAGCGAAGACGCTTGCTGTGGCTCAGCGACAGGTCCTGGCTGTGCGGGAGTCGAGCTCCCCAGAGAGCTCATTGTGCTTCCTCGACGTCTTCCGTATTGTTTTCGTCGTTGTCGTCGCCGAGTTCTCGATGTATAGCTCTTAGGTCTGCTATTATCGATTGGTTGCTGTTGCTCTTGGTGGGCGTTTCGATGCCGTCCCTAAAAGGTGGGGGGCCTTGTGACCTCAAAGAGAATTGCTGTTCCCGTCGACTCCCTTTTTTCCTCGTTTCTCTTCAGCGCGGGAAAGCAGCGAGTAAGCTCGACAATAGTCACGCACAGGAGCACAGAAAGCGAAGTGTGATACGAAACTCAATCGGGGCCGGATCAGGGGCGGACAGGAGTTGCATGGGATCGAGCGAAGGCAGCGGTGGATGTGCGAAGTGGAAGCTCGGATTGTGACTTTTAAGGCGGCCCGGGTCGGAATGCTACCATCGCCAAAGATACGAGCTAATCGAGAAGGTTCTTGAAAGAGCGAAAGAACAAGCTGTTGACGCACAGGAGAAGACGCAATTTCAATCCAAGTTAAAGGCCGCCAATTCAATGAGCAAGTCCTGCTTGAAGACGGGGCAGACAGTGCAGCAAGAAGCCGATGTACATAGTCGCACCAAACAACACCCATCTCATCAACAAATGACGCCGCGGGCCAAGCCAGAAGACAGCCCAAACACCAAAAACAAATCATGTGGCCCCATGAGAAGGAATATGACCCTGGATTTGCCTGTACTCACTCCGTTGCTGCTCGTCCTTGGATCCAGTTCGTGGACGGGAGCCGTACGTCAACCCCGCGCCACAACCAAAATACCCACCCCAGGCCTCTGCCAATTCATCCACGGCGGCGCTGTAGCTAGGACGGCTCCGACTTCGTACTTTGCCGAGTTAGAGCACTGCGCTGTTCTGCGCTTCGACACGTTCCTTTGCAGATCTTCGTCGGCGCCTTGACCTGCCCTGCTCTGCCGTCCTGTGCCTGGCATCACCGCCATTACGTCAGAGGATGCGACGCCGCGCACTCTCTAATCTTCAATGCTGCGACTTGCTTGCCCGTTTCACATGTTTGTCCCAGCGGTACGCGTGCCAATCGTCATCGCCGTCTTCGGTTCAGATGCTATGGCTCTCCTCCCGTGTCCCACTGGCCGCCTTGGATCTCACGTCAAACACTCAGGGCCAAACACGGCTTCGTTTAGATAAAATTAGGCTGTCCCAGCGCCACTTTGATTGGCAAAACCCCTCCGCGCTGGGGGGGATCATCCCGAGCTATTTTACGCAGCTATGATTGGCAAGCCTGTCTGGGGGGCAGTTGTGCGAGTCTTTTATGCTTCCTCGTGCCGTGCAAAGCCAGATTGTGGATCTGAGGTGAGGGGAACACGCGACAGCTCGTCAGACCCAAACGCTGGATGACGTGAACGCTTGGTTCTGTGCACGAGCTGGCCACGCAAACACGGGCAGATCAAGCGCAACGGTGAGATCCCATCGACGGGGGTTGATGAACCGAGCAGGCGTCCCATTGTGCTTGTACTAGCGTAGAAGCACTCTGTTTGTCGATCTTTCCCGTCGCTGTGCCTAACTTACACTGAACGGAAAGCGCCGCATGTACAGTAAAAGGAACAATTGCAAGTGCCATTCGCTGTCGATCTTTGTGTTGTTGCCTACCTACCCGCACCTGCCTTGGTACATACAGTATCTTATGGCTCCAGGATACGATCACTGCAAAATCAAAAGCAACAAGCCAAATATAAGACGATCATTTCAGGCTCCGTGGAGCTGCACGCTGTTTTTCTTTTCTGTTGCGAGCACGAGTGGCCGGCGGAAAACAACGTAGGAGAGCCTTCCAAACCCAAGCCCGTGCATGTTGCCATTGTTTGAGTGCAAAGAAAAGGAAGGTAAAAAAAGAAGTAGTTGCCTCTGGCTGCCGAAGCTGAGATTGCGGCTTCAGCATCGTGCCAGTTCTGCAAGTGAAAGCAAACCGCATTTCAAGAAAAATTTGTCCTCTGCTAGCCACAAGTCCATTTCCAGCCAAAGCACCCTCGTGAAGTATCGAATCCAAACGCTCCTCGACATTGTACAATGAGTCTACACCCTCCAGGACGCTAGGTTCAAGTGGCCGAGACTTACCATGAGATCAGAGCATCTGATCTTGAACGCGTCTCTTCAGACGCTTTCATTGATGACGTCGTCGCGCAAGAATCCGAGCTGGATCTTGACATCCTTTCCCGTCCTTTGCGTCTGAGTCAAATGCATGGCCTAAAGCAGGCTCTCCAACTTCAATCTCATCAATCACTACATCACAGACTTCACCATGATTGGCAGGCAGCAATGTGTTGCCAGAAGGACCGAACGGCTGCACCAGGCCAGGCTCCTCAATCTCGTCCTCTTTCATCATCAAAGGCGAAGCCTCCGTACTGTCGTCTGTCACAAATTGATCACCAAACTCAGGTTGAACTGGTTTGTAGTATCCTCCGGCCCCGGCGTTCGCAAGCTCCTTGTCCCTCCGAGCATCCATGATCATCTCTTCACGCATAAGCTCCTCTTGAGCCTCTTTGGTGAAGTCTCGGCTCTGAGCAAGAGCTTTAACTTCCAAGGCGTATGCGATTAGTTCTGGGTTGTGGCTAATCTCTGGCGGAAACTCAATCTCGACGTTGTGGACATGTCGAAGTGCCTTCAGAGGTGCAGAGACGAGCTGAACGTTGTAGACCTTGTGCATAATGCTTTCGCGAGGCTCATACATGGTTGAAAGTTCAGTCAAGCTGGACGCAGCGTCGGCTTTCTTCGCTACCGCAAGCCAGAAATTACCAGTCCTATCGGTGATGGAGTTCGCTAAGCTGAACTTCTCCCATTCACGGGCCTGCTCGTAGTCAAATCGAACTTTGATGCTCGTGACACGGTTTTTCTCGTTTTCGTCTTTATCCTTTTTCAAGAGATGGATGAGTCTGCGCAAAGACTCACGCATACGGAGGCCTGCTAGTCGGTCATCGGGGCGGCCGGCGAAGAAGACGAATTCAACGTGCTTCATACGATTGAAGCAGAAATGGCCCTTGCTTTCAAATACCGCCATTGCGTTCTCAATCTCTTGGCCACAGGTTTCAAGTGTCGGGATGCGATCAAAATGGAGCAGATCCACGCCGTTGGGGTGTATGTGCACTTCAAAAGTGTACTCTTCGAAAAGGATGGTCGAAACTTCAAGACACAGCTTGACATTAGTGGTCAGAAGTGTGAGAATCGCGTTCGTAGGTGTTGCGTCGTGTGAATCCATCTTTTTGGAGGCAATGATTGCACTCTGAACATCCTTTTTCGTCTCACCACTGCTGGCTGTGAGATCGAGGTTTTGGTGGTTTTGTCGTCGGACCTGTGGAACGGATATCGGTGGAGTGTGTGCTGCCTGGTGGATGATCTGGCCCGTCGGCATTGCAACAAAGTTGTGAAAAGCCGGTGCATGATGCTGTGGTAGTTGAGAGTTGATAGAGACAGCAATGGAAGCATTGAACGGACTACCCTGATATGCGATTCCCGCGGTGGCTGTAAAAGGACCGGCTGGAGTTGGGTTAGACGGCAGGGCAGCCAGATTCAGAGTTTGAGGATGTGTAGTGGATAAAGTCGTCGCATGAGGGTTGAAAACTGGAGCAGCTGGATTCGGGACTGGCGGAGAAGGGGAGTTATGGAGAGTCGCCGAATGGGTAGGAGGAATTGATTGAGCATTCTGTGGGCTTACTGTCCATCCGTTCAGTGGATTGGCAGTGAGTGGAGGAGCAACGCCGAAGGCTGGATTTAGTGAAACGTTTGGCACTGCTGGCCCAAGGTTGGGGGCGTTTCCTGTAAGCAAAGGCGGTAGAGGTGTCCCGAGGAGTGAAGCCCAATGTCCAGGACGTTGAAGCACGGCCTGGTGTGCGCGCTGCGCATCGTTTCTCATCCGCCGTCGACTTCTCTCTAGGTACAAACGGTGCGTCTCAGCAAAGTCCTGGCTCCTCGCGTACTTCGTTGGGACAATGTTCTTTGACTTGTCCGGAAGCAGATATTCCAGGAAGATGGTGCGTCTGATCTCCGGTGGAAGCTTTGTGAGAAAAGGTGTACCTGTCGCTGGCGGAATGGTCGGATCTCCTAACGGCGTGGGAAACGATGGTACTTTGGTGGGTAGTTTTCGATTCGTGTTCCAATTTCCATCATCTTCATCGACATGATTCAGGACAGGAACACAAGATTCGATCCGATCTTGAAGCTCGTGTGGCAGTATGCCAACTTGTGAAGACTGCATCCCGCAGCCAAGCAGTTCTCTTGTAGTGGCCATGAAATTTCTCTTAGTGGCAACCCAAAGTTTAGGATCTTAGAAGTGAAAGGCTTTGTTCAGGAGGTACACACGGCCAGAGAAGCTTGTCGAAGAGCGTCGTGACGCCCGTCTTGAGGACGAAGTGAGAAGGTGTCACGTCGACTAGATAATCTGCAGAACGCCTTTGCTTTATGAATTCTGGATAGCCTCACTAGTCAAATTCGGTCTGCGCCAGATATTGCAAAGTGAGGAAAGAGTGAGCTACGGTGACAACGAGGATTTAATGTTTGACAGCGAGACTGCAAGGTGATATCAGGCTGTGAGTTTCCGCAGGTCGGCCAGTCAACTGGACTGTACCACAACGTCGGGGATGTTCTAGTGTCTTTGCCAATACGGCACAGTGAGCATTGAAGGACGAACTTAGTCGATGGTAACGCTTGGTGTTTAGGTGGTAAGCAAGTAGAAAAGCACGGCATAAATGGAAAGATGATGTTGTAGTGGTAACGAGGCTCAGAGAGCCATTGAAAAGTGAAGTGACTTTCATTTAGACTATTTACAGGATGAACCCTCTAAAAGCAGCGGGTAACAACGGGCCACAATGCTTTCACAGCATCGCACCCCACACACTCTAGCTCTAACGCCGTGCAATGCATGTTCTATTGAATAATGATACAACAACCGCCGCTTTGTAACGGCGTTATATAGGGTCCACCGTCACGAGAGGATGCGCTTCGAACTGCTTGAGCAACGCTTGATACATAACCAACATGGTTCCGCTCTGAATGCTCGTCCACACTGCGCGAGGACCGACACCACGGAACCAGCCGGCCAAGCCTTCCGTCTTGTAGATGATCCTCAGGCCACTGATGACGGACGAGGCGTCAATGGTGGCCGCCGAGTGCATTTTTAAAGAAGTGGAGGGGGATGACGTGGAGATCGCTCGCTTCATCGCCGATGTCGTCTTGGATGTACCAATAGGTGGTGTTGCATGCTTTGCTGGTATATTGGCGGACGGAGCATGTGTAGAAGGCGTAGCTACCGGCTTGGAGGAGCTGGCAAGATCCGGATTGTGCTGCGTCTGTATCCTCGTCTTCACAACGTCGAGCGGGCACGTCAAAACGCCAGCCAAGCAACCAGCCGATGCCCCAGTGAGGATCTCCAACGTCAAGCCAATGTCTCTCTTGCCCACCCATGCCTTCGCCAGTTTTTGCTCCTGCTCGTAGAACGCAAACTGCAATGCAGAATACGGCAGGTCGCGTACGAGTGTTGCCTTGAAACCGTGAAACAATGCCGAGGGGCCCTCATGGCGTACAATCTCCCTGATGGCATGCGTCATGCCCCTGTAGTTGTATCCGCTGTTGAAGTATTGATTATTGTAACGGCCCTGTAGTTGCAAGCGCGTCTTGAGCACTTCGGACGGCACATAGAGAGGAGATGCAGCCAAGTCAGCAACGAAGCCTGTTGAGCACGGTGAGTGGCGTGAGACGTACTATCAACGAGAATTGCGCACGCACCTGCGGTAAGATAGGTGACCGACGGATTGATACCTAGGTCCAGCATGGTTCGCTTCGTCCATTCGTACGTGCCGAAGAAAATGAGTGTGCCTGAGAACGAGCCTAGGAAGGCTGGAAGACCTCCACCGTACAGACCTTTCCGAACGCCTTCTTGCCGCAGGATAGTCCAGTAGCTGGACCCTAGAGAGGTGTACTTGGGCGGCATGTGTGGATCTCCCTGCTGTCTTGTCTTGACGGTATCGAGCGAATGCATCAGCATATCACCCGTGGTTCCTCCCAATGCGCCCGCCAGCATTGCCTGATTCTACATTAGCCCAAGTCATCATCCGCAGGCCAAGACGCCATTTATCGTACGTGGATGTACGGCGGCCTCAATGCCTCAAAGTCCTCCGTCGCTGCCATCCCTTCTGACGCCCGTCTAGTATCCTGGACGTCCAAATGGAATGTGCTGCTCTGTCCATCATCGACGCGCTCGTGTTGGGTGCCAGAGACGTACTTGGCCACTTCGGCCCATACCATGGACGGAGAACGTTGCGAAGGGGACTGAGGGTAGAGGAAGGGTGGGGAGAGCAGAAGGGAGAGAAGGGGAAATGTCGATTGCGCCCTGAAGATGCCGCGATGGATGATAGATCCAGCGATCAGATACCCGAATCGGCTCACGCAACTTTTTTTCTGAGCCTGGAAGCCTTGGCACCGAAGCGGTGCCTCTTCCAACCCAAACTCCCCTTTGTGGCAACGACAAGGGCAAATTTCATCATCATTTTCTTTGATCCGAACATTCATGGGTAAGTAGAGCCGTCGTATGGGCTTTCAACTTGATTTTTCATTTTTCCATGAATATAGCAAAACCACTATCAAGTAAATTCGAAAATAATTCTGCTACTCGCATGATAGCGAGCAAAGGGTATCTGACAAGACTTGCGCTCGACCGCGCCGCGGAGACAGCCAAAGCAATGCGACTAACTGCGAAATGCAAAAAAGCAAAAGAAAAGGACGGAGGATCAGAGCTCGAAAACAGAAGTTGCGGAAACCCACCGATGCCCACAGCATGGTTAAGAATATCCTTCAAGCAACGCCTTCAACATTGATCCCCAACAAGCCCAGATCCTCCATCATCTCCTCCACTTCCTGGCAACCAATTTGCATCAGGTTGGTGGATGGATCATTGAGGATGCAGATCTGACTGGCCAGAAATGCGTCCCTCGTAGTCAGGCAGCTGCCAACATCTTGGAGCCAGTACCGCACGGATCGCGGCCGGTCGTTCAGCCACGAGCTGGCCATGTACAGTGCTGCGAGTACGATGACCTCTGACTCTGTGATGCCCGAAGCTTGACGAGCAAGTAGCTCGTTCTTCCAGTCCCTTACGAAGCGCCACGATAAGCGGTTAAGAATGCATGCTGCGAAGGCGATTGTCTGATGGTCCAGGCAAGCTCGGCGTAGCATCTTTTCAATACGGGAGACTTTCATTGCCGGTACACACTTCTCCCTGATCCGTATGACGTCCGCTAGGTAATTTGCAGGCTCTGTTGTAGTTGTCAGTTGGTTCTGCTTCTAGGAAGAATTGGCATTCGTGGCCCTGTGGAGTATAAAGCGGCGCCCATCCCTTCACCCCACAGTTGGACTATGCTATGGTTCCCTGAAGCGTCACGGTTGTTGATCACGCACCTTTGTATGTCATGTCAGGGTCAGCACCAGCCTCGTCAGAGGAAGTTTCTCTAGGCGAAACTTCCTTTGATATTGGCGGTGTTGGCAAATTGGAGAGTGGTGCGTAGTTGTCGAGCAGCAGGCTGAGGCTGACCTCGTCGTCGTCGACTTCAGCGTCGTTAACATGCACCTTCCTTCTCTTGGCCGGCATATCCTCCTCATCCGTCAATGGTGGCGTCATGATCACCTTCATCTTGTCGCGAGGTCCAACACACACATCACACGACGGCACACTTGGTGCCTCGTATATGCAGAACTGGAGTCTCGAAAGCGATGCGATGATTGCGGGGTGCAGCGCAGTCGCCTTTTGTATCACTTTGCATACCCCTAGAACGCGTGTGAATAGCGTTTCGATATAACTCCTCTTCACTCCGAAGGGTCCAGTGAGCAATATATAGTTCATGTCCCTCGCCAGCAGGGTAACTTGGCCGGCTACAGGTGGCAACCCTAAGAGCCGCCAAACCACGTGCGCACTGGACGCAGAGGGCACCGAAGCATCCGGCGTAAGAGTGAAGAAAAACCCACGATGGAGCTTGGGTGACACGGCGCAGATATATGGTGGCCACGGTGTTTTTCGAAAATAGAAAAATAAAAAGGAGTCTGCATTCGTTATTATGGGGACTCGGCTGGAACGTGATGCAACGCAGTTGCCAGCGAACAAGTACTCCGCTTTTTCGCAGCACCAACTTGGTGCCGCGCCCGCGCTGGAACTCGCGGTCAAGAGCAGCGTGCATGAAGGCTCGTTAGGGCCGGCGTGATGCCTAGGGCGGATGATGTGAGCACGGCCTATGGGGACAAGTATGGCGTGCAGCATCGCCTCCAGCTTGGGTCTGCGCGTGTTGGACGATCCTGCCGAGTTCACGGTCCATCGCGAGGCGCTGAACTATTGACGTTGGGAACGTCGTACGCGGCTTCGTGGAGCCCGGGACTCCTTTTTGCGGTGGGCTTCGCTGCTGCGCTGTGCCCGCCACGGATGCGTTTTCCGGTTCCTGAACGTGTTGTCTGTCCATCATGCCGTTGCAGAACGGCTCGACGCAGTTTCGATCGTGTGGTCTCTCGAGTTTCTCTGCTCTGACTTTCACGGTGCCTCCTCAGCCTTGCAAACTCACGACGCCAACCCGCCCTCCCCCCTCTCACGCGCCGAGACTGGCGTACACACTTAGCAAATGACTGCGGGTGCCGTTGCGTGTTTGCAGGCGAGTTCTTGACATCGTAAACATGATCTCGTGTCTGGCACAGGGATGGAGACTTGGCTACGTTTGCAGCCTCCGCACACCCAAATTCGTACTGCCTGCTTGGCCCTGCATCCCAACCGCTCGGCGGTGGACTTCAGCCCCAGTCAGAGCACTGTCCTGTGCTCCACTTCGTCGCCAGTTCTTCACACCGACTCCTCTTCAGCCAACCAGAAGGGAGTTTTGTCGAATCACATGAAATATGGTCTTCGCAGAGTTGATGTGCGGTGTTGATGGTAAGGCCTGATCATGACCTCATGGTTCTTTGCCCTTATCAACGCTTGCGAATTCAAACTGAATTCTTATTCTACTCGCATCTTTGCCAGAAACGACTAGGCATCGGAGCTTGCATCACAATACGAGCTTGTGGGCGACCGCGTCAGATTGTGGTGAACTGCGTCTACGAAAGTTCGGCCGTCTCTTGCGAAAAGAGCGAGAGAAGAACATGATCCTGAAGATACTGAATACACACTACAAGCAACGACACCAAAGCTCCAACACCTGTCCCATGGCGCTCTGCAATCAACCAGCCGATTTCTAGGTACACAACCCCCGCTCACCATCCGTTTCCATCATACAGCGCGCCTGCTCATGCCGCAAGCGGAGGCTGTTTCGGATAAGAACGTCCTTAGTCACAGCCTCCCGATCAACTGGCACGCGAATTCGGCAGACTATTGATGTCTTCTTCTTACTACCAAATTAGTCCTGGATAATGACTTTCTTGTCGGTTTCGGTCTCTTGAAACGCACGCAATTACTGTGCTTTCTTTGGACCAGCGCCTGGTTCACTGCCGAGGTACTTGCGGAGATCAGTAGCATCATGAGCCTGCTTGACAACGCTCTTGACAGTTTCCCAGCCCTGTCGTACAGCAGGGTTCATCGACTGGTTAGCAAACTGTGCATCGGCGCGGGCAGTCAGGTTGGTCACAGCGCCCTGAACGAAGCTGCTCTGGGCATGTCTCGCGCGGAAGAACGCAGTGTAGATAACCAGTAGGATCCATGAGCCCTTCTGGAACATGAGAGCCGAGAGGAACAGACGGAACCAAAGAGCGATTTCCAGTGCGGCAACGATGGTCATTGACTGGTCATAGTAATCCTTGACAAACTTGCCAATCGTGTCACTCAGACCAGATGCCTTGGGCCTGCCATCTGGGGTCGGAGCAATGGTCGGGAGGAGATTAGCCCGAGTGTACGTCAGAACGTGGAAGAGCGAGTACACGGTAAAGGGCAAAATGGCGAGCGGGATCTGGCGAGAAAAGAGCCAGACCAATGCCATGACTAGTGCAAATCATTAGAGCTTGTCCGTGGATCTAGACCTGGATCGCAGTGACTTACGCAGATACTGTACATTCTCATCGCCCAACATCGAAAGTGGGCTGATGGGCTTGCCCGTCTTTTGCTTCGCACGCACGCCCTTGTAGACGACTATTCCGTACGTGATACAGGCAGATATGAATGCGAGCCGGTAGGAGAAGCGAGCCATTCGAGAATAGTAGTTGAAGAAGATGTAAGAGAGACCGTATCGTAGAGCGCTGAAGAGCAGAGTGACGTGACCGGCAAACCAGGCAAACTGCAGAGTCTGTGCCAGACGCATCAGTCGCTCCTGCAGCGTACCTGTCTGGGGTGGAGGGCCAGCCATGACGGGGATGTGCGTAAGGTGATGTTGCTGTCAAAGTAACACGAAGAGAGTTTGGAGCTGTCTGTCTTCGTTCAAGGCGGTCAGCGAAGCGTCGACGACAGGATGCAAGATAGAGACTTGGGCCAGACGAAGTCAAAGTCTGCTCGAGCTTCTGATGCGGATGGGAAAGGCTCCAGCACAAGACAGTCGAGGAAAAAAGACGGGGCGGATGGACAAGTTCCAGCTGGCAACTTCAGAGCAGTTTTGCGTGAGAAAAGAGGCTGGAGCAACGTCGCCAGTCACTGAGAGGAGCCGTCACGGCGTCTGTGCGCCTGGAGCTCCCACAGAGAAAAACTTCGTTTGAGGCCGCTGAGGCCCAAGGAAAAGAACAGCCAAGCGCAACTTACCGATTGAGGCTTTGTATCGAAATTCGATCTTCAGTGAGTCTGTGTTTGCGAGAAGAAGGGGGCAGAACAAAAGGAGGCCGTTGTTTTTGCCCGCAGGAAAGCTTGTCCAAGCAGGAAGACTGGGCCGCGCTTGGTCATGCCAACAGACGTCATCCTGACCCCGACACCTGCTACACTCTACAACCGACACGGTCTGCTTGCTACACTTGTGCTGAATGTGTTGATCATTGAAGCTGCGATTGCCAGTCTGTCAAGATCGAAGCACGCGATCAAAGTACTGGCTTCCAAAACTTCGATTATGTATCTCTAGCGCAAAAAACTTTTGAAGTCAAACTGGCTTTGTTGATGCGGAGTGCACAGTGTAGTTTTCGGTAAAGGCCAGAGCTCAAAAGTGCACTGCAATTGCGTAGCTGGGCAGAATTGGGCGACATGGGCAAAAGTGGTATAAAAGATTCGATTGGACTAAAACGTCCAACGTCCAGTAAGAATGAGCGTTTTAATCCATATGCACCTCAAGCGTGGATCCTGCTGCTTGTGTGGACTTCCGGAGTCCGTGGCTGGACGCTGCAAGTCAACACAAAAAACGATCTACTAAGAAAAGGAACACGCATGTCTTTATAAACCTTAGATATTATTAAAATCCATAAACTGCTCGGCCAGCATCTTTGCCATAGATAAATTTTACAAGCAATCTAATACAGTTGATCTCGAGCATTGCAGCCCACAGGTCCGTGCAAGTGCCACCAAACTTTACGAGCGACACCCGACCCGACAGACACAACAATGCCACCCGTAGGCAACGATCGACTCGACGTAGGTGGAAAGATAAATGTCGTCTTCGGCGTGCTTGGGACGATAGTCGCACTAGTGGGCGTCTTCGTTGCGCTGGCCACCCTGAGACAGCACCGAATCGCTGTTCAGCAACACACATCTGGTACCGTCCTTGCTCACTGTTTGACATGGGCTGATGACTCTAGCAGGCCACAACACTCGACGACCTTTTGAGCTGCGCTTGATCATCGGACGGCACGAAGAATGAGAAAACCTTTGACGCCGCTCGTCCAAGCTGCCATCTACAACCAGACAGCAGACGTGTTGACGCTAAATCAGTAACGTTACTGGCTATGAGAGTCTCTTTGCTAGCCCTAGAATCATGGCGCGTCGCAGAATGAAAATGAAGACAGACAAAGTCCGCATTGTTCTCATTCGTTGGTCCCTCAGTTTAGGTGTAGATCAGCGCTGCGCTCTGCGATAACGCCCAACCTGCCAATTAATGCAGAGTTATGCTCACCTTAAAATGCTCCCCGGTAGGGACAGATTACCATGCATGTTACATTCAGGACTCCATGCGCCCGTCCACCATGAGACAATGTACAGCAGGTGAGCACTTCAAGAGCCCAATCGACAGCGCCATCTCCCGGACAGCAGCCGTGCCATCCTTCCAACATCACAACAGACGCAGTGCTGGTTCAGTCGCCCGTGTCCAGCTCCAGATCCAACTGCACCCCACTGCTCACTCCGTAGTCACCCAGCGTGATAAAGTCTTTGAACGGCCGTTCGCCCTGCCTCTTGAGCATGATTTCGTGCGGCTGCCGCCCAATATGCGCCGCGACTAACTTTTTGAAGTCGCCGACCGTGTCCGAGGGGAGACACGGGATCGTCGCCTTGGTGCCCAGCCGGTCGTTCACCGTGACGAGAATGTAGGTCATCGGCGTCTTCGTCTTAGCAACAGCAGGTTTGGACGCTGGCTTGGCTTTGCCAGCGCCGTCTTTGGGGGCCGCGGCGTCGCCGCCGCCGCCGATGCCGGTGCCGAACTTCTCTTTGACGCTTGTGCCGCCGAATTTCTCGCTCACTTTCGACGTGTCTGCTCCCTCCCTGCGTTCCCGCTCCCTGTTGCGATCGCTATTTCGTTCCCTGTCGTCCTTGCCTCCGTACCGCCGTGGACGGTAGCTGTCCATATCACGCTGCCTGTATTCCCTCTCGTCGCGGTCCGCAGCGCCTCCACCTGCTCTTGAGCCCCCATCCTTGCTCTTCCATTTGAATGCCTTGCTGAAATCGGACTTGCTCTTCGCATCGCGTCGTGGAGACCGCGACCTTGATCGCCGACTGGCACCACGCGAGTCGGAGTCGTTGCCGTCACGCCTCGGACTTCTTGAGCGTTCACGCCGAGATTCCGGATCGGTGGACCGTCGCGGTGATCGCGAGCGTGATCTTGTGTCGGCCATGGTTGCGATGTGGCTGGCCTTGCGGAAGGGAAACACTCTTGTTGCGGGGACAATTTTCTTCCTAAACTTTGTTCGCAGGAGGGACAAACGTCAAAAGAAACAATTGGGGCCAAGACAAGCTGAGACCATTTTACACCAGTTGGAATAAAAAAGACATCGAGTTCATTTTACGCGACGACATCAAAGACACAATTTGTGAGATCCGTGCCCTGATTGTCATCGCACAAACGTTCGCCTTCCACCTGGTCTACCGAGCGAGTTTTGGAAATTCTCGTTCGTGAACGCACGCTCAATCGCTCAACTGTTGCTTGTATCCCGTTTGCAAACCAAAAAAAGAAGAAAAAAGAAGGAAAAAAAACAAGAAAAAAATTACATCTGTCTCGAAGACGCCAAGGCGCTCCGTTCGCTCTCGCCGCTGTCTTGCGCACGACGCAGGGCCCGCCCTCGAGCCGTCCTTTCTGCGGTTGCTGATGACCATGCACTTTGTCGGTTGAGCTGGTCCTTGCCGTCGCAATCCGTGCCGGGCATCGAGGCGGTGGCGTTTGACGGCACGGATGACTCGAGGGATGCGAGACGCGCACACTTTTCTCCGGAACTTGTCCTCCTCGTCGAGGAGCTCGCCGTCGATGCGACCTTGCGTGGCGCGCATCATCGCCCTGCAGTCCGAGTACGTGGGTCACGAAGGAATCTTTGGCCTCGTGGCAGCCATTCGAGGAGCAGCTTGGGGCCCAAGCATTTCAAAGCTGCAAGTACATGTCAATATGCACCCCCTGTGAATGTGTTATTAAGTTTCAGTCTACATCATTTTCGTTGCCATGATAGTAATAGTGCTAAGTGTCTTTTTTTTTCGAGTTCAGACCTTGATTCGGTACGCCGGCGGCTTGGCCTCACTTGGATTGTCCTGTGTAGCCCTGTACTGTCTTGTCAATCTCGAAAGTCAAGGAAACATTTTACGGGAGATTTCCGGATTGCAACGTTAAGACAAACATATGGAGCTTTCGCCAGACCTTTGCATTGTTTCTGTGACTGCCGGTTCTGGTCCCGATATAAGCTGACGTAAAGTGACCCAGCTGGCTTATGAACACGATGTCGTTCGAGATGCATTATCACAAATGAAGTGCACAGTACTTTACTTGGTTCCAACCTCCTCAAGAAAGGACGGGTGGCAGCCAGCAGCAGGAAATTGACTTAGATACACATATAGTTTATCATTATTTTGATTTATGTACGTTGTTAAGACATATGATCAAAAAGTTTCGTAGCGAGCGTCGTGAGTGTCAGCGTGGTACATCATCCGTCATCATCATCGTCGTCATCATCGATCATTCGTCAGTGCATAAAACGCATGCGTCCAACAAAATCAACACTCAAGGCTCCCAAACACAACACTGATTACAAAAGCCGTTGTCCTCTCTTGAGGACCGGGATGTCACTAAAATATCGGCCGTCCAAACTGCGGAATGGGAAAAAGGGGTCGGGTGGGAAAAAAGTAAAAAAAAAAAAAAAGAGTTCCAGTAAGGGAACAGGCCAACAAAGACAGGATGTGTGTGAGAAAAGCGAGCGCGCGCGTGAACGCTTTCCCGCGCAAAGATCCAGCTTTGCGAACGTGACCCACGATCACAGGCGGCTCATCTCCAAGAGAACAATGCTTTTCTTAGGTGCGATGACGCTGTCGACGGCTCCTTCTTTTGTAGTCTTTTCCCGGGTCGAATTGCCAACCATTTGCTAACGCTGAAGCCGCCACGTTGTGAGGGAGCCGCGAACTGGTACTGGGGCTCCAGAGTCTCCATGATGCGAGGCTCAGGCTCGGCTTCGATGGGCGACCAAACACATGGCACGTCCATGCTCTCCGGCATATACTGAGCTTCCTGGGCTACTGATGAGAGTGGCTTTGCAGCGTATCTCGACTTGCGGAGAGGTTTCAAGGCGTGATCCCAGTCGCCGCTGCGCAATGTGACTTCTTCGAAGTTGAACTCGACAAGACGCTTCTTGTGTCGCGAGATGAAAGACGCAACTTGACTTGAGTCCATGACGGCATTGTTGAGCACCATGTACCTTAGCTTGGGGAAGCGCAATGCTTTGGGCAATGCAGCAGGTTGTCCATCCGTCGTTGACTGAAGGAGGACAGGCTCCTTGTCCAGAGTCAAAGGCGACGGCCCGCTTTGCTTGCCCACCCAAGAGAAGTGAAGGCTGGTCAAGTTCTGGGAGAACGCGCGCAGGTAAGCGTGCAGGATGCGCAGGTGCTCTGTCCTGTCCGGGTCGTCGAAAGGGAAACTAGTCATATGCACGGAGAGCTGTTCGACCTGTGACCAGCGTCGCTGAGAGCTTGGCGTCGATCCAATGCCATGGATGGGTTGAAGGTAAAAGAGTGCAGCCGGATGTATCGATTCGAGCGTCAGGGCTTCGAAGTCGTCTAGCGACGCTCTTTCGATAGCGATCCGAAGCGATATCAGGGCGTAATCTACAACGCTTCGCCGATGAAGCTGAGGTTCTTCTTGACCTGGGCAGCTGATGACAATGTGCCGAATGTTTCGCATGTAAGACAGCGCGCGGATGAACGCCGGAATGTTGGTCGCGGCATGGAACAATGGCGGATATTGGCTGATGAGCATGTTGGTTATCTCCTCCGACCCGTACTTCGCCACGCGAGAGCCGTCCGTAGGCGTGGAAGGCCGTTCAATTTGCGGCACATACGTAAAGCTATGTTGTTCGCCCGTCACAGGATCCAGCAACGGGGGCAAAAACGTCTCACTGGAATGCGGCATGCGGAAGGTAAACTTGAGTGCATGGTGGCCGATCTTCTTGAGCGCGATCATGCGCCGGGTTTTGGTGAACGAGGTGGGCTTAAAATGGACAGACAGCTCCTTGAAGAGGAACGGCGCAGTTTTTGCTGCGAAGTCATGGCAGACGAGGCGTGCTTCGCGAAGGGTGGGCCTGTCGCAACGCTTCAGGAATGCTTCTCTGCAGTCTTCCGAGTGCCAAAAACGCAAGAAGGCCTGATTACTGGATAGCACCAGGTTGCATACTGAGCTGTTGGAGCGGGCTAGATTTGATAATCAGAAGTCCGTTAGCCATTACGGTCCAAGACTTGTGCAAAGGCAATTTTCTGGCTTTTGGGCGCATTTCTTACATCGGCCGCTCACAAACGAAGCGCTGCTGTCGATTTCACCAAACAGCAGGTTGCGCGATGGGTGGCTGTCGATACTGGTGGTACTACCTTCTCCAGACCCGGCTCGCCGCAAGGACGGTCGGTCCGGCAGGTCCATCGCAGTGGCAAGTGATTTTTCGCTGATGATCAGGTACGAAGGAATGCACAGATCGATGGGGCGGGCAAAATGCAGGCTGCGCAAGCAAGAGAGTTGGATAATCGCGATCGCGGCGGAGCAAGCTGACGACGCAGACGTGGACGGTGGAAGAGCAGGAAAGAAAGGTGAGGGTCTCTCAATGCGGATCACGGATCATAACGGCAGCGCGATCGAGCCTTTTCACGGACGGGGCAGTCCATTGTGCAACGGGAGTTGCACATCCCAAGGTTCGAGCCAACGAGTCGAGCGAGAGAGGGGCCATCGCATGCAGGTGTGAGTCAACGACGGGTTCGCCAGGACGACGGGCTCGAGAGGAGGCAGGACCATGCCTGGAGCAACGGGGCAGTGATGGGCAAGAAAATCACGACCATAACGCGGTGTCGCGGTCGTCGGCGCGGTCGCGAGTTAAGTAGACAGAGGCGCTGTGCTGCCTGAATGGCGAGTATGACTGTGCTCCAAGAGGTGATGCACGGGCGCGGCCAATGGAAAGTGAGCAGACGCCTGACCGGCTGCAGGCGCTGCATGAGAGCTGCATGACGCCGGCGCTGGCGGCCGGGGCTTGTGCGGCATTTTCACGCGTCCGGACGCGTCCTGTGGATGAGCAGCACCTCGACCGCGGCAGACTGGCATGTTTCGAAGCTGGGAGTCTTTGCCGGAGACGCTGCTTTGCGCGCGACACCCATTGGACATGCTCGTGGTTTCATGTGCGGCCCGAGACGTTTCGCGGGGTAAAGCGTGCGGCCCAATGTTTCGTTTCAAGCTGGCGAAACGAAAGCGTAAGCGGGAGAAGACTGCTTGCTCGGACTCGATTCCGTCAAGCCATCATCCTGGGGTGCAGCGCAGGCGGCGCATCGTGAACGACTGGTCTTCTTTGGCCGCGGAAACGGCCTTTGTCGGTTGCAAAGGCAGAGAGCCAAGACCCGACGCGTGAAAAAATGAGGGCGAGTTCCAGGCTGATGGAAGCTTCCCAAGACTGACTGTCACAGCTCGTGGGGCCTATACGAAGCGAACGAAGACATTCTTCGCGCCGGGCACACAGGCTCCGGAAGGCAGAAAGAGAGCATGCAAGCATGCAGAATAGCAAAAGATGGAAGAGAAGAAGGGGATCGACGTGGGCAAGTAAGAACACAGACGTGACACGTGGTGGAGGAACACAAGTGATGGTCGAGGCTCAAAGGACTGCAAACTCGCTGCGCGCGCACCAAGCGCGAATGAGAGCAGAGAGGCACACACAAGGTGGCTTCTAGTGCAGAATACAGAGGCACCGGGTACCAGATGCTGTTTGACGTCGGGCTGCGACGATGGAAGCGCCGAGGGAGGACTGCTTTGCTTACAGTCAGCGTCGTGGAACTGGGAGAGCCCATCACCGGAAGCGGATGGAGTTTGAACGGGACGACCAAGGACGTCGGTCCCATCCAATACTCGATCGCACATGTCGGCTGTTCCATGTGCAAGTGTCGTTCACGTTCGGCTTCTGCTCGTGACGGTTGCAGGGCCGCTTTGCGCTTGGTTCACGACCTCACGTTGTTTGCTCTTTGCTCCCCGACCCGTAGTTCTACACGTGCAAAGAGATGTTCGACCCGAAAGCAGACGGATAGCCGCCGCAGCGGAGGCAAATAGCTGGCGACCACGGAAAGACTGGAACCTGACTGAGCACGACTGACTGTGCCGTGCTCACTCCCGAGCGACGGTGTCGTAATCAGGTCAAAATTCTAGTCGGGATCGAATCAAGCCTAGTTCAGGGAAACGGAGCGCCCCTGGGGCGATCACTCACGGCAATGTTTGTCAATACGATAGAGCGAGATGGGCAGAAAGGGAGAACTTTGCCATCCCATCATCTCGCCAGCACCGACACTGCCGGAGCATGAGCCAAGGCAGGACGAAGGCAAATGCCAGGATGGGGCCACGCAAGGCAGCGACAGGGCAGGGGCATCGTATCGTGAGGCGGCGAACAAGGGCGGGCGGGTGGAGTAGTGCAGATTCACAATGCACCACCCACTGGGGAACAGAGATCGATCATCGCACCAGCACAGCAGCCGTGGCATGATTGTTTTGTGCAAGCTTCGTCACAGAAGCAGTTCCGCTTGGCAGTCGTTGAACACGAGACGGCCCGCCAGCCAGCGCACCGTCAAGACCGCAGGACGACGTAGGAGAAGAAGCACAGAGCGACGGAATGGATGACGGTAATGAAGATGACCATGATCGTGATAAGCACTGTGGGAGACAAGGAACAAGGAGCAAGGGAAAAAAAAAAGAGGAAAAGACAAGAAATCCAGAATAACCGAACAGATGATGCGACAAAATACAGTGGGTACGGTGGCTGAGGGACATGGCAATCTGGCACAAAAGGCCAGGACGTGGTGAGTCTAGATCTCGACGCGCACCAGGAGCACACGCTTGCCGAGCCCGCCACGGCCAGGGGCCCCCCCCTCTTCTGCCCCCCCAAAGTGCAGCGCGTGCCCCCAGTGTGCGGGCGGCTCTCGGTCTATCCCCCAACTCGACTAGCCCATCACAGTTGGGCTCCACTTTGGTGCTCGACACACTGGCATTCCGCTCCATTCGCATGGCCTGACTTTCTCTTCCGTCGACGCTGTTGCAAGCACGCCAGATTGCATTGAGCGAATGCCGACGAGAGTGAATGAGGTGACTGCGATGGCCGAGCGTTGTTGCACGGGAGCAACACGAAGCAATCGAGTTGCGGGGAGAAAGTGCAGCTGCAAAGAGCAGCCGGCGCCGTCAGCGTCGCGGCGATGGTAGAGAGAGGAGGAGAAGCCCCGTAAGCGGTTAGAGGGCTGCGCAGCGGCAGTCGGGTACCGTACGGACTGCAGAGCAAAGAGGCGGCAGCAGGAGAACAGCGAACACACGACGGCCGCGCTCGCAGCCGTGGCTCTGGACGCCCGGCAAAACTCTCTTTCGCCATCTCCTCCCACTGCTACGCCCGTTATTTCCACGCTCGCTTCTTTGTGTCGACCAAGCGTCGACCCTCCACTCTCCTGTCGGCCGGGTCCTCTGCTGGTCCATCAGCCGGCCTCTTCCTTTCTTTCCACGCCGTTGCGCTTGTCGATCTCTGTCCACCGAGCAAGCCATTCGGGGCGCTCCCGTGTTTGGAGTTGCCTCCAAAGCCAACAGCCCACGCCCGCGAGCACTAAACACACACCCAGCTCAGCCCCATTCCCTCTCCTCCTCCAGTCGACCTCGAGTGTCCCTTTCAGCGCCGCGCCCGGTAGAAACGAGAACCTCGCCCAATTACGCTCGAGGCGACCCGTCAGACTCCAATTCTCGCCTTTGCACACCGTCGTCGCTTTCGGCATCACTGTGGACGCTTTCGCATGGTGTCCCCACCCAGAAAAGGAATGGAAACGAGGGTCATTGCGGTAGCGGACCTGTATGCCTTCGGCTGCTGAAGATCACTGCCATCCCGGAACGACGCCGCCTTCACCACAACATCCTCCTCCACCTCCGCCTGCCGACAATCCTGCTGTATCTTCGGACTGGAGTGCCAGCACCGCCGTATCAGCGCAGGGAGGCCGCGCCAGGCCATTCACCATGCGCATAGGCATTCGCGTGCAACTGGGCCTGCTGGTGCTTTTCGCCGCGCTCATCGGCCTCGCGGTCGTGACTTTGGCAACATGGGTAAGGCTCAATCACTTCCTCTCTTCATGGCTCACATCCCGTTTGTTACTGTCGTCAACATTGTCGTGAGTTTTTATAAGGAACGAGTGTAGATATACAACCTCGCACGTCCTCACAGTTTCGATTTCGTACAGGACGGAGAGCTAACTGGAATCGCGATTTCGCCTCTAGTTCACGAATTATGACTTCGTGATTCAGATCAGGTACGTCGGTTCAATTACTGCCATTTGCTGACAATGCTCTTGTTTGCGCTAACCCAGGCTCGCTCATCAGGTCCTCGCGCCTTAGCCTGACCGCATCCCTCAAGGCGGCCCAGATCGGCACCGCCGTATCACTGATCCAGAGCAGCGTCTCGTCCATCTCTACGCGCATTCTGATCCAAAGCGCCATCATGCGGTACAACACGCAGGGCAACAACACGGCAGCGAACTGGCAGCGCGCCATGTCAGATTTTTCCGCCGCTCTCAACGGCGCTAGCACGCTCGGCATACTCTTGCAGGCGAAAGTATTCGCTCGCAGTGACACCGGCACCGGCAACAACACGCTCGTCGAGGTCACCGGTCAAGGTCTCAGCGGTGCGATTATGCTACCATACACGTACCCGAACGGCTCTCCCGTATATTTGGGCGATGACAACATCACCCAGTACAGCTATCCACCAAATCTGTACCCGAATCTGACGTTCAGCGAGGTCCCCGTCAACGACACGTTCAGCCACTACTATGCCCACTATGACGGCTTGACCCTCGACTGGAAGAGCCAACTGATGATCGGTCCTTGGGCGCTCAACGAGAGCTACGCGCTAGCCTCCTTAACCCTTCCTGTTATCAACAACACGTCGTCGCCAGACGACGTCTTGGCCTGGATGACCGTAGTCGTTGATTCTCGCATGATCACGGATCCACTTTCCGCCGACGAAGGACTAGACACGACAGGCGTCGCGTTACTCGTGGGACCTGCGAATGCCACGAACAGGCTTCCGAACGGAGTGCTGAACGCAGGAGACGACGCACCCAACGACGTGCGTGTTCACTACGTGGTACCTCCGAACAACACTCTGCATCGCCATAACCCCGCCGAGGTGGATCCGTCGACGTACAACTTCAGCTACAACGATTATCCTGCTGTGAAGGCGGCTTGGACGATGCCGCCAGCCAAAGCCAATGGCGCCGGCGCCATGCTGTCGACGCACAACGAAAATGGATTTTCGATCGGTGTAGGCTATGCTCAGGTGCCGGCTGATGGGCTAGTCAATTGGCTTCTTCTCGTCGAGCAGGCCCACGAGGAAGTGTACCAGCCAATCACTCACCTGCGCAACGTTCTTCTCGCGTGCGTATTTGGCACGGCCGGCTTCGTGGCACTCATGGTCATGCCAATCGCACACTACGGCTCCGCACCTATCCGACGGCTGCGCGACGCGACTAGGAACTCGGTTGCCCCACCAGGCTATCTCGATGACAGCGACCGACTGGTCTCTCCTGGGGACGGGCCATCTGACGATAATGAACTCGCACGCAAGGAGGGCTTCTTTGCTGCCGTCTCGCGCTGGAGGAACGGCACGCAGTCATCCACCACCAAGGAAGAAGAGCGGCGGAGGCGCCAGTTTAAGATTCCAGCTAAAGTCAAGGATAGAAAACATTTCATTCACGACGAGCTGACGGACCTGACAAAAACATTCAACGAGATGTCGGATGAGCTGATGGTCAACTACGAACGGTTGGAGGAGCGCGTGCAGCAACGCACGATCGAGCTCGAGGAGAGCAAGCAGGCGGCGGAGGCTGCCAACGAGGCCAAGACGCTGTTCGTAGCCAACATATCGCACGAGCTGAAGACGCCGCTAAATGGCATCCTCGGTATCGCACAAACGTCACAGGTTGAGACGAGCCTAGCGGTGCTGAAGCGTGACATGCGCATGATTTACAACCAGGGCGATCTGCTGACCAAGCTGATCCAGGACCTGCTCCTGTTTAGCAAGAACCAGGTCGACCATTCGATCGGTCTTGAAGAATGCGAGTTTCGCGTCCGCGACATCACGTCCCAGGTCCTCTCCACGTTCCACCTTCAAGCACACGACGGCGGCATTAACCTTGCGCTCGATTACGAGGGTCCTCACGACTCGCCAACTGCGGAGAGTAGCGGCGTGGGCGATCGCAAGGAGTACGGTCCGTTTGGTACGGGCAGAGTGAAGGACATGGTGCTCTGGGGCGACCGGACGCGCCTTCTCCAGGTCATTAACAACCTAACGTCAAATGCGCTCAAGTTCACGCCAATGGGTGGCACCGTGCGCATTGTTGTGCGTTGCATTGGCGATGACGGAATGCACGATATGAGCCGCAAAACTTCGGTCAGATCGAAGCAGAACTCAATCTCAAAGGTGTCGATAAGCAAGAACTCGGGCCGCAACGCGCGCCCCTTAATCAACTTTCCGTCAAATGTGTCGGAGAAGTCGTCGGAGAACGCTTCGTCTAGCAAGATCAACACCGCGATCGAAATCAATGCGCTAGACAGGCACACGCCGACCAGGGATCGTACATCTTCGCCTCCATTAGGCTCACGCGAGATGCTGTTCGAATGGGAGGTGCAGGACACAGGGCCAGGCATGCCGCTCCACGTCCAGGAAAAGGTGTTCGAGCCATTCTTCCAGGGCGATATGGCACTCAGCAAGAAGTTCCAAGGCACAGGCCTGGGGCTTAGCATCTGCGCCCAGCTGGCCAAGCTTATGGGCGGGTCGATGCTGCTTCGGTCAGAGGAAGGCAAGGGTAGCACATTCACGCTGCGCATACCGCTTAAGCACATAGGCAGCCGTGCAGACTCAACGGCCTCGTCGCAAGGCACCAATTCTGTTCGGTACAACTCTCCCCGCAACTCCATCTCGGGCGACGTCACTGGTCACGACGCTCGGGGTGATGGCATCGGCCCGCTCGAGACGCGCAGCACCCGCTCGCTGTCCCAATCATCGCGAATATACGAAAGCAGCACCAAAGCCGCACCTTTCACGCTGTCCGGCTCCAGCTCGCCTCCCGCTGCAAGCAAGTCGCCCGTGGCGGGTAGGTCGGCTAACGCCGTAAGCGGTGCCGACAAGACCACTGATCCCAACCAAAATCCAGAGAGTCCTGGTGAGGACGCGCGTTCGCTCAAGGTGCTCGTCGCTGAGGATAACAAGACAAATCAAATTGTGGTGACGCGGTTGCTCAAGATGGAGAAGATTACCGATGTGACGGTCGCTGAGGATGGCGATCTGGCCCAAAGCATGGTCATCGAGTCCATGTCGCGAGGCGACAATTTCGACCTCATCTTCATGGACGTTCAAATGCCGAATATGGATGGGCTTGAGGCCACGAGGCTCATTCGCCAGGCAGGATACAAAGGGCCAATCGTGGCGCTCTCAGCCTACTCGGACGAGGCTAACGTCAAAGTGAGTTCCGTCCCCTTACCATTCTCACCATACCGGACTAGGTGACTGACTTTATGCAACAGAGCTGCCACGAAGCAGGCATGGATGACTTTGTCTCGAAGCCAATTCAGCTGCCCCGTCTAAAGCTTGTCCTTAAGACGTTCTGCCCCACCGAGTACATGTGATTCGACAGGCGCATAACACAACCACAATGACTGCGCCCATCAATGATGGCACACGTTCAAAGCACCACTGCTTTTCGAGCATGTCGAGCACGTCCCTCCATTTTTCTGTATTCAAATTCGTACGGCACACGCTGGCATAACGATTGCTATGCGTCGGCTCTTGACGTTACGAGATACCCTTACGTCTTCATCTAATACTTCTCTTGCTTTTCTGCGAATATGTGGGAATCATTTTGTTGTGGGGAAAGAAACAAAAAGCATTTGAGCGACGGCGTTATCTTTCTTCACCTATCTTACTGGTTTTTTTTTTTTTTTTTTTTTTTGCGTTTTCCACATGGACAGATATACTCATGTGCATACATGCTTGGAACGCATATGGCGGCTGAATTCTAGGCCCCCCCCCCCCCTCCTTTTCGTCTGTTTCGAAGGGTAAGGACGGTTGAAATGAAAGAGATCTGGGTGCAAAATTTGGGCAGGTTCAAAAAGACCACAGAGGATGAAAATGTGCGCGGAAGGGTAACCCGAATTTCCGTCATCACCATTAATGCTCCAGTTTGCAAAATGCGTATACAAAGCACGCGGAGCCGGCGTTTTATTTTCTTTGGCTTTTCACACTTCAATTGGAATATACGGCGCGGCACTCATGAGATCTATATTCTACATGTACATAGAGAGATAGCTTTTGGCAACACGATGAAGGCGACTAATGCCCCGGTGGACGGTCAGTCGGAGGCAAAGAAAAGATGTATGCGCAAATAAGATGACGACATTTGTCTACACTGGTACACGTTGAAGATGTTACCTATCTTATGTGACCCTCTTTCGCCTTTTTTTTTTCTCCCATCTCTCTCTTCCAAACGTGGAACGCCAAACCTGCTTGTTGAAAAAGGCTCTTTCCTGCCACACGCCGCGCTTTCTTTTCGTTCTTTTTCAGGCCGTAATCATCATTGTCGTTGCTGTAGTCAATATTGGTGCACTTCTTTTTACTGCTACTGTACGAGCGGGAAAGAAAGTCGAGTTCGAACGCTGAAGCCGAGTCTATTGCGCTTCCTCGTCGTCGACCTCGAAGTTCTCGTCGGCGCCGTATTCGTCCACGACCCACTGACAGAACTGCTCCCACGACTTGATCCACAGCTTCAGCCTCTCGGCCCGAACGCCTTTGCCGGCGGCGCCGAGCTTGATCTGCAGCAGCCACTCCTTCTGGGTGCAGTCTTCGAAGGCGGCCCAACGGACGGAGTTCTCAGCGAGGGAGCCCAGGCCGGCGAGGCCGAGGTTCTCCCAGCCCTGGAGGGCCTGCCAGTAGTCGTGGGAGACGCCGGTGGTGCCCTGGCCGAGGATGGCCGGGTCGTCGTTGCACAGGGCGACGGGCACGCCGCGGGCGAGCAGGGCCGGCAGCGGGTGGGCGAGGATGGAGCTGGTCAGGCGCAGGACCTCGTTGCTGACGGGGCAGCTCTCGACCAGGATGCGCTTCTCCTTGACCATGTCGATCAGCAGCGGGTGCTTGAAGAGCGAGAAGCCGTGCCCGATGCGGCGCGTGTTCAGCAGCACGGCGTCGAACAGGTTCTCGTCCGTGGCGTCGCCGTCGCCGAGCGTCTCGCCCGCGTGGAAGAAGAAGGGTATCTCCACGCCCTCTTCGACGCACCGCTTTTTGAACCAGAAGATCTCCGGCACCAGGTCCGCCAGCGGCCGTCCCAGGTCTTCTTGGCCCACGAAGTCGAAGCCGGCGATGACGTGCGGTAGGGCCTTCTTGACCGCGATACACTGCTTCATGGCTGTCTCCGCCCGCTCGTTAGTCAAAAAAAAAAAAAAAAAAAAAATAGTAATATGAATAATTTTTATTTCTTAAAAAAAGTCCGAGCCGTGCGTCCTTTCCATCTTTCTTTTGCGGCCCATGGGTACGGGTCAGAGCTTACAGTTGATGATGTCGCGCTTGTCGAATATCCTCGCCGTCGTCCATATCATGCGCATGCCCCAGAACTCGGCGCCCTCCGGGCTGCTCTTGTACTGCTCGATCACGTCGTCGAACTCGCGCAGCTTCCTGATGAAGTACTCGTCGTCGGTCGTCTTGTCCGGTCGGTAGAAGAGCGCCCGCACGTCCGCCCACAGCACGTTGTCCGCGTGCAGCTGCTCGCATAGCCGCCGCACGTACTGTGGGAAGATCTCGTCGATGTATATGAGCGTCCTCACGATGCCGAACGTGGAGAGGAACTTGACCCAGATCTGGTTGATGCCGTGGTGGTGCGAGATGGACTCCTCGGGCGTGATGGTGCAGCGTGACTGCACCCAGGCGACGAAGCCCGACCGGCCTCCCAGCGGGAACGTTTCGGCCGCCGTCTCGAGGGGCACGAATGTGTCGGGCTGGTACGACGACGACCAGATCGAGGCGGCTTCGGCGGGCAGGGTCGCCGGCTTTCCAAACTCGAACGGAGCCTTCAGCCGCGCTTCCGGACTGTCCAGGCTGGTCGCGCACTTGATGCCCACACCTTTCAGCTCGAAGGCGCGCTCGAGGATCCACTCGACCTCGATCATGGCCTCGAAGTGACAGTGCAGGAGCGCGCCCTTTGGCATCCGCCGGACGATCCTCCACAGCTTGCTCTTCTCCATCCGGTCCTTGGCAAGCGAGAACATCATGCCCGGGTACACGTCGCCCGCGTGCGTCGTCCTGATCAGGTCGTCCTCGTACTCGCGCGTCCACAGCGTCTGCGCTTCGTCGAAGCGGATCTGGTCCACGATGGAGCATGCCTCAAACGCCACGCCCGACAGGTTCTCCCGAAAGAAGCGATCTGCAGCGCCCACATGGTCACCGGTCAGAATCTCAATGCGCTCTGCGTGTGGGTGCGAGGGTTACCGACCGCTTCTCTGCTTCTTCTCCTGCTCTACGAGCGCGTCTCGACCGTTTAGATACTGTTGGATGAAGGGGTCGCTGTGACGCGGTACGCCCTCCGTCTCGTGCCATACGTCATCGTCGTCGAGCTGAATTCGCTCCATGTCCTGCCCGACGTGCTGCAAGTCCTTCTCGGTGTCTGCCATGTTTGCGATCTCGCTCCAGGATCAGAACGACGTTGCTTTCATCACGAAGTGGCTCTGCAGCTGTGTTGCCAACGGCGTGCGTGCGCGTGTGCATCGAGACTGCGGAACGATCAGCCAGCCTACGGTACCATTTGCTTGGCAAACGATGTAACCTGCCCGAAAGCTCAACAACTAATGTCGAGCAAGCAACGCAAGCCATTCTTGATCTGCAAACCATCGCAGCGGCACAAGAGTTTTGATCGCTAACCAATCGCTCGCTATCAAGAATTCGATTTCGTCTATGCTATGGGCTACAAGAAGACACGCGCACGTTCGGATCAGCTGGATTCTACAACGACGTCGAGATTGCATGTGGTAAGAACAAAGTTGAGATCCACCCGCTTTCGCAAAGAAATGTCGCTTGACAGTGTTAGAACTAAACTAGAACGCCGTTTCCCATGATGCATGTGAAACCATTCCCCTACTCGCCATCATTACTATCATTCCTTATTGCACGAAAATATGCCCTTCATCACAAATACAATTAGGTGAAGTCAACCCTGGTACCACGCTGTTCCCTAGCAGCGGCTTCAAGACGCGCACGTTCCGCTCGCCTTCGACGTCTGTTGCTCTCAGCTCTGGAATCCACATTGCTTGGCCCGCTTCCATACACGCTACCCGGGCTGCCGCCCATATTGCTTCCCGATGCTGGGATTGGGGGTGGCGGTGGTATATCGCTCGGCACAGGGCTCGTGAAGGGCTGAGATGGCGGCGGTGGGTGCTGCACCGAAGGAGCAACCGAAGGAGGCCCTGTTAGAGGTCCGGAGACCGGCTGCGGTGGCGGCGGGACATTGTGTTGCTGCTCGCCTGCCGCAATGGCCTCAGCTCTCATCTGGGCCGCTTGTTGCGCTTCCATTCTCTCTACCCTTCTCCAATGTTCGTCTCCAGACGCTCCAGCACCGCCAACCGAGCTTATGCTCCCTGATCTAGCCGGCCGTCCCTGCCTCCTTGCACGTTCCGCCGCACGTTCATTTGGATCGAGTCTACGCAACGTCACACGTCTTCCGTCGTTATGCATCTTCACTTGCACGGCTGCCTGCGGCGAATGCATGCTAGACGCAGCTGAGCTGTCACGCCTTCGGCTCGAATTCCTCTCGTAAGCTCCCGCAGCTGCGCCAACTGCTGCTCCCGCAAGACCCGCTGCGGCTGCACTTTCTGCCGTGCGATGACGGTGGTGTCGTCCTCCACTCGGCGATGTGTATGCTTCTGAGCCCGATGAATCACTTCGAATCATGGTTGCCGGCATGGGTGGTGGTGGAGGGAACCCGCTTCCAGCGTTTGCTGCCGTGTTCGCCGCCGTGACCTCCGGCGTAGTCGGTCCGTGAGAATGGCCCATGCTTTGCAAAGAGAGTTCTGGATTGCTTCCTCTCAGAGGAGATATCTCGCTCTCGGTTATTGAGCTGTGTCTCCGATGTGGTGGAGGTCGAGGGACGCCGTCACCAGTATATCGTCGTCGAGAGCTGCTGAGCCGCGCGAGGCGTTCTTCCTCGCGATCTCTTCGACGCATCTCCTCAATCCTACGTTGTTCTTTGGCGTCTTTCCTCTGATTCCACTTGTGTCTGAGGTAACCAGCAACCCCGAGTGCGGCGATACCGTCTCGCAAAGTGTGCGTGTCGCGTTTTGCCTTGCCTGGGCTATCCAGATGACTTTCTTCCCAAGTATCATAGGAATGGATCGAGCCACCGGATGGTCTCGTATCCGAGCGTCCGTGACTGGAACGTCTTGAATGTCTTGAAGGAGTCACTGCTGCTGCTGCACCTGCAGCCGCAGCGGCAGGAAGTGCTGCCATGCCATGCCCGGGCCTTGTAGGTGTGTGCGGTCCATGTCCTTCTTCAACACGGCTAAAATCTGTTTCTGTGACGCTGTGGGCTCCCCCCAGTGGACGATGCGGATAATCCGACACCGAAGATCCTTCGTCTTCGTCCCGACGTCCTCTAAAAAGCTTTCGAGCTAATGCAATCGCGCCGCCGACAGCACCTGCTGCGAGAAGACGATCCCGCCAAGTATGATCTTTGCGGCCTTGCTGAGAGTATTTTTCGCTGACATATGAGCCCGAATCACCTGATGAGCTGTGATCTGTTCTGGTGCGGCTATGACTACGACTTCTACTCCGTCTTCGTCTCGCAAGAGCTGCAAGCAAGCCGGCCGCTCCAGCGCCCGCGGCTATTTTTCCGAGCCTTCCATGCCGATGTTCCGTCTCGGGAGTCGCATCAGTTCGAGATCCGGAGACGTAAGTTCCTCGGTCGTCTATGATTGTGGTTTGCTGGAAATGATACGACAAGATAAACCACGCAGCTAATAGTATGAAGCCCCAAACAGCGTACAATATGAACAGCGATTTTGGTGAACCGTATAGAGTTAGGCCAAGAGCGATCTGAGCAATGCCTAGCAATGCAATGGCTCGTCCGAGCCACTGATGAAGCTGGTACTGTTAGAAAAGGGCGCCCTACTCATGCCGATGACATACCATAAGCTTAATCGGTATCTTGTACCTTATCTTTCTCTTTTCCCTATGGTGTACCCACCCACCGAACAGGATCTGGAAAATGACCATGACATAGATGGCCAGGCCTATTCCATGATGTGGATTGGTCAAGCTTCTCTGTGGGCCGACTGCGAACCAGCCCAGGACAAAAATGACCGTCACGAAGAAGAAGACCAGTATCTGCGTCCATATGTGCAGTCGAAGCGCAAGACTTGGATTCCGATGGTAAAATCGCGCAACAAAAATGGCAAAGGGTATCATGAACAGGAACGTCATCGCAGCCAGTATTCCATGTGCAGCTATGAGATTGTGATATTCAACAAGTGTCGAGAAGCGATTTCTCATGCCTGTGACGAGCATCAGCACCTCATCTCCGGTCAGTTGAAGAGACGCTGTCTACAACACTTACCGTTGTACTGCATAGTTGCGAAGTTCAGGCCCATCAGATTCGGCAGCAAGAATGTGTCCTTACTGGCATCCCATGTCCCGTCTCCCACGTGCAGTGTGTTCGAATCGTAAGTACTGCTGCCAGGAGCAGCAAGCCCGTTGGTAGCCATCGTTGCCGACCAGCCGCTTGGCTCTGTTTACTGATACTGGTGAGCAACGTGTACGTCTCAGATTTGGATTCTAGCGGCGTAAAACGCCATCGCGATGATCTGGGCCCTTTCCAAACCGGTCTTTGCGCGGTCAACGTGCGTGACTGCGAAGGATGCGAAGACAAAGCGAAGCGGTTGCGAGCGGGCGTCAGTGTCCGGTCGTTTTGTCGCAAGGGTTGGATTTGCCTGAATTTGCCTTGAACGGCTGTCGATGGATAGCGGATAGGGATTATCTGAGGCAAACTGTCTGAACAGAGACGTCTTTAAGGTACCAGGAATTTTTTCCTGAAGATCTGGGACGGGTGTAGCTGTCGTGGATCCACCCAAGCTGGTGTTCGTTGGTGCGGGGGCTCTTTGTTACCATAGGCCGAGCACTGAGCACCCCCGTTGACCTAGCAACGAACAACCCGGAACCGCTACGAGATTCAGCTGGTGTCTCAACATCGTGCATATTAGGGCATGCGCACATGCAAGAAAGGAAGAAGAAAAAAAAGGCTCGATAGAGCTTGAGCTGTACAGGTCTAGAAATGAGGTGAGCTATGTGCTGTGTATCTGATGGCTTACAATGTAGATTTCATGAGAATACAGTGACGCACAACGCGGATTGAATGATTCAAAAATCACGTGCGTCCCAAGTCGAGCCTGTTTGTCACTTCGGGACGAGTCGGCCGTCGGTCGAGGGGCAAATTCAGCTTGTGTTGAGATGATGCAAGTACAAAACTCGGCCTCGACGTTGGCCAATTTCCCATGGATTTGCTGAATGCTGTTTCGAGAAAAACGTGACTTCGACATCAAAAGCTTCGCAGAAGTGCTTTTCCATGGAACCGCATCTCACGTACCACCAAACGAAGATTCCCCAACGAAGGACCACGTGGGCGCCAGTTTGCACCCGTGTACCCATGGCCGCAAACCCACGAATCTCGTTAGTAATCTAGCAGTCGTGTAACAGAGGGTTTCGCAAAGAGTTCTTTGCTAACACCAAACCTTTCTCTGCTGCAAACTGGAGCTGAAGCATGAGTGCCGTCTCTGTTGACATCGCCGTTCTGCAACATCTTGCTTTATCCGCCCTGTGATCTCGCCTGTCCTACTTCCAAGTGTCTACCTGTTGTCAATCCAATGCCACCGTTGCAACTTGATCCAATGCCCTCATGCCAAGAGCATGTGAAGAGCAGGAGAGCGAGTGAGAGTACGCCTGTGTATTGTAGCATTTACATCACTGGGCAGAAAGTTTAACGTAATCAACCACCTAGTGGACCACACCACCTAGTGGACCACCGATCTCGCCTCTATCTCGTCTTCGCCTTCAACAGCAAGCTACCGCGTCAATTAATTGTTCTTATTTACAGCTAATTGATGAGCCTCATAGTCAGGGCACTTTGTTATCTTGTGTTCGAGCGAGCAGCACCAGCTGCACCTCGGTGGCGCTCGTTTCCGCTACTCAGATGCCTCAGCTTGAACCGCCTCCGCTAACTCCTTTTGCTGATGATTAGCCAATTCAAGCGCCTCTGCCGCTGTAAATATGCCTCCTTTAGCTAGATAAGACCTTTTCTGAGCTCGCTTCCGCCGTTATCTAGCATTCTCGGCAGCGAGCCTCTCATTCTCACTCGCTAGAAGAACAACACTATACATAGCCATCTCGCAGCCTTTGACTAACTGCGCTAGCGCTCGATTAGATGGCGATAGCAGGCTCTGAGAGCAACATTTAAGATAGCTTTTAAGTAGCTTGGTTTGAGCCTGTAGCTGTAGTATATTATATAGTGTCTCCGCCACTACCACCAGGTTAACTACTGGTGGAAGCGGAGGAGTTGGTGTTCAGAACTGTGATTAAAGCTGGCTAAGTACGCGATCTGGGTTAAAGGGAATAAGCCCAGTAGCAGCAAAGCCACTACTAGCAGTCCTAGAGGTGATCGCCTCTGCCCTCGCCACCTGATATATCTGTAAGAAGTTGAGCTTATTGATGTGGTTAACACCGAGGCCCATCTTCTGCTCCACAAGCCTACCATAGGCACTCTTAAGCACTGAGAAACAGGCAACATCGAGCGGCTGCAACAGGTGCGATGAATGCGCCGGCATGTAAAGGACGACAATGCTATTATCAAGGCAGTACCGGTCAAATTCAGGCGAGACATGGCTGCCATGGCCGTCAAGAATAAGTAGGTGATAGCGGCCGCGAGTGCAAGACTGAGTATGCTTATCAAATACGTGCTCTAGCCAGTGCAGGCTAATTACATTATTCGTCCACCCGTTCTCACTAACAGCGACAATCCAATCAAGCGGGAGCGCGCCATTCTTGTACCAGGCCCTCTGGTGCATCACTGCCTCGAGGATGACGAGCGGTGGCGCTGCAGAGCCGTGTATTCCGATTGTTTCAATGATTGTTACCCACTCTCGGTTCCCAGGCTAAATGCTCCTAGGCCTTCCAGCTCTATCGGCACCGGTGATGACCTTTGCAGTGCTGATAACACCCATCTGAAAGCCGGTTTCGTCAAAGTTATATATATCGTTCTCGTCAATGCCGTACTCCGCTATCATTGTCTCCACACTCTTAAACCAGGCCTTAAGAAGCTCAGGGCTCTCACATTCGCTTCTTTGGTAGTCATACTTCCAATTATACGCCGCCTTGATCGAGCGGTGGCGGCTAATAAACCTGTATACCCAGTTCTTGCCGAGTGCCGCCTCCGCTGCATGCTCCTTCAGCAAAAGCATTGCCATCTGCCGGATAACAGCCTGACGCGGTGGCATACCGCGTCGATCCATTGAGAGAATCCATTCAACTAGGCTAGCCTCCTCATTACCGCTAAGAACGCGGCTGATCGCGTCGGAACCGCGTTACAGAGGCACGCCTCGGAGGCGGCGAAGGAGGGTGTTTCAAGCGACGTCGAAGGCCTTTGCGGCGGCCAAGGGTGATTCGAATTCGCCTCGCCGATAGGCCTTAATAGCAAGCTCAAGTCTGCCAGCTCGATAGAGCGATTCCTGGCGTGCGTCGGTGGCCATTGGCTGTTGAAGATGAAGACGAGATGGAGGCGAGATCGGTGGTCCACTAGGTGGTGTGGTCCACTAGGTGGTTGATTACGTTATATCCTTGAAGTTTACTAAAAACACAACTATGCTCTAGAGGAAACGACTGTTAACTAGATCGCAAGGCAAGGAAATAGTTTCCGAGCGAGATCCGTAACGTTTCGTTTGAATGCGATCGTGTATCTATCGATCTAGACCTAGATTTTGATGATTAACCATTTTGTGACCTGCATTGTCGGAGTTACAGAAAGATGGTTGCTTGCTCGTCGCTTGGAGCGCGTAGCCTAAAGATAGGCTAGGGAGATTAAAACCATACGTGCCGGCATCCGAACGATATCAAAAGCAAGGTGCATAATGCAATTGGCGGCGGGCGACGCCTCACCCACGATCTTCAGGACTACAACGGATCTCCATCCGGAGTAGTGGGAAGACGCCCGCTACGACCTTTTGTTTCTGGGTCAGCGTCTCCGCGATTATGAAACAACGATTCGGAGATTCACGCGACCGCTTAGAGAAATTCAATCTCATGAATGGCTGGCAGTGAGGAAGGGTCCGTCGGGTCGGAAGATGCAAGTGACGACAGCTGTCGTTGGCTGAAGACCATGTGCCAAAATGTGCATTAGCTCCGGAGACGACAGCTCAGGCGCTGGGCCCTGCGAGTGATCTGGCATGGAACCTGGAACTTGATGAATACCACGCGCAGTTCGGGATGCCAAATCCGTAAGGATACGGTGCATCCACACAGACTGCAGCGCTCTGTCAGACTCTTTCAGCACACAAACCGAAGTGACAAGGCCCTGGAACCCAAAAAAAAAAAAAAAAAAAAAAAAAAATAGTTAAAAGGCGGGTTGTACCAGCGTATTGCGGCTCTTCTTCCGCCTGACTCCACGACAACTTCTGCTGCCTCCCTGGCGTCGTTGTGGATCATCTGTTGAAGCCGTGTCGAGGACATGCGATACGTCTCTGGAATCTTTCCATTTCATTATCAAAGATCGAGAATAAGCCAAGCGGATCCGCTACTAAACCGTTTCGTGCTCAAGAATTCTCGCCACTCTTACCGAGTCGGCGCTCAGAGAGGATGGACGAAGTAGCCTGACGGAGGCTGTAAATATATCTCGTCAATTGACACATGCTTTTTGTTTCTAAAGTTCGTTAAGGACCTTAGGAGTTGCTGAGTACGATTTTCTCTTGCACTGCCGTGCTTATTTCTGCCTACTATTTTCATCTTATGTTAAGGCTCACTAGACAACACGACCCCCTTCTCGAGTCTATCATCAGCACTTGGAAAGACCGAAGACCGGCTCGTCGGAGAGTCTGGAATCCTTACTGGAATCCTGTGTTCCTTCTCTGGATTTTCTGCCGCTCAAAGCACCTCTCACAAGCCTGAGCACCTTGCCCATGTCGTCATAGTGACTGTTACGCACTGAACGTGTGAGGCGGAGGCATTTAATGGAAATAAGCGAAATGGCCGCGGCGGACTCCTGCGGTGGTGGTTGGCCACGATCGAGAAGCAGCGACGAATCAGGAGCGCCTGCGTAACCGCAACCCGCTTCCGACGCTCCAATCGCATGTCTGTGCCTCACGTGATACGCCGCCCAACGGACCTCTCTTGATCCTCAGCTTGACTTCATTCAACGAGCGCGGTGCTCAGCATGGAGCCGGCCTGAAGTTTTCCAGGAAGCACCTCCCACTGTGCGAGGTCCGTCAAGAATTCGTCTCTTTTTTTCGCCGTTCAGATGTGAACAATGGAGCATCTGGAACTTGTCAGAAGCATTTGTCTAAAACTTCATTGGAACGGAGCGAGTCCCGGCAAGCTGCGCTTTTAGCCGACGACTAACGTATGCAGATCGATCCGTACGTGATGGTGGCTTGTCGCACGTAAGGCAACGGACTTGCAACCTTTTTGCTTTCCCCACCGCCTTTGAGAAACAAATCAACGTGAGTGGGCACAACTTGGCGGTCTCTAGGCGCGAAGTGACCTGCAGATGATTGACTTGCAGTGGAGAAGCATTCGTCTTTGACTGCAAGGAGGGAGACGGGAGGTCAAGCAAAGTTAAGTCTAGCTTGCGAGATCTTTTCACTCTGAAATTGAATGTTGGCTCGGCCAACTCCAAGAAGGGTTTCTGTTTTTTCTTCAGTTGAAGCGTGTTACATTTATTGCCATATTGCTGTCGATCACCCCAGACTTTCCGTCCTGTTGGTAGATTGCTCCAACAGCTCGGGTGTATCCACGGACGTATTCGACTTCCTTCCTCACAGCTCCACCTGCAATGAACGAGAATCGACAGGGGAGGTTGATTTGACCCGACCTCTCTAAAATGATCTTTTCTCATCCAACCCTGTAAATGGTTTCCATAAGAAGAAAACCATTATATGCACCGGCGTTGATGCATGCTGTCCCTTCCATTAACAATGCTCTGCTCGACTGAACCCTGCACGTAGCTCCTCAAACCACACCATTCGCATCGTGCAGAAGTCGAGCAGGCGGGCTCTGACCTGCTAGCAAAAGAAATTTGACGTGTCTATAAAGAGCCTTTGTCCTACCTGAGTCCGCGATGTTTTGACATTCGTTTAACAAATTTTGATTACCTGTGTCATTAACTGGCGAAAGAGGCTTTTCCTTTACTTCATACTTCGAGTGCTTCGAAGGCGACCGCTCATGAGCCTGCCTTAAGGCCTTGCACAATCATTTCTGTTCCCAAAAACGACCAGGACAAAGATTGATCGAAGAGCTATGAGTACGGCTAACAGCGATAAAGAGGCCATTTTCGTTGTCGTAGACCTGGTACGTTTGCTTGGTTTTCCGGCCCACGCTCGCCAACACTGTCTTCTTTTCTGAGCGCTCCACTGATCCGAACAGCCTAGAGACGGACCGTTCAAAACGTGGCAGAAATTTAAAGACGTTGCGCGGACTGCACTTAGCAATGGACATAAGCCCGGTTGGACAGAGATGAAGTCACAGGCGGACGGGTCTACCGTTGGCTACACACTGTGTAAGACTCGAGAGGACGCCAAGCTCATATTTGGTAGGACACGAGGCCTTGCTTGTTTTGATATCGACTGAATCTCAATCTTTAGACTATCTGATGAAGCTCACCGCGAGCGGGTGCTGCGCTCATGTTCACTGGTACGATACCAGCTGGAGCAAAAGCTGGCCTGTTGCATGCAGTTGTCCCACAGAGCAGCACCGCTCGAACTACGATTACTACCGCCATCACGTCCACTCTTTAACTCACTATCAGTCGTCGCAATACATTGTACTTCCCAATCCTGTTGCTTATCCTCACCCGACAGCTTGGGGTGTGACTCCTGCGCCTGTTATATCGGATCCAGTGCATACGTTAGCGACCGATTTCCAAAGCATGGGATTAAGTCGGCCATATTATGCTCCTGTAGAGCCAGTTCCCGCTCCCTACTACGCCGTGCAGAGCCCTCAAGCTCCTGCGTACGTCCCAGCCACACAGCCACCGGCAAATTACGTGACAAACTCCCACGGCTATCCAGTGAATACAACGAACGGGGTTGTGCAGTCGGAGCACAACGTCATCATTCTGAAGAACCTCGATCCCGACATTACGGAGCAAGAGCTCTACATCGTACTCGGAAAAACTGTGAGCCCCACAAGTCTGGACATCAAGCGTACTTCCGACAGCAAGAAGAAGTCAATTTCAGCCGTCGCCACGTATAACAGCTACAAGGACGTCAAACGAGTCTGCGAGCACTTCCGAGGGCGCAACATTCACGTCAGAAAACGTGTGGTCAAGGCAGAAATTGGTAAAGATTCCTCGCCTCGCAGCGCAGTGCAGCCAGCTGTTGTGAATGGATCAACAACGGTGTCGTGACGACAGAACAGGAAGAGTGATTTTTGCTGATGGAGGACCTGGTATATCGGGACAGAAGGCGGCGTCCGGCACAGCTGAAAATTCTGATAGCTCGCTTGTTGCTGCGGCCAGGAAGAATCCAGCCGCGGTGTCTTGTCTCACCTAATCTTCGTGTGCGCTGTTGTTATCAAATCAGTCTTGCCATCAAGTCTGGCTTCCAACTTCTTGCATAACTGTTCTGCTCCAGGGCGTTGTGCCTTGCCGTAGCGAGCAGTGGGGGGACGATAGCCAAGGTTTGGCAATTACAAAAAAATGTAATTATCTTTACAAATTTTTGAAATCCTCTAGACTGATGATCGTTTTCAGTTTTCGGCCTGCAGATTGTCGTTAAAGAGAGCTGTAAGGCGAAGTCAAAGCGGTTCCGAGTTGCTGGAACCGCCACCCCGGAAAATAAATTTGCGTCACTTGTGTGACATATTTGGCATTCAACTAACACATTAGTGTCCACTCTGAGCGGGTTGGAAGAAACACACTTGCACCCTTGCAGATCTAACGAATGCAAGAAGAAAGCTAGCTGCCGATGGGAACGATCAGTATCGTTGTCTTTCCGCTTGTCCCGATTCAGCACGCGAAGCTATTGCTCGGGGAGCATAATTTTTTCAACTGGGCAACATGTATGTCGTCAGGTAGGTCAAGTATTTTCGTAAACGAGCGCGTAAACATAATCCTTTTAAGTATGCTATTGGCGCCTGATGCGGTGCTTGTCACCGTTTTCTTCAACTCGTACCAAGCGTTAAAACGGACTAGAGACGAAGGAGCACTCCGAAGTAGCGAGAGGCTTTAGTAATGGTTGGATGGGCTGTGGTGCTAGGCATGATTTGACAAGCCAAGTATTCAAAGTAGGTTAGCACCAGCGGATGAGAGCGGGACGCAGAGATTGGACAAATCCAATCACTGCTGAACGTCCCAGGACCTGTACAGAACCGACATATTTAAGCCTGACTCACGCATGTAACCCAATGCCGATGAATCTTTTTCCAACTCTTGTGAGTCGTGATCGAAGCAGGGAATTTGGAGCCCGATGGGTCGTGGATAAGTCCGCAAATTTTCGATGCCAAACTTCGTGTCATATCAGACCCTCCAATCGCCACTATTTGTCATGCGCGAATGATAAAAATTTTTTTTGGCAAAGTATTCCTTGGGCGTCGCTTGAAAACGCGATAGCCTAGGCGGAATCCTGTGGGCCTCAAAATGCGAGTCTGGAACGTCGCAAACGTGCTGATGCATACAGCCTCGTGTTTCTCAATAGGAGCTCATGTTAAAATGAAATGAAAAAAAAGAGAATATACCCCTATGTTGAAATAAATACGAAATAAGACGGGAACAGACGTATCTCAATCGCTGTGGAAGGCCGGTCACGTTCAGCTGTATTGATGTTCTAGAGATAGTTCAGCGGACAAGAATCAAGTATGGATGCAGATCCAGGTGGTTGCTCATTTCAAAATCACTAAGCAAGTGGAGATCCATTGGAAGCCCCGCAAGATCATTTAGCCAACAATCTCACGATGATCTGTAAGACCTATCATGGACGGTTCGTTTCAACTGGGTTATATTACGCTGAAGTCAGGACCAAAGAGAAATATCTCAGGGAAATAACCGGATGAGTGGAGCCGTTAAGGAGATTAAATACCGAAGGAGCAGGAATAGAGGTGGTTTTTGAGTGCCAAATGTGCGGCCAGTGCACATCAGTACAGACCAAGTGACCCTTCCAAGCTCTTTAGTACATGTGTATCGTCGATGCAATGCTTCAATGCAGGACTTTATCCAACCTGGATATTGTGCGTTTTTAGTTCTCTAGCGCCGGACTCAATTATCCTGCCCTTGAAAGTTTGTTCCCTTGCAGACCCGAAGCTTTTAGCTTAACACGACATATTTTACCACAAGAATCCCCTCCATGTTCAGGTCCCATACATCAGAATGACATTGAGACGTCCAAGATGTATGTGAGGAGACCTGGGAAACGAAGTGACGATGACAATCAAGATGATTTCTCCCATAGTGGGTCAAACAAACTGAAAGTAAACTTGTGAGTTCTTAAATAAGTAGAGAGTATCAACACGAGAAGAATGGGAGATAAATGAATTAGCGAATAATGGCCTCGGTGAAATCAGTTTGATTCGCAAACTGAATCTGCAGCTTCAAGATTGCCGACCCTGCTTCAAGATTCAGATCTTTGAAGACGAAACTGAAGGATAAGAAAAAGCTTCTCGCAATGCGAGTTAGAAAACGCGCTCATCGCTCGCCAACAATTCCATCCCCAGTAGAAGCTCGTGCTTTATCGTTGTCTTTCGAATATGTCAAGAGGCCCGTACGTGTTTCCTGGTGTACTTCTGACAGCCTCGAACCTCGAACAAAGAATGCAGCAATCACTGCCAAGACTGCACAGCAGGTATAGAAGATAAACATGTTCCTGAGGCTGTGTGCGAAGGCAGCCTTAACGGCTTGGGCCTGCTTTGCGTCATGGATTATTCGAACAAGACCAACATTTGCCGCAGCTTTTTCGCCCGACAGACTTGTCAGTAAGTTCTCTGGGAGACCTGCTCGCACCAAGTCGCTATATCTTTCGGTCATACTATGCTCGAATATGATCCCACCAATGACCACCCCGATCGCGTTGGCCATTGTACGCACAAAAGCTTGAGTCGATGTTGCTGTTGCAACATGCTCCTGTGGTACCTCATTTTGAATTGCAATTATTGGAGGATTGAATAATAGACCGATTCCAAAACCTCCAAGAAGCTCAAATAAAATCAATTTAGTGATGGGAGAGCTCCAGTCCAGATTTATGTAGAGTCCCGTACCCAAGGTCATTAGCAACGTTCCGCACAAGATCGGCTCCTTGTGTGTATGAAAATGATGCATAAGAATGCCGCAGAGTATGCCAGCGATAGCTTCAGCGAGGTTCAACGGAAGAACAAGAATGCCACTATAGATTGGATCTGCTCCACGCGTGCTCTGTATAAATAGCGGTAGATAGTACTCTATGCCAAGTTAGCGCAAAGCAGCAAGTCACAGGAAGATCTCCCTTATAATTATTGATTTTTTAGGATCAGCTGCTGGAGTCACGGAACAATTGGCTTACCTCCGGCAATGAACACCTAAGGAATCATCAACACGAGTCTCTAGTCAGCGTCCACGGCAAGCAGTTTTACTTACAATTCCATGGATAAGAGTGACGACTAAAGCAGCAACATTTGAGCGATTCTTAAACAAGAACAGAGGCATGAGGGGGTATTTGGCAAATCTTTTCTCGGAGAAAATGAATATCAAGATAGCAAAACTGCCAAAGACAAGCAGACAGATCACCTTCGGCGAAGTCCAAGGAAAGGTCTCTCCACCAAAATCAAATCCTAGCAGAACCATGAGTGTGACCGCAAGAATTGAAAGACTTCCTGCCCAATCAATGGCTTTCAGACCATCGACCATTCTTGTCTTTGGGTTGTGTACATCCAAGAACAAGAGCAATAAGAAAAAGGTAGTTCCACAAACAGCTAGCAAGAATATGAGCATCCGGCTAGCCTGTCTGGACAGGTTCACTTACGTAGATTTATCCAGCTGATGCGGTAGTTAGCTCACTTATGGTCTTACAATATTGCGAAACTTACAAAATCCATCTCCAGCTCAAGTCTTGGGCGAATATTCCTCCAAGTACCGGACCGGTCCCCCCTGCAATGGCCCACCTCACAGGGTATCAATTACAGCTTTTTCCAGAATATAAAAGGCTTGCACAAACTCACATCACTTCCAATATTCCAAGCCACAATGCTCGTCTGTTACCTCTTAACATATGAAAGAAAGGAGTTTTCGAAATATGTACGAACCTTCGCATGCTGAAAAGATCGCTGATTGTAACGATTACCAGACTTAGCATACCCCCAGCGGCAGTCCCTTGAAAAGCACTATTGCGTCGTTAGTTGGGACCTTTTTGGCATGTCTGAATATTATGATATAACTAAGTGAGGTCCGCATTCCAAAATGTTGAACCTCTGACTAGAAGTAACAAAGCCAAGAATAAATTTTTTGTGTTGTAGAGTCATGACGACTTGCTGCAGATGGGGCTGCTGCTGGGACTAATGAAAAAGATTCGGCGTTATGTTCGTATTAGTGGTGAGTATCATTAAATAAACATTCTTGAGATGCTTTTTTTTGATACGTTCCATGTGAGAAGAAGTTTGTCTAAGCATGACTGGGCTGCAAAGGATATTGGCATTGATACTGACAAATCATGATTCCCAGCGGCAATGGAAGATACAAATCGAGGGAAAGTTATTTCAGAGCAAAGATGGAAGACAATGGGAAGTGTCAGGTGCATAGTAACAGAATATTTCCCACGAAGTGAAAGGGACGGTCTTTGCAGGAGCTGGATATACGCGCTTTTATCGAAGCTTCCTAGAAGCTGGAAGACGAGGCTTTAAATCGGAAAGTCATCTGTGTCTATCCAGTTCTAGCTTTGTGACAAGCGATAATGCAGGATGCCTCTCCAACACCGTGGCACACTCCGAAATTATGACTTGTCGAAATTCAACATGACCAATGTGAGGTAGGGATAGACAGAACAAGGTACAAAAAAGGAAGCTCTTGAGGAAGCACTCACCGCCCAACAATCAACATTTTCATGCTAGTCGCTTCTGCGCATACAATGCTCGCACTGAAGAAAAATGCCACACTACTCAGAAGCATCGGCTTTCGTCCCCATATGTCGCTCAGCTTGGTCCAGATCGGTCCTGCCGCCGCGTTGGCAATTAAATATGCGGCGCCAATCCATGTGTATCCGCTTGCTGAGCTCAAGCTTGAAGTAATTGTTGGAATTGCAGTAGAAATAATTGTTTGATCTAAGGCCGCAACGAAAAGCGTCAGGTAGAGGGCAACTAAAATTGTGAAAAGGCGAAAGGAAGAGCGCTTGGCTTGATAGCTGGTCTCTGCGGTACTCTGCACGGGGACAGGCGACAACGTCTGCTGCCGTACAGAACTAGTAGGTTCCACGATGTCGAAAACACTGGTCGGCTTTGTCAGTGGCTCTGTCGTCTTCGTCTGGGTAAAAAATTCGAAGTTTCTTTTCTGCACAGCTTGTCCAAGCTCTTGCTGGTCTGTCATATTCAGCAGCTGTGCACAGTGCTTCTCTCTTATATCACATCAAATTGCAAGTTCCAGAAAAGGTAGCAAGAATCAGTTCAAGGCGTAATGTTTAAAGTGAAAGATTGCATTTCGTATCGTAGGCTGCAAATATGTGCGAGGCTTAAAAAGGTAAGGAACAGTTTTTGCGGTATCCGCGGCGTGCGAAATAGGCACCGATAACGGTAGTTGTATCTCGCTGAAAATTAATATCAGCTAGATGCATAGAGCTCCAGCTTTGTTGGCTTCAACCCAAGTTATAAGCTAGCTCGAACTACACCAATTGTGGTGTGGTGCTCGTTGATGGTCTATGGCGAAAAGCTAAGCAGCTTCACGTCAAAGATCCTGCTGCGTGGCAGGTATCACCACTTGGGTCTCGATTTATGATGAAATCGTCATGTGCTATACGCTTCATGAGTGTGACACTCATGATAGCCATTAGGAGATAGACGCTCATTTTCCACTTGTCTTCGCCTTCTTCTTCGGTCTTTCCTCTTCCTCTTCGCTGGCGGCATCAGCATCTCCCATTTCTTCATCACTATCCCCGTCACTCTCGTGTTGACTATCATATTCTTCTGCGACGTCGCTCTCTTCGTCATCCTGGAAGTCCTCATCTGCTTCCTCGCTATCTTCGTCTGCACTGCCGCGATCAGCGACCACTTCGTCATCACTTTCATCGTCCACGCCGTTAAGGAGTGCTGCCGTCATCTTCTCCTCTTCAGCCATCTCATTCTTAATCTTCAGGCCCTTGATGCGGAAGAAGTCCTCGAGAGGCTTTTGTTCTTCACGATTGATGTTGCTGAATTGAAATTCCCCGCCGCCACGCATAGCCATCGTGATATCAAAAGTGCGAGATGCTGCCATAGCACCGCCAATGCGGGACATTGTTATCAGTGTGACTTGGTCCATATTGACATACGTAGCTGGCTTGGGCACAAACATGAAGGACTTGTCCATGCAAAACAACAGGCCCTCATTAGCTTTGATTGAGCACTTAACGCCAGATGCGTGGTGGTGGCTTTGAAAGTCTTTTGATGGCATGGTAAGTTTCTTACCGGCCAAGCCGCGGAACAATGCTGCAACAACACTGTGAAGAGGGGCCTCATATGTTTTCTGGAGTTTGCCCTTGTATTCTTGCTCAAAGTCTTCGTCCTTCATGTTTAGCTCCAGTACAACTTCCTCCTCCTTGTTCATTTGCATGACCACAAATGGATAGCGGGTTTGGCCTTGCCGTAGCGGTGGGTCCAGACCTATTGTGAGAAGCACGTGCATCTCGTCCGGTTTGGGGAGAATCATGAATTTCTTTACCGAATCATACTGAATCTTGTAATCATACGTCTTGCCACGCAGACGGAAGCTTGTGCGGTACAAATCGACATCAAAACGACCTCTGGGAGAATGTTAGCACACCAAACTACGCAACAATGCAAGGGTGCTTGCCTTGGCGTAAGGTGTAGGACATCTTGGAATGTGGCGATGGTATCTCCGGCAACTTCGCCAATCTCTGCCTTCTCACTCAAAGTCTGGTAGAACACGTCCGCGGCTTGTTGTTCCTCCGCATCTTCGTCAACCTCGCCGTCCTCGCCATCTTCTGACTTAGTCTTTGCTGCGGTCATGCCTGGTATATAAAAGCGCATCTCGACTAGCTGGTCGCGGGCTGCTCCAGCTTTCTTGCCACCTCCTCGAGCGCCGCCCAGGTGGCCATTTGTGCCTGTCTCTTCGCCGTCACCAGGCAGAGAGAATTCGACAGCCACTTCGCCCTTTCCTGCAAGATTCGTGTTTGAGACTTCAGTATATGGTATGTCGAAAGCAGATCTACTCTGCACGTTGAACGACAGTTCTGCCTTGCCAAACTCTGCCCTGCCCCAGTTCCAGCCTCGCAGTGAATGCTCTTGCTTGTCGAGAGGAATGTGATACCAGTTCTTGAAAATTTTTTGGATTCGGTCAAAATCGTCTTCTTGGAAGCCGTCAAATTGCACGACGGGCGCGTCTTTCCGGTATATTTTTACCTCAAAACCTCGTGCCGCTCGGTTCCAAAATGCATGCTGCATCTGTTCCTGAGTAAGGGTAAAAGTATCACCACCGCCGGCAGGCTTCCATCCTAGGCCCGAGTCTGCAAACCTGCACCGACCAGGTGCTTTGGAGAAATCCATATAGACGTTCTCAAACGTCTCCCTGCGCACTTTATATCAGCGATGCTGCCGAAATTCAATTCGCAAATGATAAATTGATGGTTGCATGGACGTCAAGCTCTTGGCTCTATGGCTCGCTAGCCGTCTATGCGTTTTGAGACTTACATCGACATTTTGGCTGAATGTAACGAGATCAGCGACTGGTTCAGGAGCGACCACGGGCAGCCTCGAAGAAGAAGTATATGGCTAAACGGGGCCTGTTCGACGCAGATCCGAGGAGGTTGAAGTGATGCCAGAAGGCTTGATGACGGTCTGAGTATTCACGACAGCCGAGATAGCGCTTGGTCTCTGTCGCGTAAGAACGCGAAGCCGGCTCTTCGTAGCGCGCCAGGCATCCTTTTGGCACGTGATTGTTTCTTGTCCGACTTAACCCAAGTTAGATTTTCGCGCTGGAACTTGTGCTTGAAGACTTGACCAATCAGCTGCTTGCGTTTGCCTCATTCAGAGGCACGGACGATAGGCTTGTGACGCAATGCTGTTCACAACAGAGGCTAGGGGCGGTCAAATCAACGTACGAGTCGCAAGCTCCAGAGCCAACACGTTCGCACCTCAGCACCTTCGAAAACTGCCACACTCAATAAGATCTGTCTAAGGCTGTCAGCTGTCATGTGCTAGTTGTTGGTCACTGGCTAGATGCTCTTACGCGAGACATCAGCACGTGCGGGAGAGTCGCTTGCATTCAACCAAGGCATTCCTAGATCTCAGGATCTGCAACGAGGTATTGCTCTATCTCTTACCGCCCCCGGTCATTTCAAATACCTGCCTTCCCATCGACGACAACTCTGAGTTACTGCGCAACTGTACAATGAATTTGCTGTCCTAACCATGGCCGTAGCTTCACAGGGTCCCCCAACTCGATCAAACTCTCGTCCATCTTTGTTGGACAAAAGGTCTACCGTATCCATCTCTGAGGCGCTAGAGCAAGATTCCAGAGACATGGCAGAGCAGCCAGACATGCTGAAGCGGGAGGCGGCTTCGCAGCCAAGTGTTGGACAGGATGACTACCTGCAGCCTACGACGTCGAATGGAGAGAGCACACACTCGTCGGCAATAGAAGATGACCATGGTTCTGGTTCTTACGCTGCGTCGGCGACCACGCCTGGCACACTTTCAAGGACTGCGTCTTTCTCTGGCGATGAGTACGACGAGTCTGTCCCACCCCTCGACCGCCTCACTATCTTCGATCTGATCGAGAACCTCGCTCTGCCGCAGAGGCTAGAACGTCTCCAGTCTCAAATCTCATTGCAGACGGAAAAGGTTCGGAGGCAGCAGGAACGTATCAAATCTTCGGGCCAGAACGCAAAGAATAAAGTTGTTGAGGAGTGGCGGCGAAGGGTTCCCACCGCGGAGGAGCAGCTTGAGAAGTACAAGAGGCGCATGAGACAATCAGTCGACCGGTTGAACAGCAAATGGAACGATTCACGATCTGTCACTCTACGCGAAAAAATCTCCTTCATCGCCGGTGTCATGAATGTCTTCCTCAGCGGCTACATCGTTGGGGGCTGGCCACATCTGTATCCTTACTGGTACAGCGCGCAGTTGCTCTACTTCATGCCCATCCGCTTCTACACATATCATAAGAAAGGTTATCACTACTTCCTAGCGGATCTGTGCTACTTTGTCAACGTCTTGACTATGCTAAGCATCTGGGTGTTCCCCAACTCGAAGCGGTTATTCATCAGTGCTTTCTGCCTCGCCTTCGGTAACAACGCCATCGCTATAGCGATGTGGAGAAACTCTCTCGTGTTTCATTCTATGGACAAGGTCGTTAGGTAGGTTTTACCTAGTTCGCATGTAACGAGTACGAGCTGATTACATCTTTAGTCTGTTCATCCATATTATGCCTTGCGTAACTCTGCATTGCATTGTTCACCTCATCCCGCCAGAACTCCAGGCGCAGAGATACCCAGCCATCTACAAGATTCTCACCTCCGATCCTTCTTCCCCACAGCACTACTCGCTTTGGCAGATGATGTTCTGGGCGTCTTGGCCCTATGCAGTCTGGCAATTATCATACCACATCTTTATTTCCGTGCGTCGTGCTGAAAAGATAGCTGCAGGTCGCCCAACTTCATTCACCTGGCTGCGACGCTCCTTCGCCAATACCTGGATTGGAAAATTTGTACTCAGTCTTCCAGAAAGTATGCAAGAAACAGCATACATGCTCATTCAGTACACTTATGCACTTCTCACCATGATTCCATGTCCACTTTGGTTCTGGTACCGCTGGGCGAGCGGGACCTTTCTCATGGTCGTGTTTACATGGAGCGTCTGGAATGGGGCGACATTCTACATTGACGTGTTTGGCATGCGCTTTGCCAAGGAACTGGAGCAACTGAAGAAAGATGTGGCAAAGTGGCAGAACACGCCTGAGCTCATGGGCAAGACACCGCTCATAAGCCCGGATCAGGAACATGTCGGTAACCCTCTTGCAAGCCCACCACCCGAGAATTCGGTTTCTGCGCTTCAGAAGGCCAGTATGGGTGAGGGAAGTGAAGTGAGTACTGCAGAAAAGCCGGACATCAATCAGATTCCACCATTAGATGCTGCAGCAGAGGCGAAAGGAACGGGCGCAGAAACCAGAAGTGATGAAGGAGGTATGAAAGAGAGAAGGAGTGGTTAAGAGCTTTTGTTTTTTTTATACAGAGTGTGTGCAATGATCTCTTTTGCGCTTTGCTTTTTTGGTTTTAACCAAAGTTGTTCCTTGCGAGCGAGACGTACGATACCCAGCTCTCCCTTAATTGATTTCGCATCTCCATGAGATCTTCTTTTGAACTCACTACGAGCATCTCGAAATGCTTTTTTCTAAGGAAATCTGGCTCAAGACATCCGGGATTGACGTGACGCCCATTCTTTAGAACAACCTTCACGTCGGTCTCGGTCACGGAGACTCTTTTTCTGGCCATCAATTCTGTTTGGCGGTGTATTAATTGCATAATCAGTAGAGGATTTCAACGGAACATCATTCACCATGTTCTGCCTACACAAATATTGGGTTCGCATAGTAGGTTTGGGAACGCTCGAGACTACGCGCACATGTAGGAAAAGTGACCTTCGCTTAAATAGCTAGCCTACATGACCCGAATTTTTCACATATTTGATCACCATCCGTCTTCGCTGTTTCTCATCGTTCAATCTTTTCGTCGATTCCTTTGGCAGCAAAAGGTCAGCTCACGAGGTGGGCGCGGAGATAAGAGAAGTGGCATTTAGCGTAGCGAGCCTCACACTCGGCATTTTCGACCTCTTTTATCGTCATCATAAGCGTTTCGATGCGGAGACGCATAACTGATCCAGTACATCTCTAAAAGGCGAGTCGGAACGAGCTGTGGGACCAGTGATGGTAGATGCCGGCTTCGTGACACACGTTTGATGTCAACGTCTTCTTCACTGCCGCGGGGCGTAATTAGGAATGTATACAATGGCCATCCGCGTGAGGCAGCTCGGAAGGCTGCTTACTGACATTCAAAAACCCGATTTGCTTGATGGAGGGCATCCTGGACAGCAGAACATACGGGCAGCATATTTTTTTTTGTCAAAATAGGTTCCATTGTGATGCCGAGAGCGTTCTTGTCTTCCGGTCACATATGAACAAAAGTTTGGCGCCTCTATCCTTTCTGCCATAAGTGTGAGTTGGATAGGCCCTTTTTCAGACGCGTCATTCACGACGTGGAATAAAAGCAGACTGTTAGATCTGGAATTCAAGCACTTCCTCTGTCTCCTAGGGATGCACAGGATGGACGAATGAAAGGGTTTAGGAACACGGCCGAGATAAGCACAGATACAGCAGCACACTGTTGGGCGATATCACCGAGTGTTGTTCCCATTTTTGAGCTTTGTCAGCCTTGTGCTCTCTCTTGTAATATCGATCAAGGACAGCAAGCTATTCTGGAAGACGGTGCGAACACAAGATGAAACACCAATCGAAGCGAAGAGAAAAACTGTATCACCGAGGCACGCATGTGGCGCAGTCGGAATGGTGGTTTCTCTCCAGGTCGTAGGAACAAGTACAGCGTGAACAGGTTAGTCGAACGCTACCATCACCAATTCTCGCTTGTGCCCGCGCAGATCGATCTTAGCTTGGTGCGGTGCTATGCAGGATATGGACATGGTTGTTGGTAACGGATCCTCGGGAAGCTGTAAGCCAAGATAAAGAGAACACCAGCGGTGACACAAACAAGCCACCAGGGCATTGTGCACGAAGGGAGTTTCAACGCTGGACTTGTACAGGACGTCAGGGAAGCCAACATCATGCAGCTAGAATTGATTTAGGCAGGTTGGGGGCATATGGTTTTGGGACCCAAGCCTGCAGGTTGCAAGTCGTGTTCAAGATCAGCGAGGAGAGACTAGAATGCAAGAATTGTGGGGTCACTGGAAACTATTGCTGCGAGGCATTACTATGGAATTAATTTTTTCGCACACTGCTCAACCTCCTAAAACATAGAAAAGAGCATCGTGGCAGATCGCCGGGTGTCGAGTTTGTGAGAGTGCAAGGAAATATGTGGCTTGGAAATAAGAGAGAACCGTCAGCACATCTGCCCAAACTGTCTCGCGCTCATCATCAGCACGCGGATTCCTTGTGCGCCCAATGAGCCCCTCGAATGGTGGAGCATTTGTCCACCCCAGTGTCCTTCTCCTTCGGCATCAAAAGACATAAAATACATAGTTGCAAAGCACCCGATATTGCGGTCGCCGAGGGGCGGGGTGAGGTTGCGGAGGCGAAGCGGGAGACACGGCACGAAAAGGATGATTTGATGCAAAAAAGCAAATGGATATCTAATCCACTCGTAGAGTGACGCTAACGCCGTCGTACGCCTTCGAAGTTTGATGACTGTGAGATGTTCGCTGTGGTGCCTCCGTGGAGGAGGGAGAGCTCGCTCACATCACGACGCAGCAGCCGTTGCTCTGTTGTGGCGCGTACGGATCTTCTTTTCGATCGACCTGCGTGCAAATCCATCAGTTCAAAGGTCGACAGTGTCTCGGAATGGTATTGTGTGCGCACCGTTCCCCACTTCGAAGGTACCATCCAATCCTTGGGCTCTTTCTCCGTGAACCCTATCAAGCTGCACGACGACCATTAGTTCTTGCCGGCCAAATGCATCAGATGAAGGGCATCGCATACTCGTTCGCGGCCTCAGAAACCGGTATACGCCTTCGCTCCAGGTCCTCCTTCAACCGCATGTTGAGCTCTTGTAATCTCCGCAGCTTGAGCTCGGCCATGTTCTGCTTGCGATTCCTGCCGTCCGCGGCGCGCATGTCGTAGCCTCCGGCCATCATTTTCGTCGATTAATGGAGCGCACTGCAGCGCAATCAGGGAATCCTGGGGTGGTGGTGATGATGATGGTGGTGCGAGAAGGGTATCGGAGGTTCGTGGTCCGGGGAAAATGCCAGGGATGAAAGAGTGCTCAGGCCCGTTCTGCTGCTGCTCTGCACGCTTGACTCGACACGAAACACGGACGGCGGCGCACGCAACGAAGGAAACGAGAGGGAGGGGGAGGACGGCGCTCGAGCCCGCGCGTGTTCCGCTTATCGACAGAGGAGAGGTTGGCAATGCACCAGCGCTGTTGGGAGCGGAGGAACGGAGGTGCGGTGTATGTGAGAGAGAGGAGTGTGTGTGCGGTGGTGGTGTCCTGAGATTGAGCGGAGTCCACAGGCTGGGAGACGCTGGGAGACGCTGGGTTGGCCTGGGACTGGCGTCTCGGCCAATGACAGGCAGAGCGGCAGGGATCGCCGCTTCAACTTCCACATCGGACGTCCTGTGGCGCAAGTAATGAAAGGAATAAACCTCACCTTGGGCTTGCAGCATCGAGTTTCCAGCGCTGCGCTTTGCTCTTGTCTCCCACAGCTAAGCGACATTGCTCGTCGCCGGGATGCCTCGTCCTCTTCTCCGTCGTGCTCTCCGTCGCCTGCCCCCTACGCCGGACCGCCCCCCATGCCTTTCAACCTGTAGATTGGACCCAATTCCATCGGCTCACGCTACCGGCCGTTGGAATCGACCGGCGGAAATGGGGCCTTAGTTTCCGCGCATTGCGACTTCAACTGCAGGCAATTTGCAGCACGTCCGACGTGGATCAGTGCACATATATCCCTGGCATCGTACTCGTGCACTCACCTCTGATGCCTCCCCCCGCCAGGCACGGTTCAGCATTTTTATTACGAGCGCACCGAGCTGCCTGGACATGGCTTTTGCCATCCGGTCGGTTTGGCTGTCGCGCTTTCGCCTGGTGAGCTCAGGATCCACAGGAGCCACCAGTCCTGCTTAAGACCTTGCAATTCAGTTCGTGCGGACATGCATAGAGACCTGGACTGATGGCTTTGATCGGCGTATGGAAAACCCGCCCAAGCCTCTTTCGCAGTACTTGACAACCTCTATTCTTATCCTCCCGTCGCCCAAAGACAGCACCCAATGTCCAGCCACGGTACTCTGTTCACAGCAGAAGAGGTGTACCCGTCGATGAAACTTTCACATGACACCATGCTTGTTCAGCTCTGGCCGAACATCGCTTTTCTGGACTTTGTAGCACATGTGCTGGGAATAAGCTCCTCTAGCTGCAATGAAAAATAGCCCGAACTCATCAGTCTCTCAACCCAGCATGAGTGGCAAGCATACTTTGTGATGACAAGCCGCTCGAATCGGCGATGATGTTCGTATTTCCATTACGAGACATAGCCTGTCATGCTAGAGTCTTCTCGAGGAGCAACGATTCCTTGTTCCCTGGGCAAGAGCTTCGAGCGTTTTTGCAGTTGAACCTCACGCCAGGCACGCGGTCCTATTCTTACTAATTTGGTCGTGTCTTTCTCACTTCTCTAGTCAGCATCACGGAACTACATGGATTAGTTCCCTCTGGGAAAGACCGGGACTGATCTTCAGGGGATGGATCTGGAACCTTTCAAGGACTCAAAAGACTGGTAAGGTAGTCATTTTCCAGATGAATTGTCTTATTCTACCCGATCTTGGCATTTGCCCGTCAAGAAGATCTCGGTGCCAAGTTCAAAAGCGTAAGCTTGTGTTTCGTTCTGAGAGGAACTGGATTTCACATGGCCAGTACATCGAACGAACCGTGCGATAAGCACGAACCTGTCACACAAAGACCGTTTAAAATTCGCTTTGAGTTCCAAGATGCAACAAAAAGACCTAAAAGAATTCAAATTGGGCAATGCCATTTCAATTCTAATTCTTCTGCTACTGAATGACCTTGCAATCAACACCACGAATTCTGATTGATACGCGCTCATTTACAGTCGCTTGACAGCCACTGATGACATGCTTAGGAACGACGTCACATTGTCTAGCACGAGCCTGCAGCCTCCCAGCATGAAAAAGGTGAAATCGTTATCCCTACACGTGCTGTGACAGAAATGTCACTGTATGTAACAAATCTTCAGCCGTCCCGTTTCTTGAACTAGCATCTGTTTGACGATCCTCCATGAATCTTCTGAGGAGATACAGCGAGCTTGACCTTAGCTGATCGATTACACAGGAATAATGGCTCCATACGGTTTTGGGTGTACTTATACTTGTAGGGACTGTGGTTTGGCAACTCAAAAGGAGAAATTGGCAGGGAAAGAACGTGAATTTTGATGAGGTTCAGGACATGTACAAACCAAAATTGCAGGGCACAAAATTTCCATTACTGCGAGCTCTGAAACCATTCAAAGATGAGAGTACAATGACCCAAAACATGCTACGTACAGGTTGAAGAGGTAAGCTGTATGTTCACTGCGAGCGAAAATTTGGAGTTGACTGAATCTGTCGACTTGCGGTGAACAGACATGGCGGCGGCCTCGTCGATCTGGTTTCCCTTATCTCAGGTACCTGCAGGCAAGACAATTGGCAAATTGCCGTCTCAAGGACTTTTTTATCACTCGAAAGACGTCCTTTGCAAAATCAATGAGCGTCAGACCAGTCACAAATTATCCTAGAATGTGCAATCGACTACGCGGGGGCATTTCACTAAATTTTCGTGAGAAAAATTGCCTCAGGCATCAGGGCAGACTTGAGCGCACTTCCATTTAGCTTTCACACATTCACGTCGTTAACGACGCCTAGATCCCAAACTCCATAGCCCAACATGCCGCCGCCACCGCATTCTCGTCCCGAGAATGTTCTCAAGCGAGCTCAAGAGCTCATCGGCGTCGGACAACAGCAAGCCGCACTCAGCTTGCTGCACGAACATGTCACCTCAAAGGTACGCACCCCCGGTGGCCTGTCTTTGTGGAGAGTACTAATGCAGCAGGACAGCGTACGCGAAACTCACCCATCGCCAGCTTGGAGCCGGTGATGCTCCTATTCGTTGAGCTCGCGGTCGACGCACGAAAAGGAAAGCTGGCCAAAGATGGCCTTTACCAGTACAAAAACACGGCGCAGAACACCAACATTGGCACTATTGAGCTTGTGTTCAAGAAATTCATCGAACTTGCAGAAGCCAAAGTCACGGAGGCTCAAGGCCGCGCAAATGAGGTCCAGAGCAGTTTGGATGCCGCTAGCAACATCGATGACCTCGAGGCCTCCGAAACTCCGGAATCCATTCTACTCTCCACGGTGTCGGGCGAACAGTCGAAGGACAGGACGGATAGGGCTATTGTGACTCCATGGCTCAAGTTCTTGTGGGAAACCTATCGCACGGTGCTGGAAATTTTCAAGAACAATGCGCGCCTTGAAGTCATGTATCAAAGCACCGCCCATCAGGCATTCGCCTTTTGTTCTCGCTATGCCCGCAAGACTGAATTCCGCCGCCTTTGCGAACTTCTTCGCAACCACCTCCAGAACGCGGCCAAGTTCTCGAACCAGATGCACGCCATCAATCTGAGCGAGCCGGATACCCTTCAGCGCCAACTTGACACTCGTTTCCAGCAGTTGAACGTGGCGGTTGAACTCGAGCTCTGGCAGGAGGCGTTCCGCAGTGTGGAAGACATCCATACTCTTCTCACTCTTAGCAAGCGGCCAGCCAAGAACATCATGATGGCGAACTACTTCGAGAAGCTTACCCGAATCTTCCTCGTCAGTGAGAATTACCTCTTCCACGCTGCTGCTTGGAGTCGTTACTACAACCTACTTCGTCAGTCTGCGGCTGCCGTCGCCTCCGGCGCAAGCCCGAAGAAGGACAACCCGGCCGTCACCGAAGCAGATATGACAAAAGCTGCATCCTTTGTTGTCCTCTCTGCTCTAGCCATTCCTGTCATCAGCACGTCTCGCTCTCGGGGTGCTCTGGTTGACGCTGACGGGGCACGTAAGAGCAAAGACTCGCGCCTTACAAGCCTTCTTGGAATGAACCAGGCTCCGAGCAGAGCCATTCTGTTCAAGGATGCTCTCAGTAAAGGTCTTCTCAAGCGATGCAGACCCGAGATTCGCGAGCTCTACAATATCCTGGAAGTCGACTTCCATCCTCTCTCCATTTGCAAGCGCATCTCGCCAATTCTCAAACAGATTGGCGAGGACGAGGAAATGAAGCAATATGTCCAGCCGCTTCAACAAGTTATCTTGACCCGTCTCTTCCAACAGCTTTCTCAAGTTTACGAGTCGGTCGAGCTCAGCTTCGTACTCAATCTTGCGCAATTCCCGGATCCTTTCCAGGTTAGCAGCAGCTACGTTGAGAAGTTTATCATGAACGGTTGTAAGAAGGGCGATCTTGCCATTCGGATTGACCACGCGGCTGGAGTACTTACTTTTGACTCTGACGTGTTCTCCTCTGCCAAAGCCCTTCACCCTGGTTCTGCCGCTGGTTCCGCCGAAGCTGAAATTGGCTCTGTGCAACGCCTTCAGAGTACGCCTGCTGAGATTGTTCGCTCGCAGCTCACTCGATTGTCGAAGGCGCTCTTCATCACTTGCCAATATGTTGACCCCACGTTCAATGCTGAGCGACATCAAGCCAAACAAGCAGCTCTACAACGTGCTGAAGCTGGCGCCGAGAAAGAACATGCTGATGTCCTTGCACGACGTGAAATCATCGAGCGTAAGAAGCAAGCAGCCTCCTCTGCGCTTGCACAAAAGGAGAAGGACCTCGCCCAACAGAAGCGTATCAAGGCTCAGGAGGCTCTGGCTGCAGAAGCGCAGCGTCTAGCAGAAGAGCAACGTGAGCGTGACCGTCGCCGACTAGAGGCTGAAAAGGCCAAGGTTCAGCAGGAAGAGGCCCAACGTGCTTTGGAAGAACTCAAGCGTGGCACAAAGGGCATTAACCTTGAAGAGATCGACGTCACTCAGCTCGACTCTACCGGTATTCGACAAATCAAGGTGAAGGCTATGGAGAAGGAGCTTCAAGAGAAAGCCGAGAAGTTGCGTGTCACTTGGCGTCGTATCGATCATTTGGAACGAGCGTATCGACGGGAAGAACTTAAACACATCCCAGAAGACTACGCTGCGCAGCGTGAACGTGACCTCGAAGCTTATAACAAGAGCAAGGAGGAGACGTTGGCGGAGAGCAGAGAGAAGCACAAAAACGATGTTGCTCTTAAGAAGCGTCTGGAACGACTCGTGCCAGTTTACGAGGAATTCAAGAAGCGAATACAAACGGAGCGACGCAGCGACTTCGAAAAGCGCAAGAAGAAGGCGCAGCAAGAACTTGAGGCCAAGATGCAAGCTAGAAGGCAGCAATATATCGCTGAGTTGCGAGCTAAGCGACAACGTGAAGAGGAAGAGCTGCGTAGACAGCGCGAAGAGGAAGAGAGACTTCGGCGTGAGGCCGAGGAGAAGGCAGAGGCTGAAGAGAGGAAGAGACAGCAATTGGCGGAGCTCAAGGCAAAGAGGGAAGAGGAGCGCAGGAAGCTCGACGAGCTGGCTGCTCGACAGCGACAGCGGGAGGAAGAAGCGGAGGCGAAGCTTGCCGCCAGAAGAGGTGCTGCTTTGGGGCCAAGAGGTTCACGTACAGAGCCACCAACTAGGAGCGAGGCTGCTTCGTCTGCAGGTGGCCCACCAAAGCTCAATCTTGTGAGAAAAGACGGTGCTGGTTCAAGCTGGCGTGAGCGCGAAGCTCAAAAAGCGGCAGCCATGGCTGCATCAAACGATGCCGCACCTGCCGCTGCGACTTCAAACGAAGATTCTGCACCCAAGAGAGCCAGTTACGTTCCCCCACCTGCCCGGTCCGGCGGTGCTGGAGGGTGGCAAGAACGTGATAGCTCTAAACGTGACAGCTCTAGTCGCGGTCCAGGAGGTCGCGCGCTGGGTATGGAAGAGCGCAGCTTTAGTGGTAGAGGAAGCGATCGAGGCGAATCTCCTGCCCCTCGCCAAGGCGGTTACAGACCGCCGCACTTGCGTGGCGACCGTCCCGCCGCATCATCGGGCGAGGGTGACAACTCGAGACTACCGCCCCCAGCTGCTGGTACGTCTGATGGCAAGTATAGACCTGGGGCTTTTAGGAGGCAGAATCAGTAGGTGTGTGGTAAGGGTTCGTACTAGCTGCTAAGGTTATGTTGTGGACAAGGGTTGTGGTACTCGGGCATCAACTAGACTGTCACTCTCGATAACACGTGAAGTGCCCGACATGGCGTGCATGGGCAGGAATCGTATTTGCGGAGTTGTATTTTATGCTTTTGCGAGTACATGCACGGCATAATCTCGTGCATCAGAGCGAAGGTGTACGCAAGTTCAGTATCATGAACAGTAGCATCATCACTCTGAGACTGATACCTTTTTCGTCACCAAATGCGTAGAGTCCTGAAAAATTCAAGTTCAAATAATGTTGATCAATACGTATATATGAATTGATTTGTACAGGATGCACAATTATGCTGATGCTGATGCTGATGCTGATGCTCGTGCAGATGCTGGTGCCGTAATTTATATACACTGGCGTCATCTTAACCATCGTCACTTACTTTTTCTTGTATATCTAAGCTGGTCTTTTCCCTCGCGTCCTCTTCGATAGTACTTAATTCGTCGTCGTCGCTGTCAACACCGTCGTAAGAATTCTCTGAAGGCAATCGAACCAGCTTCGAAATCTTGGTTCCGTCACTTAGCTGGTCAATATCCTCTTCGTACCTATAACCGCCCCACCATGGCAGCAGTCTGATCCATACAAACCAGTACGCAACAGCAATCAAAATCGTGGAAATGCCGACGACAGCATAAGTGCCATACCAGAATCTGAACTCGGCCTTGCCCGCGTCCGGTGGGAAGAATGGGGCAAGAAGGAGGGCAGCAGAGAGAAGTATTGGCAGGTAGACAGATGGTCTCCAGGCCTTGAAGGGTCGTCTGAGGTCTGGTCTGCGTGATCGGAGCCAGAGAAGGCCGCAGCCAATTGCGAGAGATGTTATTTGCGCAGGATACCCCTTGACTTCGAGGATGAAGCTGTAGACTGCTCCTGGCGGTGGTAGTAGGATCACTGCCAAGGACGGTATCAGATGGACAAGCAAACCACCTAGTGGTGTTCCGTACGGCCTCGAGGAGGACAGTTTTCGTGCGAAGGGCAGGAATCCCTGACGCGCAATCTGCTGGTTGACACGGGCTTGCGCGAAGGTGGTCACCATGACGTTTCCTGCCGCCGAAAGGGCGATGAGAACTGGGAGGACTCGGGTTCCGATTCCTTCACCCATCACACGCTGGAAAAAGAGGGCGGCAACGAGCTCGCCGCTGGATTTAATCTCGTCGAGGGGAACGACAACGAAGTAGGCTATGTTGAGGAACAAGTAAAAGACAAAGATTGTTATCATCGCGGCAGGCGCTGCGGATTTGAGTGTGCGAACCGGATTCTCGACTTCGTCCATGACGTTGTTGAGATTGTCGAAGCCGGAGTAGGCATACGATACCTTGAAGAATGAAGTCGCAAGCGTGCCAAAGTTCCAAGCCGAACCTTCCCAGATGTGATCCCACGAGAATGGATTTGGGCGCTGATGGACGTCGGACAGCGTGCCTTGAGACTGGAACAACAGGACGATGATGCCGGAAAAGGCCATGAAGGCGATGACTGCGATCTTGATCCAGGCGAGGACGTTTTGAATCATGATTCCGCCTTTGAGCCAGCGACCGTGGATGATACTAACAACGACCACAAGGCCCGCGGCGCAAATTCGTTGGGCGACGTCGGTTGGCTCAAGGTTCAGCGCGAACAGCATGTACTTGCCAAAGACGATGCAGTTGCTCGCCGTGAAACCTAGAAGCATCGCTTGAACCGCGATCACGGTGCTGGCCAGAAACCGCGGTTTGTCGTATATAAACTCTAGGTAGACCTTTTCACCACCAGACCGTGGCAGCATGCAACCGAGTTCTAGTGAGACTGCCAGCCCACACGCTGAGATGATGGCGCCGAGTAGCCATAGCAAGAGGGCAAGGCCGATGCTGCCTGCTGACTGAGCTATCACGCCTGGTGTCGCGAAGATTCCAGATCCTATCACCCTCGAGATGATAAGGAAGTAGGCCGACGACCAATTGATATTCCTGCCTGCGGAAGCGGACTCGGGCACCGTATTCAGCTCCCTTGATGGCGTCTTAGGAGTCCGGAGCGGCGTCAAAAGAGGGGTTCTTGGGTCATCAAGACCATAGGGCGACCGAAGCGCATTTTTGGGGTATGTTGTATTGATGCTGAGAAATCGCGCTGGCGAAAGCCCGCTTCCTGCCCTCGACGACTTGCTGGAAGTCGCCAGCAGCGGATCAGACGACTCAGCGTCCGACGCTTCGGAGCCAGAGTATCCACCGCTAGACATCCTTGGCGACCTCAGCGGCAACAGTGTATTAATGGCAGCCATGCCCAGAAATGAAGGACGGGCAGAGGCCACGCAGAAACTTGCTCATGAGCAGATTTATCAGACCAGAAAAATGCGTCCAAGGAATCAATAATAAGTTGTAGAGCTCAGTGTTTTGCGCTGGCACTCGGCTTATCGGGTTTGCGGTGTGCCATGTTTGCGCTCAGGGGAGTCATCGCCTCCATACCCCCACCGACAATCCTCTTCTTCACTGGCATGCAATTGAGAACATGACCCAAATGGCTGAAACTCCAGTAAAAGATAGACTTGGGATCCCTTCGAGTCGAGGGGCCAAAGCCAATGGGACGGGCAGTGAAGAAACACTGCTGAACGTAGGTGTTTTGAGACCAGGAGAGCGTGGTGTTTCAGAGTTAAGCATCCGAGGCAGAACTCGCGGCACTAGAGCTTGATGGGCGAACGTTGCGTATCACTTCCAGAAATATTCATCAAGCACATTTAAGCTTTGCCAATGCAAACCTGTCACTCAGGAGCCCGAAGGGCAGTGCTCATATGACGGGTCTTGCTATCCGGTCTGACAGCAGATCCAAACAGACGAAAATGGCTCTTTCTGCCGTTGCGCCTCTCAGAATGATGTTTGATTTCGAGACAACGAGTTCCAGATATCGAGTCCTCAAAATTCGAGTTACGATCAGGCTGGCTCAAGTTTTACGAATGTTGAAGTGCAGATGGTTTGGAGTGTGAGATGCTAGCCTCTGCCGTATAGTTCTAGTGCCTGCACAGCTGAAGCAGCTTTGGAACATGCAAAGGCGTTGAGACAACCGCTTCAAGAAATTCCCACTGCGACCGCAGTCTTCTTTGTCTTGTAATATTCACGGCGGGCACAAGTAGCCCTTATGTGCAGTAACGAGATATGAGTTTGCCATCCATCAGAGACCCAAAGGCCGGTCACGTGTCGCGGCTCAAACAAAGTGAAACGACGCTCGATATTTATTTCCGTTATGAGCGAGCAGAAAACAATGAGGCTTGATAGAGGCCATGAGTTAACAAAACGTGACCTACGAAGCAGGTTCCACTCGCGCTCTGAGCAGAGCCAACACTGCTTACGCGTGATTCATCCTGACTGGCTCCAAGTCAGCATAACTCAAACGAATCCTTCACCCTCAATCTTGGAGACTCCAAGGCTTGGCGTTTCAATGAATTGATTGTGGTATCCACGCTTATCATCGATGCACATTTGTATCTGAAATATGAATCCACTTGAATGAACATTGTCCCTCTTTCGTGGTTTCTGTCATTCGAACAGCTCTAATTGTATGTGTGATACAACTGACCTAGGAATACACGGTCAAAGATGGGGAGCCTCCACAAGATGGTGCTGAAAACCTTGTTTGAACGAATATTTTTTGCATACCGTCGTCCTTGTTCTCGAATTTATAGTAGACCTTGTCGAGATCCTCGATGCGGACACGGTGCGTCACCATTTTGAGAGGATCGATCTCCCCCCTCTCGATCATTCCGAGGAGCTTCTCCCAATACAGGTGCACTGGCGCCTGACCATTTCCAATCAGTCTGATACCACGTTCCATTAAAGAACCTATGTTGAAATGGTTGGTCTAATACAGCGTTAGACTTTAAATGCATCCGCTCAAAGAGGTGCTAACGACTTACATAGCCAACGTAAACACCTGTGATGCCACATCGACCAAAGTTGCGAACACTTGTGATCATCTCGTTGATGATTTCACTTGTATCCGTTTCCATGCCTAGAAGCATCTCGAAGTAGTGGGCCCAACCTTTCGCATATTCACCAGCAGCACACTCCAAGGCGACATCAGGTCCTCTATTATCCACAAGCTCTTTGAGCTTACTTGCCACAGACTCACCACGCTTGAGCTTCGTAAAGTCGAGAGTCTCTGCTTTAGGATATCTCTCTTTAATGAAGTCAAGCCGCCAATTAGAATCAATGACAATGACTCGTTTCGCTCCTAGCAAAAAGGAGAAGTCCACGCACATCTGGCCAATTGGACCAGCTCCCCATATGGCAACAACATCCCCCTTCTTGACCCCGGTATCGACACAGCAGTTCCAAGAAGTCGCTAAGACATCTGATAAGTAAAGGCCCTTTTCATCCGGTACAGAGTCAGGGAGTTTTAAAAGGTTAACGTCACCGCATGGCACGCGAACGTACTCAGCCTGACCACCAGCAAAACCGCCCGTAAAGTGCGAGTAACCAAACATGCCTGCGGTCCTGCCTCCATACATTGCATTTTCGATAGTGTTCGAGTTCGTCTTCTCGCACTGACTGGAGAGCTTCTGCTTACAGAAATAGCACTCCCCGCATGCGATCTGGAACGAGGCCACGACTCGGTCACCTTTCTTCACGTTGCGCACACTGTTGCCAACCTCATCGACAATACCGCAGAACTCGTGACCGAGAATATCCCCTTTCTCGAGCTCGACTACGGTGCCGTGAAGAAGGTGAAGATCGGAGCCGCACACGGTGCTACCTGTCACTTTGAGAATGACATCCCGGTCTTCGATAATTTTCGGTTTTGGTGCCTTCACAACTTCGACCTTGTTCTTCCCCATCCAAGCTAGTGCAAGCATTGTATCACTTGAATCACCGAGCTTTGAGGGGTCTTTCGCGGGATTGCTGATATCTTGCGCCGTAATGGAGTTCTCTCCATGACCGACGGTCTTCTCAGCTGCAAGCGCTGCCTGCGATAAAGCCATGGCAAATGCTAGCTAGGAAAATGACTGTCTTGGGCACGTGAGAGAGGTCAAAGATGGAGGAGAATCAACTTTCAGAGGGTACGATACCACAAACTGCTTTACCTTATGCAGCGAGACAAACTGCATTCTCGCGACTTTTAAGCACAACTTCATCAGGCCAATTCTATAGTACGTGATAATGACGTCTACATTGAGCATTACAATACTGTGTCTGAGATGACCAGGGGTGAATGACGGGGATAATGGCTTCGTAAAATGCTACAGGGTCGCTTATAGACATCGAAGACGCATGAATGACCACATCACAAAGGAGGGACATATAAGTAAGCCATCACCGCGCTTTCGCATTTGACGGGCAGGCCGATATCGGCATCTGTTCTTTGTGCGGGTAACAGTTGGCACGGCATCACATCTTTTACTTCGTGGCCTGAGAACTGCTTGATTGCTCCTTTTCGTTTCAAGGCAGCGCATGAAATCGAACGTGGTTGCTTTGATTGGCTCCCTCCCCCACTTTCGCACAGCTGACTATCTGATGTACGAATGGTGAACAAAGGTCGTCATCATGGGCCGATCTATTGTCGGCGTGTTTGGCGCTTCCTTTGTTTCAAATTTAATATCCTGAAAAGAGCTATGATACAGCTTAACTACGCGACTGCGACACATGATTTTCATACCCCATCAGATATGGCTGGTGTGCATGCCATGCCAGCTTCTCGAATCCCGGGATGTTGGGCCACAAGGCTGGAGAATCCTGGCGCTTGGATCGAAGGAGACCCGGCCACACATCGCGCATAGGAAGGCAGTAGAAATGTTCCATTCGGAAGCACCAGTTCAATTCGACGCAGGTACAAGGAGAAGTTAGGCGATCTGCATGATTCCATGGCTAGACTATCTGTCCATACCAGGGTGGCTTCACTTTGCCTGCAACTGTCTTACAAAGGGGCAGATTCAGACCTGATCCGTGCGGAAAGTAGCGGAGAAGAGACGAAGAAAGCTCACTTCACATCAATTGTCATAGAAGGATGCTAAAAGTTCGATTATGAAGAGAGTGGCTAAAGCAACTACTCCCTAACATCAATGATGTTCCCAAAAAAAAGCAATGCGTATCATACAGAAAGAATTGGGGTATTTGAGTTCAACAACGGGCTATCACGATGCAGTTCGACAGCAAGAAACGTAGATATCGTAAAAGACAGTCATTTCCTGCCTGGAATAGATGCCAAAAATGATGAGCCAAAGCAAAGTCGTCGTACTTCCGCTGTGTTAATACAAGGGCACGCGAAGTCCATCCACGTTTATGAATAGGATATGGTACTTGTCTAGAAATGTTCCTTCCAGAATTTGAAAGGAACTTGTTTGTGATTGGCCGTCTTCGTTGCAGCTTTGATACTTCTCGCCGCGTCCGATGGACCGCAGAAGTAAACACCGACTTGGGTCTTGCGGCTGACGTCCAGGTCTGGCATGTAAGTCTCTTCAAGGATGCCGTTGCGCAAGCCGACGAAAAGCTTGGTCCAGTTCGGGCGGCCATAGTTTGTACGGCTTCGCAGCTCCGTGAGCGGGTCCTTTTCTGTGCCGACAGAGTTTAGGACGATGTTGTTTACTGTGTCCATATCGTTGTTCTTGGTAAGATAAGTGTGTATGCGCAAAAAGTCGTCTCCCATTCCTTCGGAAGCCTCGAGCGACTGCGTTTCGAGGGAAACAAGCAATGCTTGGAACCAAGCAAATGAGCTCGTGTCTCGACAAATCCAGAAGAACTCAACCCGTCTTAACTTGGTCGGCACTGTCCCGTTCGTCCTGTGATGCCAAAGAGTTTTGAGAACGCTTGCGAAAGGCGTGACGCCAATGCCAGTACCAATAAGAACTGCGACGTCGTTATCCAGAACATCTTCGGCGGGTGCACCATATGGCCCGTCTATCCGAATTGGCGGCATCTCGTGGATGATTGCTTGATCGATTTCATAGATGCCCATCGGATCAATTTCGTCGTAGAAAGCCTTCTGCATTGGACCTGCTCCCAACGCGTTACCGAGTTCTTTTGTGAAGTCGCCGACCTGTCGCACATGGACACTAATATATGTGTCGTACGGACATGACGTGATCGTGAATGGATGCCACTGGAATTTTGAGACTTCTGGGCAGTTAAGGAAGAGGTACTGCCCAGGCTTTGGCCTCATGCTTGGTTTTGCGAATTGTATCTCCATTGTGTCTACCCTAGTCAGTCTCAATTGATCACAAATAGATCGGTCAGACGTACCAAATGGATGGCGAATCACACGCAGAATACGTGTCTCACGCCTTGCTCGAATCTCACGATATAGACGTTCCATGAGATAAAGGCCGCCACTAATTAGCTCCCATCTCCAGCCCTCGTATCCAATGCAATGCTCCCAGAAAGGTTTACCAGCGAATGGTGAGTATGGAGCTACAGAATCGCGCACAAAGCAACCCGTGGCATGGGTGTACATTCCGAGCAGAAACGGGATGAACAAGTGATGCGTGTACCAAAAGGTTTCGTAAGACTGCTTTCGAATGCGCGCATGGGCGGTTGTATACATGAGAAGCATGCAGAGGAGCATGATGTGGCCGGTAATCCCACCAGCTTGAGTATAATGGATCTGCACCGCAGCTTCAGGACGGACTTGCGATCGCTCCACGTTGAAAAAATTGACGTAATGTGCCGACGTGTGACAGATTGTCCAGAAGAGCAGCGAATACGCTACCTGGCGATGGAACCATTGCGACTCATCGATGTGCGCCCACGGGGCTTTCCTGCGCAGAACGCTGAGGATATTGCGACACATTGGAAGCAATATCAGAAGGACGTCCACGCTGAGGTTTAAACCTGCTCCGCGGGAAATCCACACTGAGAATTTCAGGCCATTCAGCGCCGCCAATTTCCTGTTCGACGCCTGTTCGTACCTGAAGCGTGGGTTAGCGGTGGTTTGTCATTGCGTGCGGGCCAGAACTTGCCATCCTAAGATAAATATACCAACGTGTAGTCCGTGAAAGATCAAGTAAAATAGCAGCTTTCGTGGAGCAGCCCACGACTCGAATGCCTTCCTCTTTGGAGGGCCTTTCTTCTGTGTTTGCGTGACCACAACCATGGTTGGTGGTGATGGTAAGGCGGTGCCGCAACCAAAACTTTGGGAAGTGAGAAAGACGTGTGAGTAGGGACGTTGTTAAAGATGGTCTATGACCCCATGGCAAGATGCTCCGGGGCAACGTTATCAATCTCGACGCGCAGGATAGCGAGGAAATGACAATCTTGCGTTCAATGGCCTAGATCCTGACGCAGGGTCGGCCGGCGAGCAGCGTCAGTGGTGAGAGATATGGAGTCGAGGTTCGTTCAAAATGCGGGCGGCAGGGTTCTTGAAACACAAAGTAGGGCTACTGGTCGACGAAAGCAAGAAACACGAGAGATATCAGAGGAGCCAGAGGAATAAAACGAGGGATTTCTGGCGCTTGAAGACGGAAGGGCTACGAGAGGAAGACGGACGGTGGATTGACAAGACCGTGGGCAGCATATGCATGTCGCTTAGCGGTGTCATGTGCAAGGTTGGGATTGGCAGAATTGCATAGCGTTCCCGCGCCCGGTATGCGGCTCTCCGATAAAGTAGCTATTAAGATGATTTTCTCGTGCTTTGCGGTCTGCTGCCGGCAGTCCGTTGCGTGGCTGGCGTCAAAGACAAGGTGAGTGCAGCAACTGGGCTATGCGGCTTGTGATTGGCCAGCTTGGCGCCCGCTGTGCTGCTAGTGCCCTTTGCATTCGACCACACAGATCCTCAACCTCCAGTTCTTCTCGCGTTGTGCGGCCTTTGACGTTCCCGTCCACGTCCTTCGTGCGCGTGCAGTGCGAATTCCGCAAACCACTTCGCCAGGTCCTGCGGAAAAGCGCAACAGAAGAGACTTCTTTGGTCGCATGCTGCGTCTGCTGCGCCAGATCCTTCTTCGCGGCCTCATGGCCTTTCCTATTTCTCAGTGACCTCGATTTGAGAGACATGTCTCAACTGAACTGCTATCACATATTGAGCCACAGTCGATATCGTTTAGCTAGCTCTGTAAGTGGAGCCTGCACCGGCTGCGGGTTGTGCATCTTGTCACCTCGAGTGTATATCAGCTCCTCCGCATTTCGCGCTTCTTCTGCACTCTTCGTTGGCTTGATAGGCGAGAGCTTTGGATCATGTTTCCTCCTCCAGTTAGGAGACGCCCTGCTTGGCATTCGATCTGACGATTCGGCCCGTGGTGATAGCGGATATCGAGATATACGTCACGGTCCAGAAGGTCTTCTGCTGGTCCAGGTGCCTGACTCGCGAGCAGCAGCCAAGTCTGCAGAAAGCCACCGATAGTCCCGTTGTAGACGACACAAACGTGGGCGTTGAGGTTGCGAGTACAAGGTGCCCCAGCTTACCGGGGATCGGAGACATGATCGATTATGTAGAATGATGTTGGCCATGTTGGGAAAGCCTGCAAAGAGAGCGTCCCATTCTGGCCTTGCGGCAATCCAAATCCTCCAAAAAACTTCTCATCCAAGCAATTTGTATCCTCCAATCCGAGCACCAAACATCTGAGGCACTCATGACAATGTCTCCTGTGCCATCACGCGCCGCGCCCAAGTGCCCGCAAAATCCTGAGGCTGAACGATTTTATTCTGGGCGGTACCTGAAATAGTACCTAATTAGCCTCCAAATCCTCGTCCAAGCTCGTGGGCACTAAAGTTAACCAGCCCCGGCCGTCAAAACTCGATTGCGTGCTGTGCGATCTTGATTTGTTCCCGAAGCGCCAACGAGCGGGTTAGTGTGGAAATGCACGTCCGCCATTTTGGACGGCAAAACCCTGTTGGCTGAGCTTCGATTATGCAAACCAGACAGCGGATGTACGCATGACCGTCCGCGAGTGGACGACGTACAGAGATGCGATGAGCGGCATGGCTCCAGGCCGAGCGCTGCCGTTCTGCCTCGCTACGAATTGATGTGCAAATGTGGAGTCTACGTCGGCGCGGACAGCGTGAGCATCTAATTTACCTGATTTTTTTCCTCCGTCGTTTCCCTTCTTCATAGAAGGCGAGGTTGTCCCACCGTCTTGTGCCGGATACCTAGTTAAACCCACTCGTTCACCGCCGCTTCGTCTCTTGAAGAGATCAACTGTTCCTTCACGCCTTCAACTATTGAACTCATCTGTTGCACCACTGGCTATTGGCAATCCTTCGATGCCATAGGCGTTTATCACAGCACCGCTTTTCCGCAACCCTACCGTTTGCAAATGGGGAAGCTCATCAAGAACCACCTTGCCAGACTGATCGTTCTGACAGCAGCGGCATGTACGTTTTCCGGTCCCAGCATGAACAAACCGGTACACGACGGGCTCTAACATGATCAAAACTTTGCAGATCAAGTGGCCGCCTCGCTGGAGGGCTTCTTCTGGCCAAAGATCTTCTGGGACTTCCTCACCACGAACTTCGACCCCATCGTCAAACCGATCCCGGTTCTGCAAATCGTAAATCTCTGCTTCGGCCTGCTCGCGCTGGCGTGGGAATGGCCCGTCAAGCAGTTCGCCGGCACCTGGTTGCACCAAAGCATTGAGTTCCGCCTGCTGGTCCTCCCGCTGCTCGCCTTCACGAGCGTGCTCATGTATCAGAGCACAAACGCCTGCCTCTACTACCTGATCGGCATGGCCATCTACTTCTGGGGCTACAGCGAGGGCGAGGTGCGTCTTTTTTTCTTATACTTTATATATTTTCCCCCTTCCTGCCTTTATTCGTGCCGCCAACGACAACGTCTCAAATTGACACACGTCCTCCAGATCGTCTGCGAGAAGCCTTGGGCGCTCCCCAAGCGCGAGAAACGAAACCTCGCGAAGGCTGAGGCCTGATTCCCGAACGAGGCACCCACACGGGATCTTGGCTTTTTTTTTCTTTCCCATTTCCAAAGGATCTTTTGTGCCTGCGTCAGTACCGATTGTAATGCTCCAACCCCTCACTTAACCGGTCCTCTCCAAGGGATGGAAAGGGATTCATTGGATGGATAGCATGGAATAGGGGGGCTACTACCTACGTTCACTGTTTCTATTCTGCATAGCGTTTGGCGTTTTTTTTCTTTCTTTTTCTCTCGCTCTCTCTTGGGGTCCACAAAGATACCACCAGGCACGCCCCGACCTGCCAACAAAACACAGCCAACGGCACAGCACGAGACATTAACAAGCATCATAGCATTGTATCACTAGCGACCTAATGGCGGTATATACATACACATATATCAAGTCGAAATTGAGCGCGACAATTCTAATCTTTTATTTTTGAGACGGCTTTATTTCCCCCCACATCTTAGATCTCGTTTGACGTCCGTTGACGATCCGCAAATTCGATCGGTTGGGGCTTGAATCCAACGGCAGATTGCGCAACTGTTGCCGCGTCCCTTTCGCACTAAGCCTGCGGCACCACCCCATGCGCGTGTGTGATGAGCCATCACAACTCTAAATCCTTCTGGCTTGCCTAACACAACGTGTGGCGAGGATCCTTGACGAAAATTCGGGAACGGCCCAAGATAAAAGAATCCAAGATGCCGGGTAGAAAAAGTGTTCTAGAAGACTTCTTTCTGACCATCACGTATTCCCGTGTTTGGGGGAAGTTAAGCGCAGCCAAAAAAAAGCTTTGTCTCGGGCATTGGATGTACTGGGTATCTACAGATTGTTACGTTTTGACAATGATTGTGTCCTTTGTCGTCCTCTTCAGCATGACTGTTCGCCGTCCGCCCACGCGTCAGCAACCTTCTCAGCGAGCTGCAACCGCAATATCCTGAGAACATCCTCGCCTTTCAGGTTCCTCTTGAGGCCCTTTCGCCAGTCCCATCCTCGTTTAACGTCGCTTGACTTGATCAGAACAGCGCTGTCTTCTCCACTGATCGTCATCCCGGTCTCTTGCGAGTTGAGCATTGAGCTGCCGACCAAGCTGAACTGGCTGCTAGCCGTCATGCCGCTAGTCTCCTTCCGTAGCATCGCTCGCGGAGAAGGCACATCCGAGCCAAAAGCATTGTCGAGAGTGGTCTGGTATAGAGCCTCGCAAGACGCATAGATACGCGGGCCAATCGTTTGAAGGTCTTCCACGGCCTTGAGCAGAGTGAATAGTTGAGGCAGGGTGAATGCTGAGGTCGGGCCCCTCAACAGCGGTAGGGCTTCTCCAAGGAGCACGAGAAGACTGTTCACCGGCACTACAACCTCAGTGCTCGGATCAAACAAGCCGCCACGGATTGGATCGTTGGCACTCGAGATGACAGTCAGAAGGGCCGCAGCTGCCTTGCCTCTCCGTGCCGCATCGCTCACATCTTCCTCAACTTTCTCATCGCGTAGATCGTAGAAACCTCGGAGCGTTGCGTAACCGCTCAGCCAGGTTGCCAGGCGTTGCGCCGCCTCCAGGTCTATTGAAGCCAGACCATTAAGTGTCTCCTTTGGAGATTCAATGAATTCCTTCATCCGAGAATCCAGCTTCGATTTTGGTGGGTACGCTGCCGATTGGACGAGCGAGCTTGTGATGAGCACATCAATCACTTTCTTCGCTTTGCTAAACTTGTGGGCACGCAGGTAATACATGATGGCATCGCCGTAGTTATGGGTCGAGTCAGAGAGCATGTCGGCATATTTCTATGATCTGCGTCAGAATTTGCTCCACCAATGCACCCCTAGGCGGAAAGCCAACGTACCTCAGAAATGTTCATGGCGTGTTGGCCGAAGCCAAGCTCACTGCATAGAATGAGAACGCCATCGACTTGCTCGCTACTGGTGAATTGCATGCTGTCGAGCAGTTCAGTGACCTTGCTCTCCGCTTTGTCAATGTCGTCGAGGCGACTTAGCACTCTCATCGCCAATTCCCAGCCCTGCATCTCGACACCCAAAGTCGATGACACGAATGTCTTCTTCTGGTCCGCCAGAATGACTGCATATTGCTGCAGAATGCGATCCTTCATGCTGCTTCTCTGCGTCGGCTGTCCATAGCTTAGAACCATAAGATCGCTCTTGTCAAAATTCTCGATGGTGCCTCTCGTGTCGGCGTCAAATAGCCAGTGTCCCGCCGTCGCCAGCTCGGTGAGTGCGCTTGCGATCGATATGGACCAATTTTTGCAGAGTTCGATCGCTAGCTCAACTTCGCCGAGCATGACACAGGCCAATCCCAGGTGCAAGTCGTTTGCGACATCTAACCCCTCTCGTACGTCCTCCTCTTCCAGTGCTAATGCCAGGGATGTGGCAATCTGCGTGCGGTATGCTTGCAATGGATTCAGGTCCACCTCGCGCGTGTGTTTGTGCTTCGACAACGAGTGTCGACTTGCGGCCAGACTGCCCCTGCCAAGGCCAACCTCGTTACCGTCCCACCACACAGTGAGGGCGACTGCTGCCTCCAGCCAGTCGAAACATGATTTGAGAATGTCGGCTGGATCGCCCGAAAGCTGGTTGTACATGTCCTGCAGCGGCTCATAGATCTCAAACGGCACATTGCTGTCAATCTTTCGGCTGCGCTGGCTCATGCTCAAATTGTCGCTACGTCCAAGGTGCGAGCCCCACAAGCTAACAGATCCGCTGCTCTCCTGCTCTGCATAGTTACGCAATTCGTCGCTTGCCGCTTTGACCTGGTGTCGGAAAAGAACCCAGTCTTGGTCCTTAACGTCCCAATTCTGCGCTGAGAGGGCAGGGCATTTCTTCAGCGTATCAACAGCTTTGGAGATGACCTCTCTTATACCGTCAGCCTGCTGGTCGGTGAATTGCTGTTCGGAGTTATCTTCGAAGCGTGCGCCTTCAAGCAATCGAATCACAATACCGAAGCGCCCGCGATTCATCGCGAGATAGACAGCGTCCCAGAAGTTGGGCGAGGCATAGTAGCCTCGCCGCTGCTGCGCTAGCACGTCGCTGATTGTAGCCGCACTAGGATCATGGTTCTCGTCAAGCCAGTCAAGCAGGGCTTTGGGTACGGGCTTTCGTTCTCCGGCGTCAGTCTGCGGTATGTAAAGCAGCCCCAACAAACTTGCAAGCATGACTGCTTTTGGAAGGCCCTGGTTACTGTCAGATGGACCGACATTTTCACTTTCGACCTCCTCCCTGGTCAGAGCGCCGTAGTGATGCCATAGCTTTAGCAATTCTCCTGCCATTTCTGACGACTCCTCCGAACCCGCTCGAGACCTCATGACGCTGAGCAGTGGCTCGGTCTGGAGCTCTGTTCCGACAATCATGTCGTCGGGCTCATTAAGGCTTAGGGGACCTGCCGAGCCGGCAATGCCTTTGGCATAACCTTGGATATCGAGGCCCTCGATGCGTCGAGGCATATCAGGTGCTTGTCGAAGCACCTCGCCAGCCCTTGTCCTCTTGTTACCACGCGGTGAATCGAAACGCGAGCTTGCGTTGAGCGACCTCATGAAGCCAAAACCAGGGCTGATCTGCGCAATGCTATCGTCGACCATCATCGAGTCCTCTTCCGGAGCCGTAAGTGCAGGCGCGAGTCCGTCATCTGAATTTGCGTCGTCATCGATAACTATGCGCTCTGGAGGACTGCTGGGCAGCGGCCGTCGCCCCCGATCGATTGCTCCAGACTCGTTGCGGCCTGGAAATAGCTGTCTTGAGCGTCCAGTGCCGAACTGAGAGCTTCCGAAGGCCGAAGAAGGCGGAGGAGGGCCCTTTGGCGTGAAGGAAGGGAACGGGCGTGTCGCAGACGGCGGTGGACCAGCCGGCGTCGTCGAAGGGATACTTCGAAACGACCGCCGGTCTGGCGTCGAGGGCGGATCCGACGGAACCGCGAACATGACGGCGGCTTGGAATTGTGTGTCTTGGTGGTTGGCCGGGCGTGTTTGCGTCGTAGGGTGCGAGTGGGTGGAGCTACACGAGCTCTGAGGAAGACGGGATAATCTGCAGTGGCTACGGGCTGATGCACATTCGGGCAATTGTGATCGCAATGTGCAAGCTTCCACTACAAAACAGGCAGACTGGCAGTGCGATTGGCGAACATAAAACCGTGGTCGTCTGCGCGGGCGTCGATGGACAACCGCCGCAGCACCGGCTCCTTCGTGTGCTGTGATGGCGCTCTGCCAGCAAGAAGAGTTTCTTCGACTGGAGCTCAGCACGCTCGCGGACGTGTTTGTGCGCCTCAGGCACCAAGCCCTCTCCCTCCGCGCTCTGCCTTGGTGGCCTGGGGGCGTCAGGCATCAAACCTCCAAACACTTCCAGTCCAGGTACGTGGATCGTCCGGGAGCGAAGATTGTCGAGCGCGGACGAGCCAATGGTAGCGGTGGCATCGTTACTCGGGCGCAGATGGCGGCCTGTCACCAGCAGGAAACCTTGTGCTAAAGCCTCTCCGGCACAAGTCTCCATGACTACGCGCTGTATTACCACTTCGAGCCTCGTTCGTCCAGGTGCAAAGTCCCGGAGCCTTGCCACGCGCGAGACTGGGACCCGTTTTGCGTTCGCCGCGAAGACTTTCTCTTCCCGTCCGCTTCCTCCCGTGACACATTTGTAAATGATGGGAAGTCAAAGTCGGCGCGCGGTAGCGAAAGCCACCCACCAGCGCTCTAGTCGTTTTTTTTCTCTTGCGTCCTTGTCGTGCGCTGGCCCCAACGCAGGTGACGACAGCGCTGACACATCCGAGCGTCCGCCCTTTGCGCCGGCCTGCTGCGGTTCGACCGGACGCCATCCATGTCTCTCTGTTATACAAAACGAAACTTGACGCCTTTCCCGTCTTCCGCTTGAACTTGTTTCGAGAGTCTCCGCCTGCGTTGTTCTGTTGCCCGCCCATTGGCCGTCTTCCCGCCAAACAAACGTCGTTGTTTCTGTTCCGTCCCGCCCCCGCCTGCTGTAGCCGTTCAGCCACAGGAAGTTTACTCTTGCATCTCCACAACAGCTGCTTTTGCCGTATGCGTTGCGACTCCACCCGCCTGCCATGTGGTCGAGAGCCAAATCTAGCGGCAAGGCGGGCTTCGACAAGGTCTATGGATGGGTGGACAAACTCGGCGCCCCGGTGAACAGACTGTCCAACAAGGTGGGCGCGGAAGCGTTCTGGCCCACGACCTTGGACAAAGAGAGTGACAAGGCTGCCCGTATATTGCGCAGCTTCTGCAGTACGTCGTGTCACGGCGACACTGTCCCCCTCACGTTGGTGCGACATGTGCTAACCAGGCGCGCGTGTGAATAGAGGATGGCTTTTACGAAGAAGAGATCAAGGACACTCCAGCGGGCATCAAGCAGAAGCAGAAGGTGATAAAGAAAATCCCCTCAGAGGTGAGCAATTGCCAAGCCACAGCCTTTCCTTGCATGGTTCTGACGGATGTGCTGTAGGTGATCAAGAATGCAAAGGGCCTTGCCATATTCACCGTAATGCGGACCGGCCTGTGGTTCTCAGGCGCGGGAGGAGCTGGCATATTGGTCGCTAAGCTCCCGGATGGCAGCTGGTCGCCGCCGTCTGGCCTCATGTTGCACACGGCCGGATTGGGTTTTCTTGTCGGCGTGGACATTTACGACTGCGTCATGGTCATAAACACAGAAGAGGCGCTGCAGGGCTTTTCGAAACTGAGAGCAACTGTGGGGGGCGAAATGAGCGCTGTCGCCGGACCGGTTGGAGTGGGTGGCGTGCTGGAGTCAGAGGTGCACAAGCGGCGGGCTCCCATCTTCACGTATTTAAAGTCAAGGGGTTTCTACGCAGGTGTGCAGATAGATGGCACCGTCCTTATCGAGCGGACGGACGCCAACAAGGATTTCTACGGTCGTGAGATTGGTGTCATGGAGATTCTGACGGGAAAAGTCGAGAAGCCTCCTGCTTCAGTGAACACGCTTTTACGGACAATTCGAGCTGCACAGGGCGACGACGTCTCATGGGACACGCTGCCTACCGAGCCCCCACCGAGCGACTTCGAGATCGACAACGACGGGCACATTTTTGGCATACCTGACAAGATGGACCCCGATCCGTATGGCGTTTTGGCGTTGGAGAAGGAAGGATTACAATTGAAGGAGGCTGGCACGAACAAGCGCGCATCTCACGAAGCCTTCACCTTCAACCCGAGCCCGTCCAGCCCGGTATTCCAGACGTTCAACCGCAACAGCATGGACGGCAGAAGCACGAGCAGGCGGAGTAGCTGGAGAACGAGTGTAGCCACCGTGGCAACGACAACTGCACCGTCTCGGCCCCCGTCTTCTATGGTGGACATGGCAGTGCAGACTGACTTTGAGAATGACACCCCACTCTCGAGCCCGAAGAGCCTCAGCAGCGCCGGAATAAAGAAGATGGCGGACATTGCAGAAGACATACCATCAATTGATGCCTCTGTCAACGCGAGTACGACGACGTTGCCGGTGGACCAACCCGCGACGAATGGGGCGCATGCCGTACCAAAAGTCGCGGAAGCGGCGACTGGAGATGCAACGGGGCACGAAAAGTCTCTCGACAAGCATGAAAACGCCGAAGACGAGGAAGAGGAAGAGCCTGTCGTTGTCCAAACCGTTCAGACTGCAGCCACACCGCAGTTCATCAACCGCGCTCGCCTCGTCTCGGTGAAGAAGCCCAACGCTCCGGCCCTCCCACCGCGAAATCCTGTCCGCGAACGGGGTAAAGGTCTTATCATCGGCTCTTCCAACCCTCGGTCGGACAGCTCCCAGGACGAGACGTCCCCACATCGTCCGTCTACGGAGCGCACCCGCTCGCACGACTCGATGACCTCTGTCGACCTCGCTGAGGTGAAGACAACGACGACAGAACGCAAGGACAACGAGGATGAATTCCACTCTGCAACGAATACGCCTGCGCCGAGCTCGCCGAAGCTTGCGCCTATTGACGAGACGACTGGGGAAGCTACTCCTGTAGCCTCCACTGCCCACGCCTAGATCATGCACGCCTGCTTTTGGGTCTTGTTTTTGCTTCACCTCATGTTGTGCCGCGCGTTGGCCCTCATTGTTAGGCGTTCTTCCTGGCCCTGCGCTTTCGCTCACAAATATCTGGGGCGGGATGTATAGACGTGCTAGACAGCATACAGAAAAGCGAAACGAGATTTGCTTCTTTCACAGAACGCAAGATCTCATAATGTATGGAAGTACCTCTTTCCGGGTCTATTATGACGGGATACAGGACTGTGAATTTGGGTGGGAGGTCCAGTTGCTGTTTTTCTTCTCTCGTTTTCTTCGCTGATATCCCTTCGTTTAGTGTTTTGGCGTGCTCTATATCATTTTGATGGGTGAACGCTTTGGAATGGATCCTCTTGTTTGTATGCTAGGCGGTCCAGCGTAGATTGGCTTGAGTATGATTAGGCTTGAGTATGGACAACGAACATAGCAAAAGCTTGGATTCCACGCAGAGGGTTCATCATGCGTGTAGACCTAGCACAGCACTATAAGATACATTACCACTAAGTTCCTCAAAGTCACAAAGAACTCTCGTACGGGGGTTGAGAAACGTTGCAATCTCTTGTCAACAAAGCCTTGCCGAAGCTCCGAGAACGACCTCGACTCGTAGTGAGGCGTGCAGACAAGATTGGCCACGCAGTCCAGGAGGATTTGGCCTTCAACACCTTCCCTCTGCTCCCCTCCCCCTCCCCCGGGTCTATCCGGCTTCAAAAAGCTCGAACCCGTGGCCATACCTCCGCATATCCGCCGAGTAGGATTGGAAACGGTGGATCGCAGTCTGCATTTTGCGAGCAAGCTGTTCGCTTGTACGGTCTCCGGCAACCGACGCAGACATGCATGCGAACTGTATTGAAGGTCTTGGCATCAACGTCGCTCGTAATTGTTGCAGAGCACATGGCGAGAGCGTAAGAATAGCAACTCATGTCTGTCTGTATGTGGGTCCGCGTTACATGGTCACGGGCGCGCAAGCTGCGATCCTCGCACGCACAGCAGGGCATCATCGTTCCACCCTGACTACTAAGGTTCTGGAGAGGTCGGTCTGGCTGGTCGTTTGCATACTGGGATGGGCCGACAGGATCTACTTGCTCGTTGCAAGCCAGAAAAGGCGGTCACGGCACCTTTGTCGATTGTATCGCCAGGCAACTTAAAGGATTGCGTACCGACCTCACGTATGATTGACCCAACATCATAGCATCTACAGGCTCCATGCGTTCCCGCTCATCGGTGGGCGGAACAAACGTTGGGCATGCCGCTGCCGCTAACGAAGACATCGACGTCACGAGGTGGATACTGAGCAAGCAAACCCGCGGCAGCTATATTTATAGCTCTCCTGGTGCGAACGAGGCGGAAAATAAAAAGTCATTTCTCATACTTGTGCATCACTAGGCTACTACGGTACTCTCGTTTCCAAGGGAACCGGAGAGACAGAGCATGGAATCGCGCTGGAGCGTGTGGGGATTCAATACTTGGCATCTTGGATCGAGTTTGTTAAGGGCATGATGACTTTCAGATGCAGACGATGCAGGGTGCAGCACATTGATCCAAAGCAGGCGCTAGGTTTGCAGCAGTGCAATATTATACTGCACAGAGGGGGGTGTGTGTGATGATGATGTGGATGATGATTCATCCACCTATAAACACACCAGAACTGAGTTCGTTGTATAATGTGCGCAGATACGTCTCCGCAAATACGGTGGACCAAAAGCCCCTGCAAGCACCCGCTCTATTTAGCAACTGTGTCGTCCCTCGCTCCATTGACGCCGGGGACATCTCGGGCGAGCCTTCCAGCGGGAAATACGAAAAAGGCATTTCTAAGTCTTTTTGCTGAACGGAGGCGTGCACGAGCATGATCGACAGTGAGAGTGCTAAGAAGGGGGTTGAGTGGAAATGCGAGTTTTTTTTTTCTTCTTCTATGGAATTCGAGAACTCGATGACCCATGTTTCCGAGCATACAGATCAGCCAAAGAGCACCATCCCAGGGTTCCGAAGTCGTGAGGAAATGGCACCTGCAGAGCTGCGATCACAACCTCACTAGGGCACGCGAGCGTTCAAGTTTGGCAATGCTGGCGGGGAAGAGCAACGCTACGTAGCAAGATACGAGAGAATCGATAGAACGGTAGAACCACAATCCATCTGATGGTTCCATTCGAACGTACGGTAAACAGCCAAGGCGACCGACGAACCTGAGCGAGGCCAGCCGCGGGTAGATGTTGCCACGTTACGGACGCAGGAACGAAGCAGCTTACGGCGCCGAAGAAGGCGGATTTCGAGGGTTGCAAATCCAGAAGATCAGATCTCGGAGCTGAACGAGACGAAAAGCGGTCTGCTGAAGCCTGAGTGGAGAGGGCTGTGCGAGTGTATTTTTTTTTGTCTGAAGAATGGGAAGAGTGTGACGTCGAGAGGGAGGCCACGGAAGATCGGAAGGATGCTTAATTTAGCACAGGCGTGGTTGGAAAACGTGGGCCAGCCGTCCGCCCATTGGCCGATCGCGCCTTCTAGCCACACGCGCTTGTCGCGAAATGGAAGTACCTTGCGGCGATCTGTCTCTTTTTTTTTTGGTTCCCTTGTCTCTCTAGACCACAGCCACGAGCTGTCAAAGACGTCCATCTCGGGCCATACACCGTGCCCTCCACCACGCCAAAAGAAGATGTTGCATCATCTGCCCACTACCCTCACGCGCGAGCACTGTCCTGGAAATGCCTAGCTGGACCGTTGTGCCCGTTGCGGCCGGCGTCCGCGTGCAACATGCTGGATCGTCCCCATGAGGTTTAACACATGGCTCTGTTGCCATACCGGCCCTTGTAGGAGCTTGGCGGTGGGCAGATGTCACAGTCACATTTTTTGCCTCGACCGTATTGTTGCGGGTCTAATTATGGCTATGCCTTTATTGATTATACGAACTGTGATGATTAAGATGATGACGATGATGCCAGCCCACACCCAGAGCGCGGTTATAAGTATTCGTAATCATCGCCGTGGAAACACGTCTCCATCGCCATCGACATCATTGATCAACTCTAGCACCTTCCTCTCGCTCTTGGGAGATATATATATATACGAGTCGAATCACGCCGCATCCTTCGCTCAATCGGCAGTACCTTCGCTACAAGACTATACCTTCGCTTGACTCCAGACAAGCTCTCCAGTCACCCGTTTTCTATAATCTTCAAACGCGTATCGCCTCTAGCACTGAGAACCTGCACGCCTTAATCGTTAAATGACCATGCCATCCTACTTTACTTTGCTTGCCGCGTTGCTTGCCGGCTCTGCAGCAGCTGGCGGCCACTACGGCAACCACTACGGCAACCAAACTTCTTCGGCTTCGTCCAGCTCCTCATGGGCGCCGTCCAGCTCCTCGTGGGCACCGTCCAGCTCCTCGTGGGCACCGTCCAGCTCGTCGTCGTCGACGCCGTCGAAGTCCGCGTCTCAAAGCTGGCCACCACACTCGAGTGTGACCAAGAGCTCGAGCGCATCCGTGACAAGCTCATGGCCAATCTCCAAGAGCACTGAGACGATCACGTCGTATACGACGACCACAGTCTGTCCCATCACGACAACGAAAAAGCACGGCTCCACGTGGGAAATCGTTACTACGTACACGACCAGCACGCTTACCGTCACCTCGTGCGTCGGAGGCTGCAGCCACTATTGGCCTACCTCCGTCGCTCCGCCACCACCACCTCCGCCCAAGCCAACCACTGAGACGCAGATTGAAACCGAGACCAAGACGCTCACAACTGTGTATCCCACCACGTTGACCTCTACCATCACCAAGTTTGTTCCGTGCAGCACGCCGGTTGCCACCTCATCCGGCACGACGTATTACAGCACCTGGCTGACGCACAGCTACATTCCAACGACCTGGCTGACGACCGTGACCGAGACGTTTACCTCTGGCCACCCACAGCCTACCGTTGTGCCTCCCCCAGTGTCGCCGCCGGTGTGCCCACCTGCCGTCACCGTCACCGAAACCGTCACCGTCACCGCTCAGCCGGTCAAGCCGACGCCACCTCCAGTCTGCAACGAGTGCCACGTTGAGACCAAGACGATCACCTGGGAGAACGGCCAGACGACGTGCGTCACGTACACGCATACCAGCTACCCGACCCCGAGCTCCAAGCCAGCGCCTCCTCCAAGCTCCAAGCCGGTCCCGCCGGCCTCGTCGACGTCAGTCAAGCCCCCGATGAGCACGGGCGCGTCTAGCAGCAGCAGCAGCAAGTCAGCGACGGGCACAGGCGGAATGAGCTGGCACAAGCCAACGTCGGCCACCAAGGCGTGGTAGAGAGCTAAGACGGATCACCGAGCACACTCCTTTGACGAAAGACACTTGTTCATGACGGACCTTGACGACACTCCTTAAATAACCACTTGTAATGTTTTTTTTTGGGGGTTGATACGACAATCCTTTGATGTATAATTTGCATAACATAGCGGCAGCAATACGCATATATGGGATAGAGGCTTACAAAAGCATTTGAAAACGGGCGTTTTCTTCTTTTTTTCCTGTTAATAAATTAAAAAAACTTTTCTTTTCCGTGCCGTCCGTTCGCCAGTGCTACTACAAGTGCGCCACTTTTTTTTTTTTCATTGTCTATCCACCTCGTAGTCAACATTGCAACAACTGAAGCGATCTTGGGGACTTTTTTTTTATTTTTTATTTTTTGTTTTTTATTTATTTATTTTTATTTTTTACTTCTACCCATAAAGATGACCTAGATGGCGCATCCATGCGTTGATCCACGTGAGCAAGGCTGGACCCCTTTGGTCGTCGGTGATTGAAAGTAGAGAAATTGCCGACGGCGAAGTTGCGCTCTGAGGGCGGAGATCCTTGAGCATGATCTCCGGCGACCGGTTGAGCAACTTCAGGAGTGGTCTCGGCGTCCACGCGCGTTGTTCGCAACTACGAATTCCCCTTTTCCCCAGGCGCGTTATTCCAAGCGGAAACGTAGCAAAGCGTTGCGGAGAGCAAGCAGAAGCGCTTGGGATCGCGCGGCCCAGCCAACATGGCGTCGAGGCACCTGATGGCGCGTTGGAGCGGCGAAGACGCTGCTGCCACGGGCAAGCAAGGATGGTCTGCAGAACGGCGTTGCAGCGAGGAGTCTTGAAGATCCGAAAGATCTTCAGAAACGTCGCGAGGAGCGACCAGAACGCATGGGACAGGCCTCAACCTCGGCACACACCCCATTTGGGACGCGGAAATTTCTCCATGACGCCATGGCCGTCGTGTCGTCTCGACAGCGTCGCTTGCGACCACAAGCGCCGAGACGGTGCGCATTGCTCTCGTCCGCGCCACGCAACGGCCACGACAGAATGTTCGGACGGGTGCTTGTGGAGTGACGGCGCTGGCCCATCTCCAGGCCGTCATCGTCGACGGTCGAGTCTGCGCTCGAGGGCGGCCGCATCGCGGGCGTGCGCCAGTCCTGGGCCAGCAAGCGCCCGCAGGCTTCGGGCCGGCCTCTGGGGGGGCGCCAGCGGCGTTTCTTGCGCTTGCGGGACCCCCCAGCAGGCGTGGATGGCAGATCGTTCACCGCAACTGGACGTTCGTCTCCCTCGCCCGCCGCCTCCTCGACGCCGCCCGGCCTTTCACATGCAAACCCTGGTGCAGCCTGCGCCTGGCATCCACACTACCGCGCAAAGCTTCCATCACGAGGGAAATCCCATTTCGCGGACCCCAGACTCTTCATCATCTGCGTCGAAGCACGAACCGACGGCCGTATAAACATCACAGCCGTCCTCGTGCCTCCCCTATTTCTTGACCGCTCTCTCTCCCTCTCCCTCCCAGTCCCATCATCCCATCTCCAGCTCTCTCCACATCCTGCTCACCCACCATACCCACAGCCCAGGACCTGCCAGTAGACCGCGCGAGCGACCACACGTCTCGTCATCCCTCGCAGACACGCTTAACCTCGCTCCAATTTCCTAATCCATAAACAAGAGCCTCAGACACTCACCCACCTACCCACCCACACCCCCACACGCGTACATCGACAATGGGGCTCGCCGATCCAGCTTTCGCCTCGTCCGCCGCCTTCGACGCCATCCAGGCCGCCATCAACGACAACCCGAAGGAGAAGGCCCAAGCAATCAAGACCGCCGGCACCATCTTCGGCTTCACGCTCAAGAACAAGGAGGGCAAGACGGCAAGCTGGCATGTCGACCTGAAGAAGACGGGCAACGTCGGAACCGGCGAGGCGCCTGCAGGCGAGAAGGCCGACGGTGAGTTTCTTTCTTGTGTCGTTCCCCCTTCCCTCTTCCCAGATTGAAAAAAAAAGAAAAGAAAAGAAAACGAAATCCCCTTGTCTGCGCCTCGCAGTCCTACGTGCTGACTCGCGCCCGTCTTTTCGGTTTCTAGTCATCCTGTTGCTGAGCGACGAAGACTTCGGCAAGCTCCTCAGCGGCACTGGTAACCCCCAGTCGCTGTTCATGTCCGGCAAGCTCAAGGTCCGCGGTGACATCATGAAGGCGACCAAGTTGCAGCCCGTCCTGGGTTTGGTGCAGACCAAGGCTAAGCTATGAGTTCATGCCATTCTTTCTCTCTGTTTAATTTTTTTTTTTCTTTTTTTTTGCGTGTGTGATAAGGGGACAAACGTGGAAGGACACGGGAGAACGCATGGCATCGAGCGAAATGAATGCGCCTTGTCAGGCACGTTTTGGGGCGTGTCACCCAGCAGCAAATGCGCAAAGCGTTGTGTGTAACGTTAAAATTAAAATTCACTTTGTCCGGCGCACACATTGCAATAAAAAAAAAGGTGGCTGTCTCTTCATTTAGCCCTGTCTGATAATCGTACGCCCGGAATTCGCAAAAGGCCTAATACCTCCTTGAATGCGCATCATGCATTTCACCTCAAAAACCGTCATATAGCCTTTCCCATTTTGCTGCACGCCATCACACGAAAAGCATAGTTATCTCGACCCCAGCCGTCACATTTACGGCTGATAGTTCCGAAGCTGCGGCAATGTCAGTACGCTGCGGATATTTGCAAAAAAAAAAAAAAAAAGGAGGGGCTACTCACGTCGAGTGTCAGTGTTTTGCTCGAATTGATGCCTTGGTCTCTCATGACGCCGACCAAGGTCTCGCTCCCTTCAAACAGACCAGCCTTCAAACTGATGACGATGAACTGCATGCCAGGCCCCTTGTGCCGCTGAATGTACGCCAGGAGTTTGGCCACGTTGGCATTGTCCAGCGCCGCATCAACCTCGTCCAGCACAAAGAACGGACTGGGCTGATAGCTGTGCACAGCGAACAGCAATGCCAGCGCCGCCATCGTCTTTTCACCGCCAGACAGGTGCTCCATGTCTCGGAACCGCTTCAAGGGGGGCATGGCGTGGTATTTGACACCTTCCAAGTAAGGCTCGTCTTCATTTTCAACATCCAGGTACGCCTGTCCACCAAGTGGTGTCTGCTGGCTCTTGGTGAGCTCCTTGTACGTAGTCGAGATTTGTTCCTTGATGTGATTGAACGCCTTCTCGAAAAGCTGCTTGCGCTGCGAACGGACATGTTCGAAGTCTTCTTTTGCTTGGTTTGCGCGGCGCTGCGCCGCCAGTCTCTCCCTATCGGCCTCCTTGAGGCGGAGTTCAGTGCTCGCCAACCGTTCGGCAACATGCATGTTCGGTGCCATCTTCTCGAGCTCGTGCTCGATGTTCTTAATCTTTTCTTTCAGTGCTTCTTCCATCTTCTCGGAGCTGTCCGCTCGGAGCTCCGCGTCAAGCTTATCGTAGTCGACCTCAATGCCAAAATCATCAGCTGCATTGACCGTGAGAGTCGTGTCCACATCCACATCCATGGCATCGCCATCTGCATCCCCAGTCACAAGCGGGAGCTCTGAAAGCGGCCTCGAATTATCTGTCAACGGAATCTTGATCTCTTCAATTCTGCATTGTCGTAGAAGTGAGTAATGCTCAGCGCGATTCTTGGCAATTTCGGCTTCGAGCTCGCTAAGCCGCCGCTGTCTCTCTGCAACGCTTTTGTTACGCTTTTCGAACTCACGGCGGATCTCATCAACTTTGCTTGCTTGCTCCTCAGCCTTGCCCTGAAGCTCAGCCAATTGCTCTGCCAGCAGGTCGAGCTCAGCTCGTAGGGTATCAAGTTCATCTTGTATCCCTCTCTTTTCCGCCTCGAGACCCTTCACAGTCTCCTTGTCGCGCTTGATGGAGTCTTGAAGAGCCTTGATTCTATCCTCGGACTTCTGCAGACGCGTCTTCTCGAAAACCAGCCTGTTTCCGATGCCATGAATTTGCGTGGCAAACTTTTGCTTCTCAATCAATGCCTCCTGCTGGAGCGATCCCTGTTGCTTTTCGTACGCGCGAATGTCGCTGTAACCGAGACGTTGGCAGAACGAGGCAAAAACACGGTCCTCAACATCACTGATGAACTTCTGATAGTTTTCAAGCTGCTGGCGCAAGTTGTCGACAGCCTGAGCTTGTTGTTTATACTTAGGTTGGAGATCTTTGAGCTGCGCCTTCTCAAAGTCAATCTCCTTTTTCTTGTCTTTGAGGTTCCGCTCCAGGGCCTTGACCTCTTCTGAGAGCTCACTGTAACGCATCTCTAATCCATGCAGTTCACTCTGCAGAGTCTCCTCTTCATGGGCACGTCTCCGGTCGTTGGAGGGATCGAGGCCTCTGATTTCAGCTTCCAATTTTTCGAAAGTACGAGTCAGACCAGCAGTCGCAGCGTCATCCCACTTAGCTTGCTTGTCTTGACGACCTTGACCGCCGGTCATCAGACCACCCTTATGAATCTTAGTGCCATCAAGAGTGACAGCAGTAGCTTGAACTTTGCGCTCGAAACAAAGATACTTGGCAACTTCCATTGAATCGCAGACCATCGAATTTCCGCATGCGTAAAGAACTGCTCGTTCATAGGCGCTATCAAACTCAATCGTGTCAATGGCAAGGCGCATGCCTTTGTGCATGCCCCTCAAACTTGCGTTAACCGCCTTGACCTGGATGGTATCCAGCGGGATAAAGGCCATCCAGCCGGCTCGCTTGCTCTTGAAGTGAGCAATGCAGTCATTCGCGGTCTGCTCAGTGTCTGTCACAATAGAATCAAAATGTCGGCCAAGCACGACGCCCATGGCGGTCTCGTATTTCTTCTGCTTTGGTCGGCACAGTTCATGAAGACGGCCCTTCACGCCTGGAAACAGAGATTTAAGCTCACGGACCAATTCCCTTGCTGCCTGTTCTTTGCGTGACGCTTGCTGATGGCCTCGAGCTTCATCCAACCTGCGAGCGATCTCCTCGAACTGCTCGATCTTCTCACGACGACGTTGCTCATTACGTACCCTATCAGATTGCAACGTGTTGTATTCCGTTTTCTTCTTATCAATCTCTGCTTTAGTTGATTTTAGCTGTGCGCTCTTCGTAGCGTGTCTTTCCTTAAGCTGGCTGTAGAGTTCTTCAATCTCCCTGAGCTTGGATTCGTGTTTCTCAATCTGCATCTTGAGGTTGCTCGCCGTTTCCTCGTCCGTCTTCAATTTGCGTGTAAGATTGTCCACCTCTATCTGCTGCGTGGCCGTAGCCTTGCTGACTTCGCGTCGAAGGTTGTTGTACTCGGCCAGATCATTAGCAGTTAACGCCCGTCCTTGTTGCTGCTGAACCCGGTTCCATTCCTGCTCCCAGCGTGCTTGAGCCTTTTTGATCATAGCAAGATCTTTCTCGTATTTTTCGACATCTGCTTTGTACTTATCACGATCCTTGGCTATTGTCCTTAGACGCTCTTCCTGCTCAGATATCCGCTGGTTTGACTGAGCAAGTTGTGTGTCCTTGGGGATTAAACTGTTTTCTTTCTCCTCCACCTCCTTCTCCTTCTTCTTGATGGCTCTTTCGATCTTCGAAACTTCTTTGGCCGCTATGGCTTGTTCGCGCTTGGCCTCCTCGAGCTTCTCTTCGTACTTTTGCTGAGCACGTCGGAACTCCTTCAGTTCTTCCTGGTGTTTTTGGATCTCTTCACTGGATTGCTCGATGGCTTTCTGGAAGCGGAAGAGCCTCCACAAGACATGATTGACAATGGCTGCATCGCGCTCAGTGAGTTTCCGTTCGTACGCCTCTGCTTCTCGCTTCTGTTCTTGATATTGTTTAATCTCGGTATTCATAGCACGCCTCTGCTGAAGTTTGAATGCGTGCTCGTCATCAGCCTTGATCATCTCTTCCTTCAGCCGCTCATACTCGGCCTTAAATTCTAAACTGCCCGATATCTGTTCAACCAGTTGCGTGAGTTCGCGCGGCGAGCGGGAAGCAATAGACTCGACGTCACCCTGAAAAACTAGGAAGTTGCGTGCCTTTACTAGAATGTTCTCCGCCTCAAGAGCGTCGGTATACTGTTTCGCAGTTACGAGACGATTGTTCAGGCGGTATTCGGTTTGTCCGCTGCTTGTGATAGATCGCTTCCACGTGTGCTCGTCTCCTGCGTCGTCTTCGTAAACGGCCATAACCCATGCCGTGGTGGGATCATTCCGTTGCGAGCTGCGCTGCGTCGGCGTCTCATCATCGGACCCGGCCTCGCCATTGGCTTGACCGATCGCTTCCGGACCGTCGACTGCGTCGCCGTCGGCGTTAATTTTTGAGGTTTTCAGGACGCGCCCGCGGTATACGAGATCTTTAACATTGGAAGAACGCAAGTAAGACGATTTTATGCCGAGAACGAATGATATCGCGTCCATCCTGCGCGCGATTAGCCGAGCCTCGTGAAACGACAATGACAGAACCTACGAGTTAGACTTGCCGGAGCCATTCGGCCCTATGATGGAAGTGAAGAACGAGTCACCGAACAAGAGGACATGGTGTCCCTTATAGGACTTGAAATCTGATTGTTGTCAGCCAGCGTATCTGTGACAGACCCGTCGGGCGCATACTGGAGAGCTCAAGTCGAATAAGCTTTCCCATTGTCGCGTGTGCGCAACAGCGCGTCTATGATTTTGAAAATATTACAAGACGGTCATTCGACAGGCAAAGATGCCCAACGCCTATCTCGCTAAGCACGAAAGGCGCGATGCGTTTTAGAAGTGGTGCATTGTGTAAATCAACTTGCCCGCAAACTCCCAACGCCGTCGCGGTGAACGCGTCGGGCACGTGCAGCGACCCCACCCGAGTTCATCTTCTTTCTGATCTTTCACAGATTGTAGTCCACTACAGCTTATGTGCATTCCCGGAAGCTTATCTACAATTGCTGATATCCGCAAGTCGAGACTAGTCCCTTCTTTTGCGAGAGAGTCAATTCGTAAATGCATTTATCAAAGTTTATTTCGCGTGGTCTGCCCTGGTAATGTGCCAAAACTGCCTCTCGTACACTCTTGCGACTCCAACACCTCGCCAGCATAGATGCTTCTCTTGGGATTACAGGCCTGTGTAGTTGCATATTTTGTACTTACGTGATTATCATAGGAGTGATCTGGGCCATACAAGCGTCTATTACCCGGTATCGGCACCGTAATTGTGATTCACCTCCGCTTTCCGTACAAGCTTGCAGTATGCGTAGTCTCCTCAAGTTCCATACCCTCATATTCGGCCCTGAAGCTCATAAAAGCAGAGACCAAGTTGTCGGGATAAGCTTTTGCTTGGTCTTAGAAATCATCTCGACGTAACAGCCTGTATTTGCAAATCAACATATCTCTATCAGCAAGCAGTGGCGAGTGTGGAGGTCATGGCTAAAGCAAACGTTGGCATTATCAGTCTCGGAGAGATGGGAGCAGCCATCGCCCAATTACTACGGGCGGAAGGTTTTCACGTGCTCAGCAAGCTCGAGGGTCGCAGGTTTGTATTTGAATCACATATCCCTTGGTTTCCCAAGTCACATGCTAAAGTTTTGGCTGGCAGTGAGGCTACAATGAGCCGTGCTGCAGCGGCAGGTGTTAGATGCGATTTCTCCAGCGATGAGGCTTTTATCGAATCCTGCGACTATGTGATGTCCATAGTCCCTCCTTCTGAGGCTCTCGCAACGGCAGAACGTATCGCGAAAGCGTGTACAGTCAACCGCATGCGCTCACCGTTAGTGTACCTCGAACTCAACGCTGTATCACCTTCTACGGCGAAGTCCATTTCAAAGGTCTTCACTTCCCTGGACGTGCGTGTGATAGACGGTGGAATCATCGGGGGACCACCATGCATCTCCGAATCAGGGTGGTCGTGTCCCTCGATTGTTCTATCGGGACCTTACAAACTTGCAGAGGCCCCCTCAGAGGGTGCAATACTCGCAAAGGTGTTGAACACCAAAGTTGTAGGCGACGAGATAGGCACAGCGAGTGGCCTAAAATGCTGCTTTGCCTCCCTTACGAAAGGGTAAGACTGCGCCTAATGTCGAACGCTTGTTTTAAGTCCCGTCAAGCTAATCCTAAAACCTGCAAGATACACCGCGCTGGCCATCCAAGCATTCTCCACAGCGTCTCGCCTTGGCGTGCTCGAGCATCTTGAAAAGGAGATCTCGAATTCACCTGGTGGAGCCAACAGACTCGAAGCATCGAAGAGGTCGCTTTCAAGTATGCCACCCAAAGCCGGACGCTGGGTCGAGGAAATGGTCCAGATCAATCAGACCTTCAGTGAGGAGGGAGGCTGGGGCAATGTTAAGCCTTCGACGGATATCTTCAAGCAGATTGCTGGAGTGTACGAATTCGTTAGCAGGGGGACGGACTTGGGTAAAGAGCATGTCACCAATCGACAACGAGGCAAAACTGCGGAGGATGCTGTTGACGTGATCTGCCAGGCACTGAGTGGCAAGCATTGACGCTGGGAAAGCAATGATACTATAAAGTATATACATATTCACATGTACAGGTGAAGATCTGAATGCGACGTCCAAATTGGAGACCACTTCGTTTTTTTTTTTTTTTTTTTTTTTTTTTTTTTTTTTTTTTTTTTT